AATAGAGAAGAGGAAGCAGAATTCTTGGATGAAGAAGGTATGAGGAAATATCAATAAAAAAAAAAAAATAAAGAGCTCCATTTAACAGAAGAATTAGAACAAGAAAAACTAATTCAGGAGCTTCGAGAACAAAACGATTCAGCAAATTTAAAAATTCAGGTATACATCATAAATTATATTAATAATGTACTTGTATACTTATAACTGTAATTAGGTTGGATTAATATTTATTGGTTGCATGTTATCCATATTGTAAATCACACCTAATGTGCCATCTTTTCAAATATAATAACATGGTTTATAATAGGTTTTTTATTTTATTATTTCAAAAAGGTTTACCAATAATTATACCAATATCACGATTATATCAGCCAACAGAATTAGTTATAAACTCACCTAAACTTGCAATTATTACGAGTGTTTTATCTATTTTTATGTCTATCTTTACATTGGTTTTATCGTCAAGAATTCAACTCTGTTCACAGCAGATCAGTAAAATTAAGGAAAAAATACCCTTAAAATATACAGTCATAGTAACTGTTTTAACTGGATCTATAGCACCTATTATGTCCCTTGATACCACTTTAATTGAATTTATATTTTGGTCAATACCATTCATGTTGAGTATTATGTATTATATATCCTTCTATATGATAAATCAAGTGTATGAAGGCCTTGACGAATTAGAAGGCTCTAAATACAAATATAAAGGTGCTTAAAAAAAAAAAATTGAAGTAGCTTAGTGACAATAAAATGGTCTTCTTTATTTTTTGTATTTGATTTTTTTTTTAATAATATGTCTATATTGGAAAACAACAAGAGAAGTGTATGTTATCGTTGTAGGAAAGCAGGAACAGTGTACAGCCCTCTAATTAGCTGTAATTACTGTACTTTATTTTGGCATCTCGATTGTCTTATTCAGCCAATGTCAAATATACCTGAAGATTGGAAATGTCCACGCCACCAAGAACGATCTCATGTAATTTTGAAATTAATAATAGTATTTATAAATATTAACTTTTTAATAGACAAGAAAACATAAAAAGAAGACCCTTAATGGTAATATAGTGAAAATTGTGCAGCAAGAGGATAATATGTCATTTCATGAAGCAAATGATATTGTAAAATATGGTAGTGTTATATATTCTCTACCAACCTCCTCAATAGAAAATGATTTTTTGAATTACGCTAGAAAGTTTGTATTGTACAATAATCTTTAGGATCGAGATTATCATTATAACATTTCAAAATGTAATAGATGTCGAAAACATATAGCAATTAAGAGTAGCAAAGATCAATATGATACAAAAGTAGAGCAAGCAAGAGAATGGTTAGATAATGTGACATCTTTTCAATTCCATGATGGAATTCAAATGCTTTTAGATGCAGCTAATGTATATAGTAGTAATTCACATTTATTTTATTATTAATCCTTTCCTTTATTAGTATGATACACATCAATCATCCTATATTAATGATAAGATATCATTAGAATTAAGTGAAGAAGAGTATAAGAAGCTTGAAATAGTTGAACAATTAATTAGACTTAAAGGTGAAGAGAAGCTCTTAAAAGAATTATATTACTCGTATGAATAGTCTATCTATTATCAATGTTAATAATAAAACTAGCAAATGAGTAAAAGAGATATTTTACAATCTTCTCGTTATAATATTAGATATTATTTCATCCTTCATAATATGACAAAAAAAATAAAATAAAGGGCATTTATATTCAGCTTTCAAATTTTTTCTTTTTTTTTTTTCCCAACTTTATGGTATTAAATCATGGCAGCTCCAATTGATGTCCAAGTTTGCACAACAATTCTTCCACCTTTTCAATTAATAAAAGGGATCGATCTCGGATACAATGATGATTATGTTTTTGATGTAACAGCTAACTCTCAATACGCAATTACTTCTGCTTCTGATAATTTTGTTCGACTTTACGATCTTAGTACATTGCAGTTATCACATACTATTCCTGCACATAATGAACGAATTTCCAAAATGAAATTGAAAAGCGATCAATATCTATTTACTGTCAGTGAGGATTCTACTTTAAAACGTTGGGATTTAAGAACAAATAATGCAGTACAAACATTTAAATGTATGCTGTTGTTTAGTTAATCTGAAATCACTAAACTAATGACTTTGTATATGTAGATAATAAGCCCTTGACAGCTTTTGATATTAATTGCAATGACTCGATGGCTATTGTTGGCACAGAATTTTCAACAAATAGTCAATCGGCCGATCTTGTTTTTTATGATGCACGAAACACTTCTGTGCTTCATGTGTTTAACGAATCACATGGTGATGATATTACAGAAGTAAGTATTTGTAAAATAAGCTTTTTTTTTCATTTATTCTTAAAATTTTATAGATCCAATGTCACCCTTTATCACCTGCACAATTTATATCATGTTCAACTGATGGTATACTTAACAACTATGATGTCACGGATTTCGATGAAGAAGAAGCCATGATTTCAGCTATCAATTCAGGATCTTCAGTAAATAAAGCGGGATATTTTGGACCTAATGCAGAATATTTATATTGTTTAACTCATATTGAAACTTTTTCACTTCATACATCAGAGGGTGATGTTATCTGTGATTTTGGAGATGTTAGAGGCATAAATGTTACAGAAGTCGATTATGCTATTGACTGTAATTATGATCCAATTAATCAACGTTTTTACTTAATTACAGGAAACAACACGTTAGTATATCAATAATGGCTGATTCTAAAAAGAAGAAGAAAAAGAAAACTAATTACTTTCTGGATTTAGTGGTACAGTTGATTTTTTTCATGTTAACATTGGACAGCTTCAGCACTGTCAGCAGTTAAAAATGAGTGGTGGACACACGGATGTTGTGCGTTCATTATATTGGAATCATCCAACCCAAAGTATTCTAACAGGTGGTGAGGACGGTAGATTATGTGCCTGGCAGGGCCAAATTTAATTCTATATGTACATTCCAGCAATTAAAAAGACTTAGAATAATTCGGAATAGGATATACATGTTACTTTAATTAAAGTAGAAAGGGTTGAAATAATTATCATAATATATATAGCATCACTAACTTTAAAAATACATTGTAAGATATATTGTATAAATAAAATTAACTGTTTCAATGAAACAATAAATACATGTAATTACGCAGCCGTAGATTTTTTTTTTTTTTTTTTTTACCATATATTTTAATGACCCAGCTTTTATTATGAATAATACAAGAAAACATTAAAGTTAATAGGTTTATAATGCCTTAATATTCATGTATATTCAATAAATAAACCAATAATTTTGAAAATTAGTCTTATTTATTTATGTTTTTAAAGTAAAATACAATATTATTTTAAATATGGATGGAATTGAACAGACTTGCTCTGTTTACTGATACCTAGATTAAATCAGTTAAATTAAGTATAAAAATTTTGTGCAAATCTGAATATTGATACCTAGTTTAGTCACCTTTTGTTCAATGTATTTGTTACATTTAGCTGCATTTTCTATATACTTACCTGATATATAATTCTACTGTTGCTTTATTATACTAAATATCAATTGCTCCCTGCTACAATTCCTTTATATTGCTAAATATCATAATACAGCAGCACGCTTGTATTTTAAATGAAACTAGGCTTTTTAATTGGGTTAAAATCTGGTAGATAGCATTACTTATTATGGTTGTAAGATTTGTAACTTAATTCATAATAGAACATAAAGTGCACTTCTATGATAATTCTGTCTATACACGTGTTAAGTGTATTTACCCTTGTATAAAAAACATAATTAATAACCTCGTACATCCAAAAAGATATCTTCTATTATTGTTCTGCTGAATATAAATGTATAAGAACAACTTTATAAGTTAAACTAAGGTAAACTAAGTGTGATCGTATGATTTAAAGAAGAAAAGGAAGAAGAAAGAGAGCAAAAAAGAAGTATAGTTTGAGGCTTGTTTATTGAATGTAAAAAGAATGATATAAAGACTATTTCGTGTCTACACCAATTGCTTGTATTTTTACTAATGAATCCTGAATCAAAGAAATTAAAAATAGCTATCAAAGAACATGAGTCATGAAACAGTGTTAGTATTCAGATATATACGTCTTGTTGATTCAAGCTACTGATTTATATATATTATATATTGGGCGTTATAATGACCTGATTAAGTTTTAATTATAAAATTTATTGTTTGATCTGAGTATATGTTCCTGATATTTTTTATATTTTATTGTATTGGATCAAAAATGACCTGAATCCTTTATCAAGGTTATAAAAATAAATATTTAGAAATAATACAATATTTTATTTATTTAACATATTTAGTTGATTAACTGTCAATAGGGTTTATATTATATTATTTACAAGATATTATATACAGTAAGATATGATATCTTTTATTATATAATCAGGCTTATTGTTTATCCTGTATTATGTAATCCATCTTTTCTATTATTGTTTATGCTTATTTTATAACACTAAGAATAACGCAAGTATGCGTAATAATTGATTTCACTCTAAGTTCATGTATTTGTTATAAAATTAAATATACAAAAGACATGGATATATTTATAATAATTTTTGATATCATAATAATTAAATCGACCTTTTTTTTTTCTATAATTATATTATCAAATACAATTTGTAATATTTTTATTCTTATTATTATTTATCATCCTTATTTACAAAAGATATAAATACTTTAGTATTATTTACCTTTATTTTGTATTAATTCTTATAATTAAATCTTAACTTGTCTTTACCTTAATAAAATTTATTATCAAGTCTCAATGTACTTCCTTCATATCTTTTTATTCTATTTCATATATTTCTTATTTTATTTTACCTGTAGACTACAACAGAAATCATTTGCGATGTTCCTTTGTGTACAAAATTTATCTTTTTACACCACTGGACAAAACTAATATACTTGTGGTGCCTTTTTTTTTAAGCTAAATCTTGATTTCATCCCTGTTGCTCTCAATGTTATACATGAAACTTATAAAACAACAAAGAAGATTATCTTGTTGTAAAATAAGCCTTACGTTATTCTTCACCTCCTTTCTTTAATAAGCTAATGTCCTTAGCCAACAATATTCAACAAAATAATTTACAAGGGCAATCCTAATATCAAAATTATAACTCGAGATACAAGCTAAATTTTTCTGATAAAAAAAAATTATATAAAATATAGAAGGAAGTTTAAAGACAGACAAATAAAGAGATATTATTGGCCAGATCACGTGATTATTGAATTCTATATATGGGCTATTGTGTAACAATACAACAAGAGCCTAGCTAGCTCAATCGGTAGAGCGTGAGACTCTTAATCTCAAGGTTGGGGGTTCGACCCCCCCGTTGGGCTTCATTTTTTTCTTAATTTTTTACGCGTTGGCTGTCGTTCTTTTCATCTCGAGACAGTTTAGCTTCAATTAATTATTATTCTTCGTAATAGTGAACATAGTATGGGTTAACAAAAATGAACGTCGAAATTTCAATTTTTTTTTAATTTTTTTTATATACATTTGTAGCCGCGAGATTCAATTGCAGTTGCAATTAGCTTAGATATGTGAATAGGAGCCAGATAATGTCCTTTCATCTCAGGACACTTGTCCATCTCGTCGAGGATATCTTCAATGAAGTTCAGATAATAGTTAGTTACCCTGCCTCTTGGTTGAGTTTTGGCCCCTCCTAACAGCTTTCATCTTCAGCAATATCCATAGGATCATTTCCATTCTCATCCACGACTCTTCCCTGCCCATCCTCAAAATAAAAAGAGTAACTCATTGCAAAAGTAGATTAAGAAAAAACAGTGTTGTATCTTATACGACATTTTTTTTCCCCCTGAAAAGTGCGATACCATTTTGGGAAAAGATGTATAGATATTAATATTAAATATTCATCATATACATCATCCTATTAATATTAAGTAGTAGTAATATTTTAACATCAGACGTGAAGCATGACATGGATACAATATCTTTTGTACAAAGTAAAAGAATTATAAAAGAAATATGTCAGAACTATTATACAGAATTAAAATAGGTCTAACAATCAATTATTTGATTGTATAATGAAGAGTGCTTTCCTTTTAACATAAATAAAAATCTACATCTTATTAATTTCACATTTTTTGAAGCTGAACATTGGCAAAGATTTTGTAAATAACCTAGAAGAACACTATCACAAGCTTCTTTAGCAATTCGCCTTGATAACATATCACCTTCTAAGAGCTTTTATCTCTTCAATTTGCTTTTGAAAGTGTGCCCAAAATTATTCAAATAAGTATGATGAAAGTGATAAATGCAACCATAGCCACGCCTTACAACAAGTCTTTCTATACTCTTCGATTTATTTCATGCTTATTTGTGTTAAGAGTTGAAAATTACACAAAAGATATGCAATTCATGTTTGACCTACTTTTGAGCTTTGTGCACGTATTAATTTAAGAAAGCTATGGCTCTGAGGAAAGGTATATTCAGATATACAAATTATAAAGGCTTTTTTATTTTTATTTTCATTTTTTTTACTCGTTCTTTACAATACTAATAGATGAAAATGTATCCAAAAATATTTTCGTGGCAAATGTACAATAGGATTATATAATATACACTGTACCTAGCTTTATTTTGAAGATGTACCGACTTGACTAAAAAAGAAAAAAAAAAAAGAAAAAAAAGAAAAGAAGCCCTTATTTATTTAAAGGAAAAAACAAGTATTCAAAATAATAAAGCGAAAATCAAATCTATTCCAAATTTTAAATATACAAACGGAAAATGGCTCACATTTATGGAAGATGATAATTATAATGACTAGTAATTTATGATTTTATTCTATGTACCTTATTTTCTTTTTCGAAAGAAAAAACAAATTTAATGTCTCAGAGGACCACTTCAGGATTTTGTTATATAAACGTTTAATAAGAAGGTCAGTATGATATTCTTTGAGTCACTTATTGCTTCTCATCAAGATGTAGAATTTTAAACATCGAGAAGTTACTTTTCTTCTTTATCCTCTTTATAAAATTTTGTATAATACTAAGCTGTTCTCACAACACTACCAACATCTAACTCTACTTGTTTTGTTGTTATTTTATGTTGTATGATGATATCGAGCAATTTTTTTTTTTTGAACCTGAGTTAAGTTCTATGAGTAATAAGAGTTCCTTCTAATAATCATAAGCTATTTTAAGCGATCTTTGATAATTGGACTTATCGACTTTATGATTCATATCTAGTTTCTAAACATGATATGGGCTTATAAAAATCGGTTGGTTATGTTTTTGATTTCTTCAAGGTCAAATTTAGGAATTTTATTTGTAGAGAATTAAAGCAATAAATGACTTTATAGGATACATTTATTCATTATTCAATTTGATTTAACAATTTTAAAATAAAAAACAAATAGAAAGCTTGCTAATGTGCAATTAATATGCAAGGCTAAAACAAATTGTACGAAAGAAAAATAAATAAAATAAGAATACTGAAGTGTAGAAAAAAATAAAATCTGATACACAAGTTTATTAGAAAAAAAAAAAAAAACTGAATGAAATAAAAATATTACTACAAACACATTAGATATAATAACATATCCATTCTCTTCACTTTCCTCCTTTTCTTTTTTTTTTCTTTCTTTCATACTTTCGCCTTGGGTTCAAAAAAAAAAAAAAAGGGTTCTTTATATACCTTATACATTATTGAGCTGGTTTGGACAAATTTTGGTAAATAAAACACCCGCACTCAATTTGGACATATAATTTTTCTTTTTTTAAAAGAAAAAAAAAAAAAATGGAAAAATTAAGACTGTCTTTAAAATAAATATATAAATTTCCCTGGTTTCTATTTTTTAAATAAATACCTAATTTAGAATTTTTGATTTACTATTTTTTTTTTTCTTTTTTCCTATTTCCCTATTTTTTTTTTTTTCTTTTTCTTATATATAACTAGAAATAATAATAAAATGGTTCATAATACAATTGAAGTTTTTCTTCAACCACCTTCACCTACTATGAATAATGCATGCAAGTTGCCTCCTGTCAAATCTTTACTTCCTTTAGACGATGATCAACAACAACAACAATCACTTCCGAGTATTCGTTTAACAGACGATGACCCTATTATCAATAGAAAAGAGACTAGTAACAGTTCTAATAATAAATTAGATACTATCGAACCTACCTTTAATTCATTATCTATTTCTACTTCACCTTATCAAAGTCCTTTAATGTCCTTTTCTTCTCCTTCATCAGCTACTTCTTCAATAAGTGGTTCCCCATTAATATCGCCTTTACAGGATAGTCCCTTCTTATTACCACCACCTGATACAAGTTCATTAAGACGCTGTCGTTCAATATCTAATGCTTCAAATACATCTTCACCTATTACTTCACCTTACACACATTTTACATTTCGTTCTCTCTCAGAGCCACCTACTCTCGATTTACCACCAACTATAACAGACGACGATGATGAAGAAGAAGTGAATAAAAATAATAGTTTAGTAATAACAACAACACAAAGTGAAGATAATTATCATCCTATTTTTGGACCTAAAAGAAAGCGAGGAAGACCACCGAATGCGACTCGACCCGAAGTTCAAGGTGATAGCAATTGGACCTTTGTGAAGCCAACAGTTTGGGATGTTAAACATCAACAACCAAACCCAATTCAAAGAGAACACAACAATAATAATAATACCCCTTCTTACAGAAAACCGGAAAATACCACAGTAATGACTAATAATCTAAATACCTTCATGACAACGAATATGGATATGGCCTTAAGTATACCCAAAAAGAAACGAGGTCGTAAACCAAAGAAACAATTAGTAGGTAATTCATGTTTCGTTTGGCGTGATTTAACTGCACCACGTGGAGCTAATAAGAAAACATTATTACTATCAAAAAATGAAAAGCAAAAAGGATAAATATAATATGTATTTAAAGGAAAAAAAAATGACTCCTTTTTTTTTTTTTTTTTTTTTTTTTTTTTTTTTGCGAATGGCCTTAATTTATTTTATGCATAAAATAAATAAACAATGATTGACAAAACTATTTATATAAGATTGTACTATATTATTATTACTCCTTTCTTCTTCTTCTTCTTTTTTTTTTCCCTTGTTAATTAAAAATGTTATCTCTCAATAAACATTTACTAAAAACCTATCGTTCTCTTCATTCAAGAATACGAAAGACTTCAAGATATTATCATTGCAATGAGCATCAACATACTGATCCTCGAGGGGATAAAACAGTTCATGTGATGCACTCTCGAGGTGTTAACCTACTACACGATCCTTTATTATCCAAAGGTACAGCCTTTAGTATTGCTGAAAGAGAACGTCTTTCGATTCGTGGTCTTGTTCCACCTCGTTGTCAAGAGATGGATAGACAACTCTTGCGCGTCAAACGTAACCTTGATTCATGTGAGACTCCTCTTTCAAAATTTGTCTTTTTAGCTGCTTTACATGACCGTAATGAGACACTTTATTATAAACTTCTTATGGAGAATTTGGAAGAATTAGCTGGTATCATTTATACTCCCACAGGTAATCTTTGTATCTTGTATTTTTGATATATAAAATTTCATTCTGAAAACCTATTATTATTATTATTATTATTATTATTATTATGTCAAAAAAAAAAGTCGGCTTAGCGAGTCAAATGTCACATTCAATTTACCGTCGTTCAAGAGGTATGTACTTTTCAAGTCAAGATCGTGGTCAAATGTCTGCTATGGTCTATAACTGGCCACATGATGAAGTAGATGTAATTGTTGTTACAGATGGTTCAAGAGTACTTGGCTTAGGTGATTTAGGAGCCAATGGTATGCAAATTCCTATTGGAAAATTAAGTTTAGTAAGGAGAAAGAAAGAAAGAAAAAAAAATAGTTTTTTTTTGCAGATCCATTCTTATAATATATATATTTATATACATACAAATACATCTATCTATAGTACGTTGCTGCTGGTGGTATTCGACCTAGAGCTGTATTGCCTGTTGTTTTAGATGTTGGTACAAATAATCAAACTCTTTTAAATGATCCTCTTTATCTTGGAATGGGACATCCAAGGTTAGAAGGGGATGAGTACTATTCTTTTGTAGATGAGTGGATTACTGCTATTTTGAGTAGATGGCCAAGTAAGTAAAGAGAACGTTTTTAACTTTTGTTTCTCTCAACTGATGTCTTTTTTTTTTTTTTTTTTTTTTTTTTTTTTTTTTTTTACAAATATAGATACATTAATTCAATTTGAAGATTTCAAATATCCTCATGCATATAATATATTAGCTAAATGTAACATGAAAATAATAATAGTGCTTTAATTATTTAATAACGGCTATGAATATAGATAGAGATCGTGTAACATGCTTTAATGACGATATTCAGTCCACGTCTTCAATTGCATTAGCTGGTATTTTAGCTTCATTGAAGGCGAGAGGACTTGCACAAGAAGATTTAATTCATGAACGTATTGTGTGTGTCGGAGCAGGATCGGCAGGAATAGGAGTATGTGAAGGTATCATTGACTGTATGGTCGCTCAAGAGCATGTAAAGAGTCGAGAGGAAGCCTATTCAAAGATTTTCGTCCTAGATCAATATGGTCTTTTAGGTAACCCTACTTTACCCCCTAATAATAATAGTAGTGTCAAGTTGCCAACGACAAGGCAAACAAAATTAGATGACTTACAATATTGTTATGTTAAACATCATCTGAAAGATCAAATGTGTTTAGAGGATGTCATCAGACAGGTAAAGCCCACCGTTTTATTGGGTTTGACTGGCACTCAAGGTGTCTTTACCGAAAATGCCATTCGTGAGATGGCGATACATCATGAAAGGCCCGTCATTTTCCCTTTAAGTAATCCCGATACTCATGCTGAATGTACAGCAGAAGAAGCGTTCAAGTGGACTGATGGTAGAGCTATCTTTGCTTCTGGAAGTCCCTTTAAGGATGTTCAATTACCCAATGGTAAAATTTGTAGAACAAACCAATGCAATAATTCATATAGCTTCCCTGTAACGTATACATATACATATATGTGTATGTCATGTATATAAATATATTTATGATTTTTTTTTTTTAATTATATATATACAAAATATATATATATACATTTATAAGGGTATCGGATTAGGTATTACAGTGTCAAGAGCAAATCGAGTGACAAATACTATGTTTTTAGAAACTGCACGTACAATCGCTAATATGGCTACATTAGAACAGTTAAAAGATGGCATCCTCTTCCCAGGTGTAAGCCAACTGAGAGAGGTTGCTTTAAATGTAGGTACAAAAGTTTGCGACGTTGCATTTCAAGAGGGTGTAGCCACTGCAGTGCTAGAAGAAGGCGAAATTCTCAGTGATATAGTTAGAAATTCTGCTTATCAACCAGAATATGTTCCACTTGTTTATAGTTCTCGTCGCTGAATATCTTTAATCATAGTATATATTTATATACATGTATATGCTAATCACATTTTGTTTCGATAAAAAAAATAAAAAAAAAAAATAAAAAAAAAAAAATAAAAAAATTATAAAATATAATTAAAATCGTTGTTTTTTTTTTCCTTTAAAAAACTCTGATTATATTTTAAAAATGAATTAAAGGAACAGCAGCAGGACTTAATTCCATGTTGCTCTTGAATTCAATCACGTTAGTAATGATAGTGTTATTTGGAGGAAGCTGACTATGATCTCTTGTGACTGTACTTGTGGAGGGGGAAACCTTTGGAACTTCACCATTGACCATTGATAATCTACGTGCCACTCTTTGATTATCAACGGCTACAAAGGAACCATCTGCCATATCTGTTTCACGCATAGCCACAACCAATTTAGCTATGAGTGACTCAATCTCAACTTCATCCGCTTTACTTTCATCAGCAAGTAAAGTACGCAAGTTGGCCTCAATGCTTGCTTCACCTGCATCACCTTGCTCAACAGCAGCTCGAATATCATCAATACTAAGTCGAGTAACACCCTGTGACACTAAACAAGTATGTAATGATTCAATATTGACCTTAAACTTGGGCTTGGATGGGGGTGCCTTTTGAGATTGAATATGAACTGACAATTTACGAACTGAAGGCGATTGTGGGTCAACATAATCTGTCATAAATTCCAACAATGCCTCCTTTTTAATTGATCTTAACTCTTTAATATCCTTCTCTATTTGATCAAATTCATAATAGCCTGAATGAATATGTGTCCAGTATTTACCACCTTCTTGTCCTAAATTCTTATTCTTTTCAAGTTTCTTGGCAATCAATGATTGTATCTGAGCCTCGTATTCTTCAGATGTCATATTTTCAATCAATGTTCTAAGTTTCAATAAGAACTCTTCAATTCGGTTCTCAAGGTAGATCGTATCACGTTCACTTTGGAGGATAAATCTTAGGCCCATAGATCCTGTTTGTTTACGAACACCACTAAAGACAAGATAGCCCAACTGTTCTTTTGTACGAAGTTGATCGAAACAGGGCTCCTGTGCGATTTGAGCTAATAGGCTTAATTTGGCTCGAAGCTCGATCTGAGTCACGTTGCCGACTTGAATAAGGTACTCAATACCTGAATTAACATTGTTAGGATCTTCTACATCACGTTTGTAGACCCATTTAGATCCTTTAGGTAATATAAGGCTATGATGATTGATTAATTGACCAGGTAATAAAGACTTTGGCTGAAGAGTGTCGATCACTCCGTTAAGCATCTTTGAAGCGTCTTCTTTGAAAAAATTACCATGAACAAGTGATTCAATCTGTAATTGTGACAAAAGTGTAGGGTAAAATTGTTGAATGTCATCAGCTGTAATATGATCTAGTTCAGCCAATTTCTCAGCGTTCGTCCACATCTTATCTTGTGTGAGATAAGAGAGGTAATAGAGAGCGTGTTGGTAAGGTGGTTCTAGTGCAAAATTTTTGTAGGAACGTCGAAGTTGGTCTTTAAGTAATTTAAATCTTTCAGGATCCACTGTAAGATGACGCATCCTTTGAATCACTTTTTCGAGTAAAACAGGAAGTTTATCGTTGTATCCGCTCATGGCCAACAACATACCTTCCAATTGGTTCTCAATGTTGTAAGAGAGGCCTGCTACTTCTGCATCATAGGCATATTCATTTAAGGAATCCTTCAATAAATCGGTATAAAGACGTGTTTTAACACAGTTAGTAGGTGTAGCGTAAGCTAAAGGTGACCTAAATAAGATCCAAACATTGGCTCGAGGAACCCAGAAGGTATCATCCTTCTTATGCCATAGTCGAAGTAAAGGTGAATTTTCAATTAAATCAGGTCTAGTAGCCGGACTTGGGACTTCCTTTTTGAATGTTTCAAAGTTAGAAGGAATAAAAGCATTTGGTGTAGGTAAAGCTAAAGCATCATTTGTACCAAGATTCTTTAAAGCCTAAATATATGTTGTATATCAGAATATATATATATATATGTATACATGTACATATTTTTTAAGCTATATAATTACCTCAATTAATGATTCATTAAAATCAGCGACAGTATATTCAGTACCATACCATTTTTCACGTTGAGTATACTCAATACCCTTTGGAGGAGTTTGGCTAGCTAACATAATACGAAAATTATCAGGTCTAATCCAATCAAGATTCTCTTTGATTAATTCAGGATTATATTCACGAATTAAACTAGGACCACTCAAGATATATGAAGAAGGATAACCATGTTGCATCAGTCCAGCTAAACGAGATGTATATTGTGATGGAGGATATTTTTCTTTAAATCGAAAAGCAAGTGAAGCAAGTGACTGAACTTCTTCAAAAATACGAGATTGAATACCTTCCTTCTTCAATAAATTAATATACATAAAGATAGTAAGTATGACATCCTGGTAATGAGCTGATTATTAAAAAAAAAATTAGTTCCTATTTTCCTCAAGATAATATGTATATAACTATATATTACCTAATCCTTCTTCTGTAAGATCAACACTAATACGCATAAATTCAAATCCAATACCTCCATGGATTGAGCCTACTTGAAGATAATTTGCCCATCCATTCTTTTTAAGTAATGACAAGATTGAACCACGACCTTCATGACCAATTAAATGAGAGAGGTATCTACCAGGCTAAAAAAGAATATTAAATTATAAAACCAAATATTATGTCTTATTCTATTTATCAAATACCTGAACAGCATACAAAGGACGTTGATCTGGGAAAGGGAAAGTCATTTCTAAAGAACGTACATCCTTAACAGGCTTCACAAATATTTGTTTCTATATACAAAGTTAATTATATGTATATATATAAAAGAATGCATTTAAATCCCATTATTACCATAAGTTCCTTTTCTGTAAGTGGGTGACCAGGAAAACTAGGTGGTTCAATATTTTTATTGCGAACATATTTAAACTTTTCAACTGCCCATTCAGTCAATTGATCAAGAGACTCTATCGAAAATATAGATAAATAGTTGATAAGTATAATATACGCATATAAAATAAAATAATAATAAACAAACCTCTTCCAAGAATACATAATTTCATGATATTGGCCGAATAATAAGAGTCATGAAACTTTAATAACTCTTGTCGAATATCTTTTCCATTCTTCTTTGGGTTTTCGTAAAGTGTTTCAAGATTTCCAGTACCAAAGTGACAATAAGGGTGATTTGGATTACAAAGTGATTTTTCCAATTGAAACATACGCCAACCATCTTGCTGTCTATTCTTCTTATGCTCTGAATCAACCGCCTTTAATTCCCTTTCTGTACAACTGTCCGAAAAAAGAGGACTGATAAAAAATTGAGCAAAACGATCCAAAGCGCCTTCAAGATACTCTTGACCAACTTCAAAGTAATAATTTGTATCTTCTACACCAGTAAAAGCATTTGAAAAACCAGAATGTTCTGAAAGATACTGATTATAATCGTTTTCTTTTGGGTATTTTTCTGTGCCCATAAATAAAAGATGCTCACAAAAATGAGCTAAGCCTTGCAAATCAGTCTATTAAAGTAAAAAAAAAAAAAAAAAGATAAGGTAATGTAATATAATATACAAATATATTCGTGTTCTTTACTGGATCACTAATATGTCCAACATGAACATCTAAGGCTGCACTTGATTTATCTGTATCTTTATCATGAACTAACAAAACTTCGAGATCATTGGTTGCAAGTTTTATAAGACGATAATCACGATCATCGTTGTCCGATTTCTCTAATTTCCGAGTATAAGTCCAATAATTACCGTTAGAAGCAAGCTCCCAATCTGAAAATGATGATTTTGTTCTCATTTGACTAAATGTTAAAATGGCCTTTTTACTATGGTTGTGTAAATATGAACTTCATATATAGTCAATAGAAAAAATAAAAGGAAAAGAAAGATTAGTTATGTTTATCCATATATGAATATATTCATTCCTATTACTTCTTACAAACGGTGAAAGGTAAAAGAACTAAATATTTTTATCATTTTTTTTTTTTTATTATCATTCGGAAAGACAAATAAATACAGAACATTAGCAGTATTTGATTTTCAATTCTGCTTTAGTTCAAACCCAGCGAAATTCAGAGCAGTAGATACTCTTTTTTTACCCTTGGACAAAAAGCAAGCAACAATATGTATTTTATGATATACAATATATATAAACACGTCATTTTATACCATTTATGAGTGCATCATTATTTTATGGATAAACAAAAAAAAATGAAATGCTGAATAAGTATTTTTAATAATTTAAGGTTCAAGTAAGAGTCTATTATAACAAAGAAAATATGAAGTCATAATAGTCTAAAAAAGTGTTCTTATCAAACTATGCATTAAGGTTTCTTTAACTTCAAAAAAGAAAAAAAAATCCTAACGTAGTATATGCATATATTTCTATTATATTACGCTATATATTAAATTATATGTATTTTTAAGAAAAAAAAATTGTATTGTGCTTTTTATATTCAATATCAATTATTAGGGTACAATTCAATCAAAGATCAACATTAAACAAAACAAAAAAAAAAAGTCATATTTTTAGCTTGAATTATTATCAATTTGAAGTTCAAAAATAGCCTTGCTTGTTCAGAATCACAATAATGTGCCTCTACAGTAAGATATTTTTTTAAAAAGTTCTTCTTGGACAATTTATTAACGATTAAGCAAAAAGACAAAAAAAGACAAAAAAAAAAGAACTACATGGACATATCTCAGGCGTAGTTTCTAATCCAATGATTGTGTTGCTAAAATAAATCCAAGAGCCCAAATTCACTAATTTATCCAAAACAGATAAAAAATAATGAAGCCATCAGAATTCAGTATAACCGCTTATTCTAAACTTTGATTTCCCATCCAAAAGCACAGTCGCAAGATCTTTCTTTGAGAAGGGAGATATCTCGTTCCTATCTCGGAAATGTTTCCATAAAACTCGTACCTTTAATAAAGGCAGTTCTACTCTACTACTTCTCCTCCACCTCTTCTTATATAGATAGGACAGAATAATTTCTTTTCTTACCTGCTCACATTTGAGATCACTCTTTCTTTCTCCTTTCGCTTGTTTACCTGTTATCTCTTAGGAGGGATTTTTAGCTCCTTTTCTCCTTTTTAAACTGACCCAGACAATGCAATAAAATTTTTTACTATTATGTACTCATTTGGGTTTTTTATTCTATTATTTAATTGTATTGGCATTGCTATAATAGACTCCAATTTAATTGGTGGTTACAGTATTTAAAAATAATAATGATCTGATAATAAAAAAAAAAAAATAAAATAAAAAAAAGGTGGATATAAAGGATCATCATTTTTATATTGTGATGACTTGACTATAGACAGTAAGGAGAAGAATACTTTGTTGAAAAGTAAATAAAAGATCCACTATGTGTTGTATTAAAAAAAAGATAGATAGTTAGTTTAATAGAAAATACTTTCTTATTCTTTTTATATATACAACCTTGTATTATAGTTAACAAGGATAATATGATTTTTGTATCTTTTAAGATCTGCTTTTATTTAAAGAATAAACTTTGACAACATTTATCATAATTGTAGAATAAAATAAATTAAAATATTCTCAAGGCTTTTCATGACATATATAAAGCAATACAGAAAGATAACTATTAAAATAAGAAGACGGATTAAACATTAATTTTCTTGGGGATTTCAGATGTTAAATTTCGAATCCTATCGAATATATTCCAGAAAATTAAAAGCTTTTAATTATTAAGACGATAACTATTGAAAAAGATGAACCTGTTAATTGAAAGAAGATTAATTGAAATAGACAAAAACAATTTGTACAAATCAGTTTTAACTAAAGACAAATAGGCGGGCTATTTAAATAATATATTCAAGTAAATAAAAAGGGAAGTTTTTTTTTTTTTTTTTTTTTTTTTTTTTTTTTTTTTTATTTCATTTATAATATTTGTATTGATGTATGCCCTCTGCTAATACGACTAAAATAGTACATCCACATTATATACATATATATAGAACATATACACATATATAATATGACAAATAGCGAAAGGCAAATATTAATCTAATCCTAGTTAGGGATATATTTGGTACCAAGATCCGACAATTTGTAGAAGCCATTGAAGAGGACATGATATGGATAAATGTGATCGGACAGTCGACTAACTTCCTCTAGCACTGAAGCGGACTCCAATACTAAAAAAAGCTTCTATGCCACAGTCATAGTGGTACGGGCAACATGTATGAATCGTACCATCCATGTCTCTTAATAACTTACTACAACTACTATGTAGTGACTACTATGTAGTTTGAACTAAAGAAAAGAAAAGAAAAAAAAAAAGGGAAAACAGATTGTCTCCTTATATAGAAAAATAAAATAAAAAGGTCACAACATTTATCATCGTTATTAATTGTTATTGGCTACAATTTTTTTTTTCATGCATAATAGTAATAAAAAAAAAGGGGGGGAGGGAAGAGATCATCAGCGTATATTATAGTTTTTTTTTCTTCACATTATACTATATAATATAGCTTGCTTATTATTACTTGTATAATAAAATTCTTTATTTAATAGAAAAAAGAAAAGAAAATGCATACATGTAATATTCTAGTATCATTTATAGAAGAAGAGAGATATTTTATAGTAAAAAAAAAAAATATGTGTATATGATAAGCATATAATATTATAACAGATGTATTTTTATTATTTGACAACATTATCATCAACCCTATACAACAAACACTAAACATGACATGAAAATGATGATTTATTTGACAACAAAAAATAGACAACAAAAGTAATGAAATCATTTTATATATACACATATTAACCACACATGTTCAAATAGATGCTGTCTTGTTGAATTTATCCCCTTTTTTTGCTTTGGTATAAAATATGCCTTGATAAAGGAATAACAATTAAACTTATACAATGACTCACAAAAGTGTGGCAATGTTTTTTTTTTTTTTTGATTTTTTGGCTTTCCTTAGTGCACAACTTGAATGAATAAAGATACATTAATAAAAGTATTTTTTAATGGAAAATTGACAACACTTACATTATTTTTATGGCTTCTTGACCCTCATTCAAATGCATGAATGTTCATTTTGACAACAAATTATGTCATTTTATACGATTTAGCCATTTCGTTGTATAATATTTTTTTCTTTATCTATTTTTTTTTTTTTAATTTTAATTTTAAATCATTTAATATCATTATTGAATTAACAAAAAGATTTACTTCCTATTTAATATCATTTTTTCCTCACATTCATTACTAATCTGAACAACATTGGTGCATCATTCTCATTAACACATAGATCATCATATATAATAGAACTAGACAAATTCCTTACGATACAAAGATGGATATATTAGCAAAACTTAATACTAAGGAGTCTTATAGAGATATTTCTACAGCAATGGGCATGTCAACTAGGACAATTAGCAAAATTGCCAAATAAAGTCAAGTTGAGATTAACGTAAAACAAGATAGACCAAAGATGATTAGCCCATTACTTGGAAGATTGAATGCGCGATCTTTTTATACTAGTCATTTCATCACTGTGGTGAACGCTGCCCGTAATTTACATGGTCAAGGGTATGATATTTCCACACAAACCATTTCGTAGATTCTTAAAATCATCCGACTTTGATTCAAAGATTAAGAAATCTGAATTACCATTGACGAATGAGCGTCAACGAAATCGTTTAAAATGGGCCAAAGCTCATAGAAACTGGACTGTTGAGGATTAGAAAAAGGTCATCTTTAGCGATGCAACAAAAAAAAATAATTGTTTCGATTCAGATGGAAAGCAATGGACATGGGTTAAAAAGGGTGAACCGTTAAAAAGACCATAACGTCAACTTTTAAGTACAAAGGTGGGGGTTGCAGGAGGTGGAAGCTTAATGTTATGGAGTTCTTTCACGCAAACATGGTCTTGGTTTTATTGCCAAGATTCAGGGAGGGATTCGCAAAATATATTGTGAAATATTAAAATGTTTACTTCATGAAGACCGCTAAAGGATTATCAACTTTGTAAATTAAAAGATGTAATCCTTCAACGAGACAATGAATTCAAATTGGTTCAAGAGAAATAAAGTAAATGTCCTTAAATGGCTCTCATTTACTCACCTGATTTAAATCCAATTGAAAAACCTTTGATTTTATTTGAAGTATAGTGCAAGCTTGCTGCCAATGATAGACCACCAAAAAACATCATGGATGATTTATGGAATGTCTAGTACAATAAAGTTACAGCTGAACTATGCTTAAAACACATAGAAAGCAGCAATAAAAGCTACCAAGTACTAAACATAACAGATATGTTGTTTATTTCATTTTTTTCAATAAACTATTTGCATACAAATAACTTTTAACATTATCTAATGCATATATGCTATATTGTACTTTGCTCAATAAATTATTGCGGATTTGAATTGTATAAATTACCTAAAATCATGAAACAATGTCACACTTTTGTGAGTCACTGTAAAATAGAAATAAAATAGACATCAGGAACCTATACTTGAATCAAACAATTTAAAACCTTAATCAGGACATTATAACGCCCAATAGATAATAACATATATAAATCAGTAGCTTGAATCAACAATACGTATATATCTGCTGAATACTAACACTGTTTCAAGACTCATTAATATAAATACAAGCAATTGGTATAGACACAAAATAGTCTTTATATCATTCTTTTTACATTGAATAAACAAGTCACAAACTATACTGTACTTCTTTTTAGTTTTCTTTCTTTTTTTTTCTTCTTCTTTAAATCATACCATCAATTAAGCTTATATTAAAGTCATATACTCTAGTTTATACTTATATAATGTATGCTATACCATACCGCAACAGAATAATTTTTATTTTATATACTCTATATATACCATTATTTACAAATCAATAAATAAATTCTTTATCATTATCTCCTCTATGCTGTTGTCAAATTGGACAGCATATGTTATTATTTGTGTGTAAAATAATTTATTCATATAATTTTAGTCAGTCAAACATTATATAGGCTAATCTGTTTAAGTCAATCCTATGAAATTCAAAAGGTTGTCTGCACAAGTTTTTTTTTTTTTTTAAGAGCTGAACTTTAATTTTCTTCTGCTGCATTAACTGATTCCAAGAAAAAGGTACAATTTGATTTTATGTGTATATCTTTTTTTAAGAGAAAAACCCGTTCCAAAATATAGTAAAAAGATACAAGTTAGCTCACATTAGTGCTAATCATTCAAATTTTTTATTTTGTATCATATCATAAAATGTTATAAAATCAAAGAAAAAAAATTACGCATAATAATAAATTACATATAATAATAAATACAAAGTAAACCAAATACAAAATTAGAAGCAAAATGCCTTATATGGTGTTTAATGATGTAATTTGATATGAAGAGTTTGATATGAAGAGTTTGATATGAAGAGTTAGTTAAAGTATAAAATTGGGCAATGTAAAAACTTCTTTGTTACACCCTTTTTTTTTTCTTTGAAAAAAAAAAAGTATTTAAAGTATTAGTCTTTTTTTACCCCTTAAACTCATACAAATTCATACAAATTCATACATATAAAAAAAAAGACTCACTCAAAAAGGAAATTACCATTTAATTAATTGGTTCTTGTTCCCTCATTTTCTTAACTATTATTTTGTATGTGAAGAAAAGATATAATTTTTTTTTTGAAAACGTGTAATCAAATGAATCTCTAAAAGAAAAATCGTACGCTACACATTTTTTTTCTACTCTTGGCCAAAAAAAGACTGTACTCCTGTTTTTTTTTTTGACAAAAGCATGGCACATTTTTTTACTGAACTTTAATTTTCTTCTGCTGCATTAACTGACTTCAAAAAAAAAGGTACAACTTAATTTCATATATATCTTTTTTTTTTTTTTTTTTTTTAAAAAAAAATCGTTCCAAAGTTGGTAATAAAAAGATATATGTTGGCTCACATTAGTAGTAGTCATTCATATTTTTTATTTTATATTATAGCATAAAATGGTATAAAATCAAAGAAAAAAAATTAACTATAATAATAAATCAAAAATAAAGCACGTACATGCAAAATTAGAAGCAAAATGCACCATATGTTATTTAATAAAGTGATATGAGATGATGAGTTAATGTATAAAACTAGGCAAGTGTAAGCACTTCTTTGTTACACCTTTTTTTTTTCTGAAGAAAAAAAGTATTTTTGCAATTTTAAATTATTGAGCACGTAAAAAAAAATCGCGCTTTTTTTTTTTTTTTTTTTTTTTTTTTTTTTTTTTCATTCAATTCAAAAAAAAAAAGTTTCCAAATCATTAGTTTTACCCCTTAAATTTACACATCTAAAAAAAAAGATACGCTCAAAAAGGAAATTTTATTTAATTGGTTCTTATTTCCCCACTTTTTTAACTAATATTTTGCATATGAAAAAAAGATATAGTTTTTTTTTTGAAAACATGTAATTAAATTGATCTCAAAAAGGAAAATTGTACGCGATGCCTTTTTTTTTTCTTATCTTTTAACAAAAAAAAAAAAAGACTTTACTCCTGTTTTCTTTTAAACAAAAACTTGTCACATTTTTTTTTACTAAATGAAAAAGTTAATAAAATCAATTATTTTATTTCTATTTCACCCCTTCATAGATTAAATTATTTTATTAAAATGTTTAACTGTAAGTATAGTATATTATATTGGATATGATAGCTGTGATTTTAAATTGATACTTTATTTTATAAAAATTAGTCTTTTCGCGCTCCTCTGCTGCCTCAGCTGCTTCAACAGCAGCTTCAACTGTTTTCTACGCCGCTTCAACAGCGGTGTCCAATGCTTTCGCCGCATTGTCGGCTTCCTTTTCTCTCTCTCCTCCTCTCACTACCTGGCAGGCCAGTAGTGATGAATCCGAAGCAGTAGCTGGTCTACTTGCTATATCATCTCCTTCGTTCCGTGGTGTTGATTTTGGTTTCGGTGCTGGTGTCGGTGTTGGCGTTTCGCCATTCGGCGATGAAGAAGAAGAGGTGTCTTCTGTTCGTGGTGCTGGTGCTTGGGTCTGTCCTCCCTTTACTTGGAAGGACGGCGATCATGAAAGTTGGGTGTCCTGGCTCTCACAAGAAGAAGAAGAATTGGCTCCTCTCGTTGATGATGTGTTCTCCTACTCTTTGCCATCCTCTCAGGCCTCTGTGGAGTCCGACTTAATGGACTTGGACAATGACTCCATGGAGGTCGACGATCCTGTTGATCTCCTCTGTGAACACTTTGAGGGGATGGCCTTGGCTACCACTGGCGACGATCTTATGGAAGGAATAATCTACGGTGACTTCTAAGCCGGTGGTAGCCTTCGAAGTTCAGCGAGGGGAAGCTGATAAAATACTCATGGCCAGGACATCCTTGTAAATAATGTATATAAAAAAAAAAAAACTTTCATTGTAAATATTGTATATATATATAAAAAAAAAACTTTCCTTGTAAATAATATTCTTGTATATATTTTTTTTAATAAATTTTTTTTGTATATTGCTTTCTTTATTTTTATATTATAACTATAAAAAAAAGTCTAAACAATGCTTATATTATTATTCTTATTTCAAAATGATAGAAACAAGCATTTCATTCAAAGTATTGCTTCCAATACTAAACTCAACAGTGTTTTTATATGTTCAAAAAAAAAAAGAAGCACGTACATACAAAAATACAGACAGATTCAATAATGTATTATTGTATGAAGGATATTTACAGTCAATAGATAAAAAGTATATCAAATGGGTAATAAATGATAGGCTTTAGAATTCACATAATAAGTATTTTTTTTTTACCAAAGACTTTTAACTAATGGTTTTTTTTCTTTTGTATACAAAAATTTCAAAAATTTGATTTTATTTTCTTCAAAAAGTAGAGACACAAACTTGTAATAATGTTGTCTATTGGCAATATACAGCCTGAGTAATAAGAGTAATAATGTTTATTAGACAGAAACAGTCTACAACAGCTATAACATGTTTGATTTTCTAATTAAATTTCCGCTCTTTTTTTTTTCTTTCTATCCCATTAAAAAAAAAAAAAAAACTCATACTGCTTCTATGCCCCTCTTTTTTTAACTAACGATTACTTTCTTGAAACATGTCTAATAAATATAATGTCCTTGTGGACATGGAAGATGCAGCTTATACACAAGTAAGAATAGTTTATCTAAGTTGTTGACTTGCAATATTTAATGCTTTTATAGCCTGCTACTATTGAAAGTGATGGACTTGAATTTCAAGGTAAAACTTTTTCAACATTTATTATAAATCTAGTATATAACTAACTAATATTGATTGTTAGACTTTTCGAGTAGTCGAGGAATAAATAACTCTTCTTGTAAGTTTGAAGTATAAAGTAAATTATGTTTGCTAATGTTTTTATTTGTTAAAAAAGCTTTAGCATCATCATCACCAGCACCACCCCCACCACTATCTACAGATAATACAAACTTCTTTGACTCGCCTCAACAAACTGGAGCACGTTCTTCTGGAAAACCTATTTGGTCTCTTGATTATTATTCGCAATTCTTTGACGTTAATACTTCTCAAGTTGTTGAACGATGTTTAAAGTCAATGTACCCGGTAGGAGATTATGCAGCAGACACGCTCAATAATCAACCCGATTTATATGGTCCATTCTGGATTGCAACCACAGTTGTCTTTGCTGTCTTTGTTTGTTCTTCATTAGCAGATTCTTTAGCTGCTTACATTGCAGGCAAATCTCACGTTTATGATTTCACCCTTTTAAGTTTTGCTGTAGCAGTTGTCTACATTTACGCCTTTCTATGTCCTATCATTGTTTGGGCTTCAACGAAATATTTTGGTTGTCAACCTAGTTTGCTAGATATCATTAATTATTATGGATATGGCTTAACTATCTGGATACCAGTCTCTTTGCTCTGTATTATACCGTTTGATTATGCAAGATGGGCTTTTGTAGGTGTTGCTTTTGTAATTACGGCTGTCTTTTTAGTGAAGAACCTTTATATTGTCATTTCAAGAACGGATGCAAAGACATCTCGTGTCATTTTATTAGCTATTTTATTTGCTCATACCATTTTTGCTTTGATTCTTAAATTGGCCTTTTATAGTTATAATTATAGTATCAAATAAAAACCTGGCTTTTATTTTTATTTTTATTTTTATTTTATTTTTTTCCAATATTTTATTTTATTATTTTTTTTTGTTTTCTTTTTACTTTTTTTAATAGCAATGATGCCTACATTTACATCAAAAAGACAACAAAAGATTTGGGAAAGACAAAGGAAAGAAACAGAATCTAGAAAAAAGTCTCCAGCATCCTATGTTAATCAAACTCCATTTCGATATGCAGAAAGAAACTTCAAGTCAAAGGTGCCACCACCTGATTTTTCTCAAGTCCTTGATTTTAATACTATTTATGACGATAGACCTAAAAATGAAAACTATAAAGATATTGTGGCTGTTGAATTAAGCCATAATTTAAAAAAGCTTTCTTCAATGTTTGGTGATGATGATGATCTATCGAGTTCCAAAACAGCAGCCTATATTTTAAAATCGGTGCCTGGTCTTATCATTATTCCTAATGCATTTACACCTAAAGCGCAACGTCATTTAATTAAGCAATGTTTGTCAGTTTATGCTCAAGCACCCAACACTTCTAATTTACATACACATTATGTTATGCCCGAGAGAGGGTTATGGCCTTTGTATGAGGCACAAGAGAAAGGCTTACTAAAGCTAACAGATCCTAATTTCTTTGTACCTAAAAAGGCAGTTGTAGACAATGAAGAATTGACTAGCAGTGAAGACGAAGAAGAAGAAAAAGAGGAAAAAGAAGAAGCTAAACCAACAAGTTTTCCTACAGCATGTTCAAATGAATTTAAGCCCGTTATTGAAGATCTCAAGCCTGATCCTTTACCAGCACCCGGTGTACCCCTTCTATCTCCTTCTGATTTAATTCGCAAACTACGTTGGATTACATTAGGTTACCAATATCATTGGCCAACAAAGACTTATCATCTTGACCGTCGTTATCCTTTTCCTGAGGATATAGCTGAATTGATAAAGGCAGTTGTGACAGCATCGGAAGGTGTAGGTTATGATAACTGGAGAAATGAATATAAAGGTTCTGACTATAAGGCAGAAGCTGGTGTGATTAATTATTACCAATACAGAGATACGTTAATGGGACATGTGGATCGAAGTGAATTAAATATGGAAGCACCCTTAGTATCCCTTAGGTAAAAGGCAAGGATACCTGAATGAAATAATATAAATTTATTCACTTTTTATACATATACATATTTTATAGCCTTGGTCATTCTTGTATTTATTTAATAGGAGGATTAACGAGAGATACTGTACCTATTCCTTTATTATTAAGAAGTGGCGATATTGTTGTCATGACTGAACCCTGCAGAAAAGCTTTTCATGGTAATAAATAAAATATAGAATAAAAGGAGAGAGAGAGAGAGAGAGCTCCTTCTCCTCCCTTCCATATTCATTATCGAAAGTTAACCATATAACCATTCTATAGGAGTACCTCTTATTATTGAAGATACTTTACCTGATTATTTATCAAATAAGAATGAATATGAGGATTCACCAGACTGGAAGTTGTATGGTGATTTTATGAGTACATCAAGAATTAATATAAATGTTAGACAAGTCAATCCAAGGGAATAAAAATAGATATATACACATATATTTTATATAGATATAGACATAGACATTTTATTCATAAATCATGGGTGATAATTCTATAAATACATAACCTTCGCTTTCTAAGGCACGACATAATTGAAACAAATCTTTCTTTTCTTCTTCTTTATTTTCACCATGCCACATACCAACAACAGCACCGCCACTTCCTGGGAACTTGGCAACGCAATTATGCTCTTGTGCTAATTGAATCATTCTCAGGTTTGAAGCGCCTATCACAGCATCACCATAAGTAGCTCGACGAAGATTAAAATTAGCTGACATGAGTTCAGCAAATCTTTTGTGATCACCTAACTCTAAGCTCTTTTTAGCTTGATCTGTTAAAGAGGCAAATTGCTTCATAGCTTGAATGATCTGTATATATATACATACATGTATTTTGTATTAATGATATCGTTTATTATTATTTGTTATATATATTTTAGTCAACAAGTCAAAAGTAATACACTATTCAGATTTAAGACAAGTTAATGATACTACGCAATCAATCAAATCTAATTAGAATAGCTATATATAAGATTTACTCGATGATGTTATTGCCAATATCTGATTAATTATAACTATTGCTTATCATCCTATCAAACTAATCTTAAAACGTTGTAGTAAATTCTAGCAAAAAAGAAATTCCTAATTGTTTCATGACATGGTACCTGAATAAACAAACTATAACAAATAATAATATACGCTGGTGTTTGTTTTGGCTGAATCAAGACTGTACCTTAGCTGCCAAACTTAGATTTATTACTGTCATGACCTTTGGATCAAACATTCCTAATATAGGATCAATACATCGATAAAAGATGCTTTTTTTTTTTTTTTTTTTTTTTTTTTTTTTTTTTTTTTTTAAAAAAAAAAAAAAAAAAGAAACCACAAAAGGAGTTTCTTTCTTCACCACTCTAACAAATAGTATCATACAGAGCATACGATTGAATGCCTTCATATGGAGTCAGGATCACGCATTTAAGGGAATTCCAACGGTAACCTAGTCGGTAACTGTGTTCTTCACATTTTTCTAGTGGTGACGGAAGCTTTGAAGGAGAAGCAATTAGAATCACATCATTGGCATACAAAAGACAGTTTATAGATTGCACAACAGAGAAGGGTAACTGACTGATATATATTGAGTATAAGAATGGGAAGAAAATTGAACCCTGTAAGACATCGGTCTTTGATAAGAAATGAGACGATTTAGTCTTATCTAGGGATAACCTCAGTTTAGACCTCTTTGAGGAAATTTTTAAAGCAAGTGAAGTAAAACAGGATTTAAATATGATATGGCTGTAAAGTCTTCCATATATAGTGACGGTCAACAGTATCATACGCTGATTTAATGTCTAAAAAAAGGCCGAGGTAGGGTCAATAAGATAATATTTGCGTAATATAAAATAAGAAAATAAATATGATTAAAGAATAATTTTATTTATTCTTTTTTAATGAACCCAAATAAGCACGTAATACATATGTGTTATATTGTCCGAGTCAGAGGGAAGTGTGCTAAAGAAAAACCTTTTGATAGTCAAAAGAGTAAAAGAGGATAAGAGGAGGGAAGATGAAAAAGAAAATATATCAACATATATTAGTTTAGGAGTTACGTATCAAAGTTACCAGCTTGGTACCAAGAAGGGAAATTTCAGGAGGAATTTGATGGTGATGGAGATAATCGCGTTCCAACAAAATGTGACAGATGACTGGCCATCAGAGTGTCCAGGTAGAGAGCACTGATTGGTTAATCGTAACTAACGAGGATTCATAAGTTTTACGTCAATTTGGTAACTTGTTGAGGAGGAAGGATAAAGGGTCAGGCTCTGTCAAAGGCATTTGCAAGCGTTAAATGCATATAAATGCACCAAATTGCATGAGAGCCGGTGAACATTTCATGAGGATGGTATATGTATGGTTTGGAAAGCACTACCAGGCAACCAACCAAGGCACTAACGTATAAATCGACTGCGTTCAGCATTGGACATAAACAACCACAGTGACAGGATTAATACCCAGTATCTGACGACAAGCAAACAAAAGAGTTGAATTATTACCGTTGCATCTATGTTCAAGATTGTCTTGACAGATATCAGCAAATATACGAGAGTTAAGGTCATCATTAATCTTATGAAAAGTAGTACAGCATAGCTAAACAGGTGTTTTTTTTTGAGAGTTTATATCAATGGGAATAGCTTGAGGAGTGCTGTAAGTATAGCAAGGAATTTTGACAGGAGAGTATCATCGGGAGAGTCAAAAGAGCAAAGTAAAAATTTAGCTTGCAAAAGATGAACACCTTCCTTCATTGTTGGCTGATTGACCAAGTGTGACATAACTTTGATTGGTGAGCGGGAGCCAGCAACGAGAATTCTTTGAATACATTTTGCTTGATAAGCTTCTAGTTTTCGTTAACTGGGTAGAGGAGACTGTGCTGATGGTAAGATATTACTCAAGCTGAGACAATACTATTTGAGTGTAAAAATAAACTGAAAGCAGAGGTATTAAGTCTTTGTGATTGACACCAATAACTGTCCTTTGGTTCATAGTCTATAGGGCCTTTTTAATATTGTCTTGAACTAGTTTATCGATATTTAATTGATCATCAGGACTAATAGTGATACCCAAATAAGAAAAGGAAATTAATAGAGGAATGACAGTATCGTATAGAGAATAGGAATGTGTGTTGAAGCTAAGAGCAAATATGGCACTCTTAAGAGGGTCCCATCGATGGCCTAAATATTGACTATGTTCTTCACATTTTTTTTAGTAGTGCCTCAAGTTCATCAGGATCAGCTATAAAGACAACATCATCAGCGTACAGAAAACAGTTAATAGATATGATAAAGTGGCAGGCATCAGTGGGAGGTGTTATATCAAGTGGTTGACTACGAAGTAGTGATGGTAGCTGATTAATATATATGGAATATAAAAATGACGACAAGATAGAGCCCTATAAGACACTAGTGTTAGGAGAAAATCAATATGAGGTAGCATTCGAAACAAGGAATTCAATATGGACATCATCGAAGAGATTCTTAAGCAGGTCAAGTAAAGCTGTTAATACCAATGGCCGAAGTGTTCTCCAGATATGGCCACATATACGGATTTGATGTCTAGAAAAGCCAAAGTAGGATTGGTTTTATACTTTCTGCATCAAACTGAACAGATTTCAACAAGACGGAGGGCTTGATCCAAGATGCTACGAGTGCGACGCAATCCACCTTGATCTATGTCAAAAGAAGGGCTCTTTTGCTTGAGAGTGAGGTACATACATTTTCCCAGGATTTCGCGAAATATGAATGTCAGGCTAATGGGGCGAAAGTTGCCAGGATTGGAACAGGAAATAAACACGATTAAAGAATTTTATTTAAAGAAAATAATAATAAAAATTAAAAAATGATCAATGAGCACATAACATTTATATGCTGTATTGCTTTGGCCAGATCGCTATGGAAAAAAGGAAAGAAAAACCCTTTTCGGATAAAAGGGATAATGTTGAAGTGTGTATACAAATGATAATAATTAACTATCAGAAAATCGTTGTCGTATTAAAAGAAGTTGATTGACAAAGGGTTCACCAAGATAGTCAGAGGATTCAGGGATTCGAGAGTGGGCAAGAAATAAATACAGTGATTCGCGTTTAAAATTCAAGATTTTGTGAAGTAAAGCAAAGAATTTTTTGATCCATTTAAAACTTCAATAAGTGAGAGCAAGGTCGAATAACGCCAGGACTCTTGAAGTCCTCCAAATAAAGGGCAGTATTACAGCTATTCATTATTCCTGTAGCTAGAAGTCTCTACTTAGTTTTAATCTTATTTATGAACAATGACCCAAAAAAAAAAAAAAAAAAAAAAAAAAAAAAAAAAAAAAAAAAAAAAAAAAAAAAAAAAAAAAACTGCTCAATTGAATTCATAAAGGTGTCAAAGCCAGTAATATCCTCCAGAGGGAGTTACTTATTGTCAGCTGGCTCATTTTCTTTTTCATCAAAAGCATTGTCACTTCATTTTGAATAGGCTTTAGGCTTATTTATTTTTTATTTTATTTTTTTTTACGATAACAATTTACACAAGAAAGTGTACTTATTCAGCATTTTTATTTGGTAAAAAAGGATGCTCTATGAGGGTCTGACCGGTGACTGAACAGTACCATAAGCCATCTTCCTTTCGGATCTCTTTTCGTCAGTATGAGGAAGAGACAAAACCTATAGGATCTAAAGATGATAATAATGTAAAATAACTTTTTTTAAAAAAAAGCAAGCCATTTATTTTCACATAAATTCATTCTTTTAGTAGTAATGAGGTAAGTAGTCGTGGTTATTCTGTGAGGTGAAATTATCGAAAAATCTTGCCAAAGGATAAAGCACTAAGCGCTAGAAGCGCCAAATGGTTAGGATTGTTTAAAAGATGTTTACTTCAACTGGAAGATAAAGAGAAGGGGGGAATGTACGTGAGATTTTAGAAGGGAAAAAACATATCGATGCTGATCAAGAAATTCCATATGAAGTTAAACTACATAGTAGATCGAGTAGATTAAGTTAAAATAATTGACTGTGTTAAGGAAAGACATGAAACTACCAGGATAGTGATCACATTGAGGAGGAAGAAAAAGTATAGTGTGTGTTGTAAAAACTAACAATAAACTAAGACCAATTTTGAAGAACAATGCAAAAATAAAAAATAGCATACTTTATAATTGTCAAACTTTTATTTGCTTCCTTACCATCATAGTCATTAGATAAATTATGACAGAACTATACACTTTGGATTCATTCAGAGATCACCTCTCCCTACCGCACTAGTCGATGACGTTAGTGATGGAATAGTGCTTAGAATAAAATCACTTAGCCACCCAAACATGCCATGAAGTCCTAACACTCCTCTCAGCAATTGCAATACACAAAAGCATAGGTGATGGACGGGAGCAGTCCTTCATGGGAGTAATTGTATAGCCTAAAGTGTATAATTGTGTAATGCCTAACAGGATAAAAATAATGGAAAATAAAAAAAATAAAAATTAACAAAATGAATATCACAAAATCTTATGGCATGGATTAAATTACCGATGATAATGTAAAATAAATTACATTTAGACCACATTTTAAAAATTAAGGCTTTAGTTTTTAGATGTTTTCTTTTTTCTTGAAACTTCATACTAAATGGACTAGGTTAACTACAACCCAGAAACTAAACTATTGCTAAGAGAACACAATATAAGATGGAAGTTGGTAAATATGAGCTTGGTTTTGGTATATTGAATAATTTAGTTCATTTTGAATCTTTAAATCAACAAGTAATCGAACCTCAACCAATGGAAGACTTAGTGGAGGAAATTACAGTTGACATGAGTAAAATCAAGCTCAGTACAAGGAAATATAAAAAAGTATGGAGCAGACCAGATAGAAAAATTCATCAAGATGCTCCAAGAAGAGGGATCATCTGTCCCTAAAGCGGCTGCGGTATGCGACATACCTCGTTCAAGTGCTTATAGACTTTTGGACGAGTTTAATACTGGTGATGGGCATGTACTTGTAGGCACAACAGTCAAACCAAAAACTATCAAACCTAAAAAACTTTTCCAGGAACATACCGAATTCTTGATCGCTCTTTTTGATAAAAATCCATCGATTGTTCTTGAAGAAGCCAAATCGCAGTTATTAAGCAACTTTCCAGAAATAGGTGATATTGCTATTTCAAGCCTTTACACTCATATTCGAGAGAAATGTTTTTTGAGTCTCAAGCAAGCGAGCAAATACACTGCAGAAAGAGACTCACAAAGGACTTTAGATCTTTGATACCATATGATAACTCAGTGGAAAGCAGTAGGTGTTGATTTTTTGAAAAACTGTGTGTTTGTAGATGAAGCCGGTTTTCATTCACAAATGATGAGAAGCAGAGCTTGGTTGAGAGCTGATGAACCAGTGAAAGTAAAGGTTCATAATCAAAAAGGTGTGAGTATCAGCATCATTGGTTGCATAACTGCAAGAGAAATCCTTAGTTTTTCTAAAGCTGAACCCTTAAAGAAACATAAAGCTCCACAGCTTGAAAAAGAGTATCATCCGGATGAGCGTGATTCAAAGAAGAGGAAAGCAGATACATCAAACCAAAAGCCTAAACTTCTCAAAAAGGGTATAACTGCGTATCATATTGTGAAATTCATGGAATCAATTATGGATGTAATGGATCAAAATGATATGAAAGAGCATTTTATTGTGATAGATAACTGCAAAATACATCATAGTAAATTTATTGTTGATGCTATAAATACTCGAGGTTATAAACCTCTATTTATACCATCTTATTCCCCTTTTCTAAATCCTATCGAAGAGTGCTGGTCCAAAATCAAGAAAAAATATCAGACGAAAGCCGCTCGAAAAAGGAGATGAGCTAACCCTCCTCCCCACATTGCCAAAGCACGTAAAACTGTTACTACGCAGGATTGTCAGGGTTAGGTTAGACACGCAACTTCATACTGGGATAGGTGTTTGCAAAAAGGAATTGGCTTAAAGTAATGCTACCTTTTTCTCATTTTTACGTCTCAAAATGATTTTTACGAAGTCCAAAAAAAATAAAATGTGGTCTAATTTTTTTTTTAAAAGCGTCCCAAACTCAACCGAAAATACTATAAGAGATGACAAGACAGGTGCTTCTTTAACTCCAGATGAAAGTCGATTAAAATGGATTAGGATATTCTCAAAAGTTATTTCTGTAACGCAAAATAAGACTAATGTAATGACCATTGCCTTCAATGTATGTCAGTATCTCAAAAAGAGGGAAGTTCGGCAAAGTTATATCACAATTTACAATGATCAAAAACTGAAGTTTGAGCTTGAAAAAGAAAACGATCAAGTAAAAAAGAGATTAAGAAGGAACTTTGCTCAACAAATCAACTAAGAATTAGACGATGAGTTTAACGCTACAGTACTCAGAAATACCAACATTGATCTCGTGATAAATAGCAACAATAGTAGCAACAGCAACAAAAATATTCTCGTATTGAAAAAATATCAATATTAAACAAAGAATATTTGCTGAAGCTGAGATACTGCATAATAAAAAGTATTCACAAAGGGTCGGATTCGGTCAAAGGCATTTGTAATCGTCGATGCATATGTAGGCACCATATAGCATGATATCTTGTGAATATGGCATTAGGGTGATAGATGCACGGTTTAGGGACACCGCCAGGTAATCAACCTAGACGCCAGCGGACTATTCGGCTGCGTTTTGCATTTGACAAAGGTAACCAGAGGATATGATTGATACCTAGGGTAGGACGGCAGGCAGACAAGAGAACAGCATTGTTGTTGTTTCGTCAATCACCAAGATTATCTTTCAGGTATGCTTTACAGATGCCAGCAAAAGTATGAAGATCATAAGTATCATCATCAAAAGAAGCAGTATACCGTTTCCAGATAGGTGTTTTTGAAAGTTTATACCATGGAGAGTGGCTTGAAGAGGGGCGTATATGTGGTAAAAACTTGGAAACAAGAGTATCGTCCGGAGAGAAAGGAGTGTATACGATGAGGCTAAATTACTAAGAGAAGCAAAAGTAAATTTAGTCCAACTCCAATTCTTACTTAACAATGAAAATAGTCTACACAATTGGTCGGTGCAGATTGTGGGTTTGACTGCTATCTTTTGCACTATGATTTATGATGGCGACGACTTGTTTGTCTCTATACCTCAGTTCACTATAAACTTTCCTAGCTGTATAAAACAATTGGGTGGCTCTTCTGAAGCCTTAGATAAACTATTTTCGTTTGCCTATTATGTCGAAGAAACTGCTCATGCCATGAAATGCAGTCTCATAAAGAACAAGCGAATGCTGAATACAATCAGCCATATATTCAATAATGATGATTTTAGCAGTACCATTTCAACTTTGTTCCCTCATAAGGCGACTTCAAGGTTGATGAATTAAATGTCACCTCCTTCTGGCGATAGTACCAAAATAAATCATCCCGCCTATCAACAGGCTTATTTTATGCAACACCTTAGCCACTCCAATTGACATCAGCAGTTGTGATAGGAAGAAAGAAGAAAAAGGGAAAAAGTCGGAAAATAAAGAGGATATGTGGGGGATCCGAAAGGAAGGTGGCTTATGGTACTGTTCAGTCACCGGTCAGACCCTCATAGAGCATCCTTTTTTACCAAATAAAAATGCTGAATAAGTACACTTTCTTGTGTAAATTGTTATCGTAAAAAAAAATAAAATAAAAAATAAATAAGCCTAAAGCCTATTCAAAATGAAGTGACAATGCTTTTGATGAAAAAGAAAATGAGCCAGCTGACAATAAGTAACTCCCTCTGGAGGATATTACTGGCTTTGACACCTTTATGAATTCAATTGAGCAGTTTTTTTTTTTTTTTTTTTTTTTTTTTTTTTTTTTTTTTTTTTTTTTTTGGGTCATTGTTCATAAATAAGATTAAAACTAAGTAGAGACTTCTAGCTACAGGAATAATGAATAGCTGTAATACTGCCCTTTATTTGGAGGACTTCAAGAGTCCTGGCGTTATTCGACCTTGCTCTCACTTATTGAAGTTTTAAATAGACCAAAGAATTGATATTTAGACCTAATTCGAAGAAAAAGAGTCTAGGTATCAAAGAAAACATCCTCGACGAGGTTACTTGAGGTTCTGATCCCTTGAGATCATAAATGTCCTAAAATGAGTTTGCAAACTTTGATGAAGACATAAGGACTGGAAGATAAACCAAAAGCCGTCAAATAGTATTGATAGACTTGGTCTTTCCATTTGAACTTCAAGAAGCATCTGAAGTCATGGTGAAGACCTATGTGAAGAAAGACATCGGATAAATCGATGGATACTAAATAATTATTTGGTTTAGCCTCTTATTATTGAAGATGCTTTGCCTGACTATTTATCAAATAAGAATGAATATGCAGATTCACCAGATTGGAAGTTGTATGGTGATTTTATGAGTACGGCACGGATTAATAGAAATGTTAGGCAAGTCAATCCAAGGGAATGAAAAAGAAATATATGTACACACACACACACACACACACGCACCCATACACACATATACATATGTCCTTCTATTTTATTCATAAATCATGGGTGATAATTCTATAAATACATAGCCTTCGCTTTCTAAGGCACGACGTAATTGAAACAAATCTTTCTTTTCTTCTTCTTTATTTTCACCATGCCACATACCAACAACAGCACCGCCACTTCCTGGGAACTTGGCAACGCAATTATGCTCTTGTGCTAATTGAATCATTCTCAGGTTTGAAGCGCCTATCACAGCATCACCATAAGTAGCTCGACGAAGATTAAAATTAGCTGACATGAGTTCAGCAAATCTTTTGTGATCACCTAACTCTAAGCTCTTTTTAGCTTGATCTGTTAAAGAGGCAAATTGCTTCATAGCTTGAATAATCTATATATATATATATATATATATATATATATAAAGATTATATGAATAAACATGCTATGTTGTTATTAACCCAGTATTTATTTAATACCTCTTGATCACCATTTAGAAAACGCTGCTTAACTGTACTATGAACTTTACCTGAATCTTCAGGATCAGCAACGTAAGCTAACCATAGTTTGGGTAATAAGTTGACATCTAATGATTTATATTTTCCATGACCTTGTTTTTCTACATATTCACGATCAAAATCCATGTAAACTAATCCGCCAAAAGTCTAAAAAAAAAAGTAGAACATGATTAACAAAAAAAAAAAGGAAATAAGTTGCTTACTTGAATAACTCTATCTTGAAGACCAGCAGCAATACCTAATTCATCTTGTTCCACTTTTAGAATAAGACTTGCTTGAACCTCTAAAGGAATTTCAGTGACACCATAAAAGCAAGATAAAATCTTCCAAAGAGCCGTAATGATAGCTGAGGATCCTGCGAGGCCGACTTGACGTGGAATGTTGGTTTCAAACATCATTTTGAATCCATGTTCTGTATCAATAGGAATTTGATGTTCTTGGCAGTAACAATAAAAGACTTTACAACAAGCTTGTAAAAGTCGATCACCTGTTTCGTACCCATCAATCTTGGAGACGCCCACTAAACACTCTAAGGAAGAAAAATGATGAGGGTCTGATACTGGATTAGGTAATATTGTGATCTCTGGTTGCTCATGAGGTATCAACGTGACCTCTGCCCAAAAATTCGAAATCAAAAGCGACAGTGTTTTACCAAAGAATCCATCACTAGGATTACCCATTAAACCTACACGCGCATAAGCTCTTTGATGAAGTGGTGACTTGGACTGAAGGGTTTTGTGATGATTATTATGTCGTTGTTTAAAATCATCTAGAGAGAATTGCCAATGATGAAGATAAGATTTCAGCGAAATCTCGGGATCTACATAATTAAAATGATGATGGGGTTCATTATGATCAAAAGTAACTTGATGAGTAGATGGCTCTTGAGTCATATAATGAACCAATTCTTCTTGCCAGCTTGACCCTTTATATATATTACTTTCGTAGAAATAGTCGAGTTTTTCAATTGATGCTTGACTCATGCCAAATGCAAAAGGAATTTTATTGGCCGTGTAAAGTATAAAATGGGAAGTTGTAAATAAAACATCAGGTAAAACATCTTCACAAAATAGTTCTGGTGAAGTAATAACAATATCGTTTTGAATCTGTTTAACACGATGAACAAAAGCCAAGTCAGATAATGCGCTTGTGCTTGTCAAACGTAAAAAAAAAAAAAAAAAAAAAAAAAAAAAAAAAAAAATTAGTTTTACAACTATAAAAATACATGTACAAATGCATATCTATTTTACCCAAGCCCACTGTTTAGTATATTTTCTCTAGGAAAATTGACGCCAATTGCCCAACGTTCGTAATGTTTAAAGCTTTTTTTTTCCCCTTTTAGTTACATTTTAATTATATACATGAATAATGTTAAGCTTACTTGTATGCATTTGTTACAATATAAATTTGATAAAATACTGTTTTCGCCTTAGAATAGAACCAACTTAGTGCTGGTTTGCCAGATATGGGCAATAGGCCTTTAGGGACACTACGAAATCTTAAAAACTTTGTATCATAACATTCCTGCAAGAAGTACGTATAAGTGAAGAAATAAATAAATAAATAATAGCAAGTTTTATTTTACGTGAATATCTCTTTCAATTTGACATGTAGCTAAAGAAGAAGCAAATATAATCAAAGTCTTTGTTGGAATTGGACTCATATTTGTATTTATTTTCCCTTCAAAAATGAAAAATCCTGCTGGGGAAAAGAAAGAAAGAAAGAAAGGGAAAAAAAAAAGAATAATATTATTGTTTAATTGATCCTATTTTACAGCAAGAATTCAGTTTCTATTTTCAGGACATTTTTATTTTTATTTTTTTTATTTTCCGAAGTTAACCTGTACATTAATTATACTTTTTCCTTCATTAATCTATTTTTATGATCATACCAGCGAACAACTTCTTCATAAACAGTCCATGAAATAGCAGAATTAAGTGGTTTCCTAATAAGTCTTACACTTATACCATCAAAGAATCCTACAAGTCCTTCTTCTAAATATATCTTTTTCGCTGCTTGTACCATGTTTTTATATATCATCGGTTTAAGTTGCATACGTGTCTTTAACATATCAAAGGGCTGTGTTGTGCAAGTAGCTGCAATACCTGCAATCACTCCAGATCCCATGTTGACTACTGCATTTGCTACTGGTAAACGATGATTGTCTTTATATTCTACCATATACTTTTAGTCTATTTTATGAATGCAAGCCGTGTACAAAATTATTCTTTACCATTAGCCCATGCTTTACATCCTTCATAAAAAAACAAGTAAATGCCAGCAAATGGAGCATCTCGAATAAATGTAGCACCATAACCAGAAAATAGTCCTAAGTAGTCACTTGAATAAATACATACAACTCCATATATAACATGTATGAATATTTATATGTTGCCTTTTTTTTACCTCTCACTCCGTCTGTTTTGATAATTGATTTAAATGCTTCATTTAAACTTGTATAGTTATAAAAATTACTCTAATATAGACAAAATAAGTGAATAACTATATAATAAATATAAATCATATTTCCTTTTCTTTTTTTTCCTTCTTCCTTCCTTTACCTCATATCTAACTTTAACTACTGTAATAGGCATCATTATATATCCTACTGCACCTCTAGCTGTAGATCCTGAAATTAAATTTTCCCAACGTTGATGTTGTTCTAAACTAGATTTATTAAACAAAGGTTGCCAGCTACTTCTTGTCTTTGTTAATATGTCTCTAATTTCAGCTAAAGTAAAAAAGTATAATGCCGATCCTGGTACATTTCTAAATTGAACATGAATAAACTAATTACTTGTATATACATAATTCAATTACCTCATAATAGTAGGAACTGTACCTCTCCATAGTCCGCTATAACCATTAGTGTTTACAATGTCTTTAATTGTAGAATAAATATTACTACAGATACAAAATAGGTGAATATGTATACGTATAATTAATTTGTACTATGTAAATATATACCTCTTTTGGGGTGATACTTTTAATCCCTTTTGCTTTGCTTCTTTTAAAAACGCTAGATGGTCTTGTCGCTGCTGTTGTAAACGTGTCTTTATTAGATCAAGTGGCTGAAGTATAACACATGCTGTCATGCCTGATAATGCTCCACCCGTTAAATGGAGTGCTGAATTCTTTTTATCTATTTTTGACATTAATATTCTAGGGTAGGGTAATCTCAAAAAAAAAAAAAAAAAAAAACGAAAATAGAAAAAAGAAAAAAAAAGGAATAAAGGAGTACATATACTAAATTTCATGCAAATCACATGATAATGTTAAATTTTGACACTTTAACACGATTAAGGTTTTTACTATATTCAAAGTATGAACGCAAATGCTAAAAGGATGAATAAATACAGTGTGAACATCTCTCTCTTCCTTTTTATATAAATATGAACTTATGCTTTATATGCATGTATATAATTATATTTAGCTGTGTGTATTTGTATTTTTTTTTACTGCTTATGTAGCCTTGTATCAAATTTTATTATTATAATTCGATACTTAAACAGACACTCTTTTCTACACATAGCTTCGGCCTTTAACTGACTCAGCTTAATATCCTTCTCAAACAATTATCTAATTCACTTGAAGGATAAGCTTACTGGGAAAACAATCATTAGATAGTTCTTTCGCATACTAATAAGACTCAGCGTGATATGATATAAAATCATAAATTTCAATCACTATCATCAGAATAATAATGATAAAATGGCTTGATGATTTTGTTGACAGACGAATATAAAGCAACCTTTATGTATTTAATAGGCTTTTCTGCCACGATTATCACAGATTGGTACAGTTCACTTTGAAGAGATTATGGCAGTCAGATTAGTGGTAACATGATGCAATTTGGTAAAAGTAACAACAGAAATATAAGTAATTAACACTATTATGCACAATTTGTGTGTTATTGAATAAAGTGTACTCGAAAACTAAAACATGGATTATATACGCCTTTCAATCTATCTATCGCAGATTTCCTAGGTAAATAGTTTGATAAACCTCATTCGGGTTCTTTTATTTGCTTGTTAATTTATATTCTTTCGTTGCCTATAACTCAGGCTGAATGTAGTCGTGCTCTACGCTGGTGTCTCCCTTGGTCGCTTGGTGGCATCTCAAAATCTTTGTATCTTCCATCCGTATCATAAGCTTTACTCAGTCTCATGCTACGACTGTCAATTTAAATATGCACTGCCATTTTTTTTTTAACGCTAATTAGTGCGTCTGATCCTTTATTTTATTTATTTTTTTCTAATAAACGTAAAAAGTCAATTATCCCACGTAACTGCTTCTCTATTCCTACATAGATTGTTTACCAGCCAAAAAGTATGTAGTTTAGTCGTTGAACTTGATTACCTTCACTGTACTAAAATCCTTCTCTTGAGATCTTCTTTTACCTTCTCTTGATATTATTGACTTGATCAAATGATTATTCAGTTCTCTGTTAGACTTTCAAAAGATTTTTTTTTTAGTTTCCCTTTTTGTTCAAATGGGTTTTAAAATTTTATTCAAAAAAAAAAAAAATATTTAATTGTACTCGAAAACTATTAAGGAAAAGTCAATTTTATAAAACGCTTTGTTGTTTATCCTTTTTTTTTTCTTATTTATTTACACCCATTACGAAGGAAGATACATTAAAAAAGAAAGGAGGATATATTCAAACTATATTTCGATACCCACCTTTGTTTTTTATTACATAATATACTTTTTTGTTTTTGTACAAAAAAAAAAAAAAAAAAAAATTATCCCTTTTTTTATATATCATTTTACTCCATTCAAAGTCAATTATATATATACAAATGTCTGTAGTTGCGATGTTAAACTCTCAAGAAAATTTGAACAGGATATTTAATGACTTGAAATCAAAGTAATTAGACTTTAACAACAATGTTTGATAAACCATAATTAACAGTTTTTTTTTCTTTTATTAGGCATGAGGATAAACGTATTAAAGCCGCACAAGAACTTCGTGAGACTGTAAGTATAGACAGTTAATAAGTCACTTTTGTTTGTTAAATTCGTGAGATTAGGCAATAACAGCATCAAGAGAATTATCAGAAGAGAATTTTGTTCGCTTCACCAACGACATTAATAAACGTTTTTTTGACTGGACTCATGGTAGTGATAACAACGAAAAATTAGGTGCTATTATTGGCATAGGTATATAGCACACACACACACACATATATATATATATATATATACATACAAATATTTATTACTTTTACATGTAGATCGTTTGATTGGATTAGAACCTGAAAGTAATGCTAATCGTTTTCATAATTACCTCCAACACATGTTACCTCATCATGATCAACAGATTATGGTACCAGCAGCAAAAGCATTGGGTCGATTGGCAGTTAGTTCTTTAACTTTAACAGCAGATTTAGTAGATACACAAGTAGAGCATGCACTTGAATGGCTTCAAGGGGAACGTAGTCGTTTAGCAGCCGTTCTTGTATTAAGAGAATTAGCCGTGAATGCACCTACTCTCATTTATGCTTATGTTCCTCGTATTCTTGATCTTATCTGGATTGCTCTTAGAGATACAAGGAATGTAATCAGAGAATATGCTGCAGACTGTCTTTCACAATGTTTAGAAATTGTACAACAGAGAGAAACGCCCATGAGAAAGACTTGGTATACTCGCATTTGGCAAGAAGTAAATCGTGGATTACGTATGAACAATACTGAGGCCACACATGGGAGTTTATTAGCTATGAGAGAACTATTGTTACATGCTGGAATGGTATTTTATTTTTTTATTTGCTTTTTATTTTTTTAAGCACTCACTTTTTATGATAGTTTATGACAGACATGTATAAAGATGTTTGTGAAATCACACTTCGTTTAAAAGATTCTCGAGATGCTTTAATTAGAAAAACTGTTGTTTCGATTATATCAACTTTAGCTACATATGATCCAGCTACATTCTCTGAACTATATTTGCATAAATCAATGAGTCATTTGTTAAATTTGCTTCGAAAAAACAATGAAAGACGTGATGGTAATTATATAAACATACATATAAATAGATCTAATAAATTTGCTAAGCTCACATTGATTTAGCTTTCATTGCTGTTGGTCAAGTTGCTATTCAAGTAAAAAGTAATATGAGCCCTTATTTAGATGCAACATTGATCTATGTGAAAGAAGCATTGTCTTTGAAAGGGTAAAATAAAAAAAAAATCAATAAATTAAAATGAGAATAATACATATTGATATGGCTCATGTTATATAGACGTCAAAGAAAGGAGGTAGAAGCAGCAGCTTTTACTTGTACGAGCATGCTAGCAACCGCTGTTGGACAGACATTAACAAAATACTTACATGATCTATTGGATTTGATGTTTAATTGTGGATTATCTGAACCTTTAGTTACAACATTAAGTAATATTGCAGATCGTATTAAACCATTATCTCCTGTTATTCAAGGTAAAAAAAAAAAAAGAGAGAGATATGTACATAGGACAACGTTATGGAATCTGTTTCTTATATTTATTTTATTTTATTTTTTTTGTAGAACGATTATTGAATGTAATTTCTATTACACTTAGTGGACAACCTTATAAACAACCGGGGGCACCTACAAATCGTACTATCATTCAAACTGTCGAGAGACCGCTTCGTGAAAATGGATTAGGAGATGGGAAGGATAATGACACGATTGTACTTGCATTGACAACACTAGGTTCATTTGACTTTTCTAATCATGTGCTTAATGAATTTGTTCGAGACTGCATTGTCAATTATCTAGATGATGATCTTCCAGAGATAAGAAAAGCAGCAGCAGTTACGTGCTGTCAATTATTTGTACGTGACCCAATTTGCAATCAAACAAGTGCGCATGCAATTAAAGTAGTGGGTGAAGTATTGGAAAAGTTATTGACAGTGGGTATTGCAGATCCGGACCCAGTTATTCGAGAGACTGTCTTGTCATCTTTAGATGTTAGATTTGATCGTCATTTAGCTCAAGCAGATAACGTTAGATCTCTTTTTATTGCACTGAATGATGAAGTATTTGCGATACGTGAAATTGCAATCGCGATTATTGGTCGACTAACAACTTATAATCCAGCTTATGTCATGCCGTCTCTTAGAAAGACTTTAATTCAACTCTTGACTGAATTAGAATATTCTGTTATTAGTCGTCAAAAAGAAGAATCAGCTCGTCTAGTTTCGCTCTTGGTGAGAGCCGCACAAAAATTAACAAAACCTTATATTGAATCTATCTTAAAGGTGCTGTTGCCTAAGGCTCGAGATTCTTCGACAGGAGTTGTTTCAGCTGTTTTAGGAGCTTTAGGTGAATTAGCTGCTGTTAGTGGCGAAAGTATGGCCCCTCACTTGAATGAATTAATGCCATTAATCATGGAAACATTACAAGATCAAAGTTCAAGTGCTAAGCGTGATGCTGCATTAAAGACTTTAGGTCAACTTGCAAGTAACACTGGTTTTGTCATTGAACCCTACACAAAATATCCTGCTTTACTTAATATTCTTATTAATATTCTAAAGACAGAACAAAATCCAACAATTAGAAGAGAAACTGTTAAATTAATGGGTATTCTTGGTGCATTAGATCCATACAAGCATAAGGTAAATTTTATTTTGCAATACTACTACTACTACTGAAAAAAAAAAAGCAAGACAAATCTAAACTAAACGTTTTATTCAGATGAATGCTATAGGAAATTCAAGCGAGGAATTGACAGATCCTAAACTTGCAAGTAATGATGTTATTTTACTTATGAACGGTATCGGACCTTCTTCAGAGGATTATTATCCTCAGGTTGTAATGCATTCATTAATGAAGATTTTGAGAGACCCTTCTTTAAGTCAACATCATTACTCTGTTATTGATGCCATTATGTTTATTTTCAAGACACTTGGATTAAAAGTGGTTCAATTCTTACCTTTAGTTATTCCAGGATTTTTATCTTTGATGCGAACCAGTTCTACAGGTTTGCTTGAACTTTACTTTCACAAATTAAGTGATTTAGTTTCCATTGTCAAGCAACATATTCGTAACTATTTAAAAGATATTTTTGATCTTATCGACGATTACTGGACGCCTGTCTCCTCTCTCCAGATTACGATTATTTCTCTAATCGAAGCCATTGCTAAAGCTCTTGATGGTGAACTCAAAGTTTATTTACCCCGTTTGCTACCACACATGCTTCAAATTTTTGACAGTGATGTCTCTGAAAGACGTCAACCGACTATCAAAATTTTGCACGCCTTTGTTGTGTTTGGAGCCAATATTGAAGAATATATGCACCTTGTCATTCCTGCTGTCGTTAAATTTTTTGAAAAGCCTGATGCACCCGTTTCTGTTCGTCGCCAAGCAATTTCAACTATTACAGCGCTTTCAAAAAAGGTGAATATGTTTGACTATGCTTCTCGTATTATCCATCCTTTAGCTCGTGTATTACCTGTATTGCCAATCGAAGCTAGAAACGCAGCCATGGATCTTTTGTGTGCTCTCATCTTTCAACTTGGCACAGATTACACTAAATTCATTCCTGTTATTAACAAAGTATTAACAAGGCATCGAATCACTCATGCAAATTATGAATTATTGGTTAGTAAGCTATTGAAGGGCGAAAATCTTCCTCAAGAATTGGGCAAAGCCTTTGATGATCGAGATATTAAAGGGGATGAAACACCATCTGTGGAACAGAGTGCAGCCAAGAAACAACCCGTAAATCAACAACATTTAAAAAAGGCCTGGGAGGCATCTCAACGATCAACAAAAGAGGATTGGATGGAATGGATTCGTCGTCTTAGTGTTGAGTTGCTAAAACAATCGCCCTCACATGCTCTTCGTGCTTGCGCTTTTTTAGCCTCTGTTTATACTCCACTTGCACGTGAATTATTCAACGCAGCCTTTGTTTCTTGCTGGAATGAGCTCTATGATCAATATGTTGATGAGCTTGTGAAATCATTGGAGGTTGCCTTAAAGGCACCCAATATTCCACCCGAGATTATTCAAATTCTCTTACATCTCGCTGAATTTATGGAACATGACAACAAAATGTTACCCATCGATATTCGAACATTAGCTGTCTATGCGCAGAAATGTCACGCTTATGCTAAGGCACTTCATTACAAAGAAACTGAATTTCATATAGAACAATCCTTTGAAGCAGTTGAGATGCTTATGTCGATTAACAATTTATTACAGCAGCCAGATGCAGCCATGGGTATTTTAACATTTGCACAAGATTCACTAGGTTTAGAACGTAAAGTATCCTGGTATGAGAAATTGCATAGATACCAAGATGCCTTGGAGGCTTATGAAGCACAACAGGTAGAGAATCCAAATTCAATGGAGATCACGTTGGGACGTATGCGATGTTTGCATGCCTTGGGTGAATGGGACCAATTAGCAGCGCTGGCGCAAGAGAAATGGATCCATGCTCCTGTAGAAAATCGTAAGAGTATGGCGCCTTTCGCTGCAGCAGCAGCTTGGGGTTTAGGCCAATGGGAACAGATGGAAGAATATATTGCATTATTGAAACCAGAGAGTCCTGATCGTACCTTTTTCCGTGCCATCTTGAGCATGCATCGTAATAGATATGCGGAGGCTGAGAAATTTATCAACAAGACGCGTGATCTTCTCGATACAGAACTTACGGCTCTCTTGGGTGAAAGTTACAACCGAGCTTATACCACCGTTGTACGAGTTCAAATGCTAGCTGAGTTAGAAGAAATGATTATTTACAAACAATCTGCGAACGATATTGAACGACAAAGCGAGATAAGACGCACGTGGGTGAAACGTCTTGAAGGATGTGAACGTAATGTAGAGGTCTGGCAACGTATCTTGCGTGTTCGTACAATGGTCATTTCTCCTCAAGAGGATATGGAGATGTGGATTAAATTTGCCAATCTTTGTCGAAAGAGTGGTCGTTTCTCATTATCAGAGAAAACACTTCGAAGCTTGATGGAGGCAGACGACTCAGGTACACCCCATCCTAAAATTATTTATGCTCAACTGAAACATATGTGGGATTCTGCGTCCATTGCATCGCCTGATAAGGGGCCTGCGATTCGTACAAGAGCTTTAAGCATTTTAAGAGAATTTACAGCACAAAAGACACAAGATTTGGGTTTGAATCCAGATGAAATGGCCGTCAGCATGCCAATTGATCCAAGTCGTATTACGAATGATGTAGCTGAATATACACGTCTCTTAAGTCGATGTTATCTTCGTCAAGGTGAATGGCAGCGTGCTCTCTCTTATGAGTTAACTCAGGAGACGATCCCTGAAATTCTATTATCATTTTTATTGGCGACACGATTTGATCAAAACTGGTATAAGGCATGGCATTCATGGGCATTAGCTAATTTTGAGATTATTGATTATCATGAACGTCTTCATCCTGATAATTTGCCTCCTCAAATCTTTAATCATCACATTGTTCCTGCAGTCCAGGGCTTCTTTAGATCCATTGCTCTCTCCAAGGAGAATTCACTTCAAGATACCTTACGTTTATTAACATTGTGGTTTAAATATGGTTATCAAGCTGAGGTTAGTGCAGCAATAGGGGAAGGCTTTGGTACGATTAGTATTGATGTTTGGCTACAAGTTATCCCTCAACTGATTGCCCGTATTCATGCACCCAATGCAACTGTTCGTCTCTTGATTCATCAACTATTGACAGATATTGGCCGTGAGCACCCTCAGGCCCTTGTTTATTCATTGACAGTTGCTTCCAAATCACAGAGTATCCCACGTCGTCGAGCGACATTTGTGATTATGGATCGTATGAGAATGCATAGCGCAGTCCTCGTTGAGCAAGCCCTTATGGTAAGTCAAGAGCTGATTCGTGTTGCTATCCTCTGGCACGAAATGTGGCATGAGGGGCTTGAAGAAGCCTCAAGGCTCTATTTTGGTGATCGTAATGTAGAGGCTATGTTTGCCACATTAGAACCCTTACATCAAATGTTAGATCGTGGACCTGAAACGATGCGAGAGGAGTCATTTGTACAAGCATTTGGACGAGACCTTCAAGAGGCACAAGAATGGTGTCATCGTTATCAGGAGACACGCGATCTTAACAATTTGAATCAAGCATGGGAGCTCTATTACCAAGTCTTTCGTCGCATTGTACGACAATTGCCACAACTTACAAGTCTTGAGCTACAATATATTTCACCTCAGCTCTTGGAGGCACGTAATTTAGAGTTGTGTGTTCCAGGTTATTATCGTAGTGGTGAACCTATTGTGCGTATTGCGAAGTTTAATCCAAGCTTGACTGTGATTGCATCCAAACAGCGACCACGAAAGCTGACGATTGTTGGTAGTGATGGTAAGGATTATATGTATCTGTTGAAGGGGCACGAGGATTTACGACAAGATGAACGTGTAATGCAACTTTTTGGATTGGTGAATACCCTTTTAGTGAATGATGCCGAGACATTTAAACGACATTTGAGCATTGAGAGATACCCTGCCGTACCTCTTTCACCCAATTCAGGTTTGATTGGTTGGGTGACTGAGACAGATACATTACACACCTTAATTCGTGACTATCGAGAGAGTCGAAAGATCCTATTGAACCTTGAACATCGATTAATGCTTCAAATGGCTCCTGACTATGACAACTTGACAGTTATTCAAAAAGTGGAAGTCTTACAGTATGCGTTTGAAAAGACAAGTGGTCAAGATCTTTATAATGTACTTTGGTTAAAGAGTCGTAATTCAGAGGTATGGTTAGATCGTCGTACAAACTATACAAGATCATTAGCTGTCATGTCCATGGTAGGATATATTTTAGGTCTTGGTGATCGACATCCATCTAATTTGATGCTTCACCGTGTTACTGGTAAAGTTGTACATATTGATTTTGGTGACTGTTTCGAGGTAAGTGTATTGAACAGAATTATTATTATTATTATTTAAATTGATGATTGATAATGAAACTATTATATTATATAGGTGGCTATGCATCGTGAAAAATTCCCTGAAAAGATTCCCTTCCGTTTAACACGTATGTTAGTAAAAGCAATGGAAGTGAGTGGTATTGAAGGTAATTTCCGTATTACGTGTGAGCATGTAATGCGTGTATTACGTGATAACAAAGAAAGTTTAATGGCTGTTCTGGAAGCCTTTGTCTATGACCCTTTGATTAATTGGAGATTATTAAATACACAACCACAAAGCCCTACACAAAGTAAGTTTATTTGTTTATTTATTCATATTATATGTTACTAATTTTATAATTATACATATAATAAAGATGATCGTATGAAAGGATTTGAAACACATGAGGATGGACCAGAAGATGGTCATCGTAACTTTTCTGTTAGTCGAAGATTAAATCGTATTGAAGTGGAAGCAGTTGCAAATGGTAAAGCAATATTTATTTATTTATTTATTTATTTATTTATTTCAATAAAATTAACTGAATTTTTTTTTTTTTTTTTTTTTTTTTTTTTTTTTTTTTTTTTTTTTTTTTTAATAGAAAATCCTCAAGGACCTGAACTATTAAATAGTCGAGCAGTTGCCGTTGTGAATAGAGTATCAAATAAATTGACAGGTCGTGATTTTAACCCACGTGTAACCTTGGATGTGCCAACACAAGTGGATAAACTTATTTTACAAGCGACATCTCTAGAAAATCTATGCCAATGTTATGTTGGATGGTATGTAAAAAGTTGCTTTGTTTATAGTTAAGTGCTAACAATTTATTATAGGTGCGCATTCTGGTAGTTTTTTTCTCTTTTTATAATAATAATAATAAAGTTAAAACAGTGTATAATACATGTATAGAATCTTTTAATATCCATAAAGATATTTCTTGTATGAAATAATAAATAAAGAATCGAAACAAAAAATATATGTTTACTGCATTTATTTAAATAATAACAGCAACACTCCTTCGAATGATTTACAGCTGTTAGTAATGAATAGCGAAGCTATAAACTACAATAAAAATAGGAATGATTTCCTTTTTCTCATAAAAATGTAGAATAATTGTTACAAAGTCTTTTCCTTTTTCGCTATGGGCAGATTCGCCATCACTCAAGTCGTCATCATATGGTGAGCGCTGATTGTTCAGGTGTGTCGCCAACGACTTTCTACGCGCCATCTCTTCGTGCTCCATAGAAGAGTAGATGGCTGCCAAAGCTGCTGCAGAATCCTATAGCCAAATATTAATATATGAACACAACAAAAGAGCATCCATAACTTTACCTTGAGGTCGTACAACCTCTCCAAAACTACACGTGCATAGCGAAGCTCATGGCCTGATGTAGGTAGTCTCAACGACCCAATTTTTGTTGCCACATATAGGCCGTTGTCCATTAACCGTAAAGAGGTTATCTGGCCTTCTACCTGGGCTATTTGCACGGAGTACGATCTCAAGTTTTTTTTAGTTCTCTTCTTGATAAGTGGACTCCTGTAAAACTTGTCTGCGACTGTCTTGGCTTCGCAAAGAGTCTTTCTATGATCGGTAAAGATCTTGTTGTCTGCCATATTGTTTGAGAACTCGAAGTTCAACAAGTCAACTATTTTTCCACTTGCTGACCTGGTACAAACTCTCAGGTCGACCTTATCGCCAATGGTACCTTTTTTCGTGTGGTCATTATTTTTTTTAGATTCAGATGAATCAGCAGAGACTGACTCCCCCTAAAATGATGATATATTAGTAAAGTTTAATACATAAATGCTTTTAAATACTGTATTAGACTACCATCTGCAGAACATCGTTGAATCGTTGAACACCGCAGACAAAATTGGAGACCAAACGTTGACAACGTAATCCTCCTCCGTATACATTTTGTTTTTAACACCCAAATTCAAGATATTCTTGTTATGATGAATGGTTGATAAACTACAGCAGACGGATACAATAAAAGATTAGATTATTTTTTTTTGTACGTAGATTACATTATAACATACATGGAAGAGTAAACTTTGAAGTATTCTTCATTTTCACTAAAAGCATACTTCGCTTGCATCTCCAAAGACTTCACATAGGCAGACTTTATATTGGTTTTTGCCAACTACGTTTTAAACACATGTTAATATCGACTATACTCTTATGGTTATTAAAGCGCTTACTGTCTCAATTTCCTTCAGCTCGAAAGAAATACCACTTGGGAGCGGTTTCCATGATTTCTTTTTGTTCCAAAGGTCATTCAAAGTTTTCCACTGATCTTCAGTGAAAAATGATTTTTGTGAATTTTTGCCTTCGTTGTTATCAGACAAATCAAGGATGCTATTGAAGCCATTACTGTTTTTAAAGGGATATGAGTAATTACGAGATTTTATAATAGTGTTTTTTTAAAAAAATACCTAATTGTGTTTTTTGATGCATTATCAAGTTTGTGATATGCTTTGTCGAGATATATGGAGTTGGCCCTTTCTTTGATAATTGAGGCCACTGATTGTGTGAAGCCTTCAGATATAGTATCCTTCTCAGCTGGTACACTCTACCATTTATATTAGTATATATCATTATATCTTGTGCGTTATATATACTCACCTTTTTTGTCTTAACACGCTTGCTTCTTCTGTTTTTATTAACCTAAAAATGTAGAAAAAATAGGATTACTACATAAAAAAAATCGACACATAACCAATGAGATAAAAAATATCTGCTTTACATACAGTGGTCTCTAAGCTCTCGACAGTGTTGTATTGTATATTATAACTATTACGATATGTTAGAGGTTATAGCGTCTTTATAGAAAACTTTGACTTACTTGTTGATAGTTGCAATGCGCTTAGCGTTAATAATGTTTTTTGACATATAAATGATGAATTGAGGGAAAAAGTGCTGCTCAATTGATAGTAACCTGATTTTTAAAAAGGGATTTTCCAGAGACATGCACTCATTTACAAAAGGAGGGCTGTGTATACAGTGACTCACAAGAGTGTAGCAATGTTTCGGAGTTTTAGGTAATTTATTCAAATCTGCAATAAATGATCATCTATCTATTAAAGCAAAGTACTATATAGTATATACTAGCAGAAAGATAGAAGTCACCTCTTTTTGATGATACTCATAGTGTATATGCATTATACTATGTTTTTATTTCAAAAACAATGTTAAAAGTTATATGTATAAAAGTTTTATACAAATAGGTTTTTTTTTAAGAAATGAAATAAACAACGTACCTTTGATGTTTAGTACTTAATGGCAGCACCTTTTAATATTTAACAATATGATTACGAATCCATCCCTCCCTCAATCTTGGCAATAAAACCAGGACCATGTTTGCGTGAAAAAAAACTCCATAAAATTAAGCTTCCACCCCACCCGCCTTTGTATTTAAAGTTGACGTTATGGTCTTTTTAACGGTTCACCTTTTTTTACCCATGTCCATTGCTTTCCATCTGAGCCCAAACGATTGATATTTGATTTTCTTTGACAATTTTGCTAATTGTCCTAGTTGACACGCCCATTTCCTTGGAAATATCGCTATAAGACTCCTTAGCATTAAGTTTTGCTAAAATATCCGTATTTTTATTGTAAGGAATTGGACTCATTTTATTGTATGTAATGATCTATGTGTTAATGAGAATGATGCACAAATGTTGTTCAGATTAGTTACGAATTTGAGGAAAAACTGTATTAAATAGGAAGTAAACCTTTTTGTTAATTCAGTAATGGTATTAAGTGGTCAAAAATAAAGAAAAAAAAATAAATGGTGTTTTTGTTTTAAAGAAAAAAAAAATTATTATGCAGCGAGACGGCTAAATCGCATAAAAGGACACGATTTGTTGTCAAAATGAACATACATGCATGTAAATGGGACTAAGAAGCTATAAAAATAATAAAAAAAAAATACTTTAATTAATGTATCTTTATTCATTTAAGTTGTGCACTAAGGAAAGAAAATATTGCCACACTTTTGTGAGTCACTGTACATAAAAAAGGAGATGAATAGGATGTATCTCCTTATGACACCAGACGAAATATGATCCTAAACATACTAATCATGCTCTTCATCCTGCATAGCATATTATTTATATGACAGGAGTGTTGACTTCCTGCAATTGTGGCAGTTATAACAACTGTGCTTTATCATTTGTTCATACATAATACAGCCATACATTCGTGGTATTTAATTAATGTGTTAAATTTACACTAGCCTTTATTTCAGCTCGAAAGTAACAGAAGGAACGAGGCAACTGTTCAAATACATATTGCCGCTTTATTTATAATATTTTGATAAATCTAAAACTAATGAGTCATTTATTGTTTGAGCCTTAAGGGGTGATCGACGTATAAGAATGATGATAACAGAACTATATTTCTCGTGAGTTATCATTCTTCTGCTCTTTATAGCGCAGAGTTACGAAACTACGGACTCAGAATAAATAAGCGTCCGTGTAGCTGATATTTATCTTCAGGTACCTTTTGACACAGTCGGAAAGGGGATCCATGATCTTATGCAAAGACGCTGTCTTAAAAGATAAATATAGCTAAGAAAATAATTCATATGTTGTACTGTAGTTAATACAAATATGGTAACAAGCTCATTTGAATTCGAAGCTATGTTTACAGCAATTCAGGGAGTAACAATACTGCTTACTGTTGCCTTGATCTGCGGATCATCATATATTACACGTCTACATTATGTTAGATTCTATAGTTGATACAATAACTATTCGGCAATCCAAACTATCCTAGTAATAATGTTCTTCCAAGTTGTTAGCTAGGATTCTAGAGGACCAGCATTATTGAAGCTTACTCCTGATCTATCATTGGTAATCTACATATGTTAAATATGATCAAAATATGATTATTTCTTATGATATTATGTATTAACTTGTACAAGAACTTCTATAATAATAGATCAATTCAGATGCCAACTTATCTCCCTAGTTGTCACTTGTAACACATATAGCGATAAATAGATTATTCAGGGGTGAAAACACCAATATCTAATTTAGAATTTTTTGAATTAATTGAAATATCATATAGAGATATTGGAAAAAAATAAAGAAATTATTTGAAAAAAAAAAGTAAAATGAAAAGGTTTGCAAGAGTGATAGATAATAATATAATATATACAACATACCTGTTCAGTAAGGGATGTGAAACCGTTATAGAGATCGCATATATTTAAGAAGATTTTTGGTCTTTTATTTTTAGATGTAAAAATGTAGTTTATGTTTTTAGCAGTCATTACATCACAATTCCATACCGTACTGCAAGAGTTACACTTGAGTACAACATGAAGTTTACGCTTAGATTTGGAAGTCTCGTTTTTTTTTTACAATGGTTACATGTTTGATTAGTCAAATACTCATCAACATAGATAAAAGTGTTTCCTTTCAATTCTTTAGACATTTTCTTAATTGCATCAATTATCCGTCTAGTAGGTGCCGGAAGTTTTCCTTTTATAGAGCTACCAAATTTAGCATCACTAAAGGCAATAATTCTTTTCTTCGACAAGTCGGTTGTCTGGTTATCTTTGGGAGCAGTGTCATGAGCTCACTTATAATGTCATGTTTCTTGATTAAACATGTGGATCATAAATTTATTTAAGCAATTCTATCCTAACTCTCTCTTGATCCGCTCCATCTAATAATATTAAAATCACTAACACTTCATTGTCAACAAAATACCTTATTCGGTCATAACTAACACTTTTCTCATTCACATCTTATCCTCAGACCTCTTTAACAATTCTTATAAATACCCCCATCAATTTAAATTCATAAATAATATTATTGACTTTAGAACTATTGTTCACTCTCGTTGACTCTTTTTGTCTTAATATTCTTTTTTTATTTTCTAATATTTTTTATTTGAAATTTTAAAAGACATATCACAAGCAGTAGGGATCCTTTTCTTCTTTTCAAATTTTTGCCTTTTTTCTTAAATAACACTATCTTGGTTGTATTTTAGACTATTAGAAAATATTCTTTTGGCAATTTTATGAGTAACTTTTTGTTTTTTGATATAAGTTTTAAAGTTAAGTTTAATTAACCTGTTTATAGTATAATATATGAGCATAAAATTGATATGTAGAATAACAAGTTATTATGCTTACCAGTTGTCTATGTTGTAACAATCAAATAGCATTTGATAATTTTCAAATCTATCAGAAATAATCAGTTAAACCAGAAGTTTTAAGTGAGGGTACTTTACTGATAATATTGAAATATGCCTGGTGTTTTTGTTGGTGGTTCAAGCGCTTTTGAGTTGCAAGGTTGTATCTAGACCTATGATAGTATTCTCTGGTTGACGTCTTTCGAATTCTTCCTTTCTTGTCAAAAGTACCAGTGTCAACAGCAGTGTAAATATCAGTTTGTCCATGATTTATAGCATTGTTGTTTTTGACATCTTTTCTATGTAATAAATCAGCATGATGACACTGATACGTATTGAATCAAGTGTAAACCTTACCTTTTCCTTTGGTAGTAGGAGCTGTATCAATTGCCTTTCCTTTACCTTTGTCTTTTTTAGCAGGAGTAGCTTTAACTGGTGAAACTGTGAGTGTTGTTTTCGAAAAAAAAAATAAGTTATAAATGATTACCTTGTTCAGTAGATTGTTTTTCTTGGACAATGGTACGCTCTATTTCTTCATATTCTTTATATTTCTTGGATGATAAGTTTTCTTGACCTTAATTTACATATATCAGTTTTTACTTTATTAGTTCAATATAATGGAGCTTATTTGTTCTCTTGCGAAGTTTTATTTGTAGCTGAAAATCATCATCAGAGTCTTCAAGGAGTTCATCATAGTTGGTAGTAGTAGTAGCAGGTTTGGGAAGAGCTTTACTCGCTATTACAAAGACACCATGAGTGTGTATACTATTAAGTAATGCTTTCCCTATTCTGTTACATACCTCTTTTTTTAAGAGTGACCCCCTCTTCCTTAGGGCCAAGGGGAAATTTCCTTTTACGTTTTATACTATGATAGCGATAATAAGGAGAAAAAAAAAAGAAAATGTGATAAAAATAAAAATTTTGCGGTTCTTATAGGCAGGCTTTGGTAAATTCTGATATATTAAACGTTGTCTGTTGTAATTATTTTACAATATAAGACCAAAACAAACCCTTTTGGTACTGAATAATTACATACGGAACGCATAAAATGGTTTCAACTGTATTATTAGGCAGTCGGTTTTATACTCTGAGTGAAGAAAGTATGTGGTTATAGTATCTTTAGAAAGTAAACAAATATCTAGTTGTTTGACTTGACTTTATTTTTTTATTTTTTCAATTAATTACGCTTATCTTTGCGAACAAATAGAATTTCTATTTCAAATAACTTGAATTTGTATTTCAAAAAAAAAAAAAAAAAAAAAAAAAATAAAATAAAAAAATAAAATAAAAAATAAAATAAAAAAATAAAATAAAAAAATAAAATCGAATTCATATTTCAAATAATTTGGAAAACATAATATAGACGATACAACTGGCGACGGTATACTGCCTTTATTGACGATGATACTTATGATCCTCATACTTTTGCTGGCATCTGTAAAGTATACCTGAAAGATAATCTTGGTGATTGACGAAACAACAACAATGCTGTTCTCTTGTCTGCCTGCCGTCCTACCCTGGGTATCAATCATATCCTCTGGTTACCTATGTCAAATGCAGAACGCAGCCGAATAGTCCGCTGGCGTCTAGGTTGGTTACCTGGCGGTGTCCCTAAACCGTGCATCTATCACCCTAATGCCATGTTCACAAGATCTCATGCTATATGGTGCCTACATATGCATCGACGATTACAAATACCTTTGACCGAACCCGACCCTTTGTGAATACTTTTTATTATGCAGTATCTCAGCTTCAGCAAATATTCTTTGTTTAATATTGATATTTTTTCAATACGAGAATATTTTTGTTGCTGTTGCTACTATTGTTGCTATTTATCACGAGATCAATGTTGGTATTTCTGAGTACTGTAGCGTTAAACTCATCGTCTAATTCTTAGTTGATTTGTTGAGCAAAGTTCCTTCTTAATCTCTTTTTTACTTGATCGTTTTCTTTTTCAAGCTCAAACTTCAGTTTTTGATCATTGTAAATTGTGATATAACTTTGCCGAACTTCCCTCTTTTTGAGATACTGACATACATTGAAGGCAATGGTCATTACATTAGTCTTATTTTGCGTTACAGAAATAACTTTTGAGAATATCCTAATCCATTTTAATCGACTTTCATCTGGAGTTAAAGAAGCACCTGTCTTGTCATCTCTTATAGTATTTTCGGTTGAGTTTGGGACGCTTTTAAAAAAAAAATTAGACCACATTTTATTTTTTTTGGACTTCGTAAAAATCATTTTGAGACGTAAAAATGAGAAAAAGGTAGCATTACTTTAAGCCAATTCCTTTTTGCAAACACCTATCCCAGTATGAAGTTGCGTGTCTAACCTAACCCTGACAATCCTGCGTAGTAACAGTTTTACGTGCTTTGGCAATGTGGGGAGGAGGGTTAGCTCATCTCCTTTTTCGAGCGGCTTTCGTCTGATATTTTTTCTTGATTTTGGACCAGCACTCTTCGATAGGATTTAGAAAAGGGGAATAAGATGGTATAAATAGAGGTTTATAACCTCGAGTATTTATAGCATCAACAATAAATTTACTATGATGTATTTTGCAGTTATCTATCACAATAAAATGCTCTTTCATATCATTTTGATCCATTACATCCATAATTGATTCCATGAATTTCACAATATGATACGCAGTTATACCCTTTTTGAGAAGTTTAGGCTTTTGGTTTGATGTATCTGCTTTCCTCTTCTTTGAATCACGCTCATCCGGATGATACTCTTTTTCAAGCTGTGGAGCTTTATGTTTCTTTAAGGGTTCAGCTTTAGAAAAACTAAGGATTTCTCTTGCAGTTATGCAACCAATGATGCTGATACTCACACCTTTTTGATTATGAACCTTTACTTTCACTGGTTCATCAGCTCTCAACCAAGCTCTGCTTCTCATCATTTGTGAATGAAAACCGGCTTCATCTACAAACACACAGTTTTTCAAAAAATCAACACCTACTGCTTTCCACTGAGTTATCATATGGTATCAAAGATCTAAAGTCCTTTGTGAGTCTCTTTCTGCAGTGTATTTGCTCGCTTGCTTGAGACTCAAAAAACATTTCTCTCGAATATGAGTGTAAAGGCTTGAAATAGCAATATCACCTATTTCTGGAAAGTTGCTTAATAACTGCGATTTGGCTTCTTCAAGAACAATCGATGGATTTTTATCAAAAAGAGCGATCAAGAATTCGGTATGTTCCTGGAAAAGTTTTTTAGGTTTGATAGTTTTTGGTTTGACTGTTGTGCCTACAAGTACATGCCCATCACCAGTATTAAACTCGTCCAAAAGTCTATAAGCACTTGAACGAGGTATGTCGCATACCGCAGCCGCTTTAGGGACAGATGACCCCTCTTCTTGGAGCATCTTGATGAATCTTTCTATCTGGTCTGCTCCATACTTTTTTATATTTCCTTGTACTGAGCTTGATTTTACTCATGTCAACTGTAATTTCCTCCACTAAGTCTTCCATTGGTTGAGGTTCGATTACTTGTTGATTTAAAGATTCAAAATGAACTAAATTATTCAATATACCAAAACCAAACTCATATTTACCAATTTCCATCTTATATTGTGCTCTCTTAGCAATAGTTTAGTTTCTGGGTTGTACTTAATCTAATCCATTTAGTATGAAGTTTCAAGAAAAAAGAAAATGTCTAAAAACTAAAGTCTTAATTTTTAAAGCATAGTCTAAATGTAATTTATTTTATGTCTCGAAAAAATTTAACTCAACCGAAAATACTGTAGCAAAAAATTGCTGGTCTCAAGCTATTGAATTGGTTGTCCAAGTAATAGTGTATGTGTGTGTCTTCCTTGGCCACTTTGGTCTGGTTTGTATTTAAATTTAAATTGTTTCTTCTCACTCTTTTTCACTTTATCCTCATTATATTTTCTCTTAATTCCAAAATACTGCTCTTTTCTTTTTCCTTCTCGTTCTCGCTTTCTTTTTCCCTTCTTATCCTTTAGGAAGGTTTTTATTCTTCTTTCCCCTCTATAACTGACTCGGGAAATATTGCGCATTTATTTCGTTGCTACATGCTATTTTTGAAAATCTTGAATTTCACTGTAATTAAAATTAAGCTCTAACTAGGAGAAGAATAAAGCAGCTATAAACTACTAAATGCACCTCATAATTCTTTTACTTGGAGCCATATCCTCTCCTTTGCCTTTGTTTTCCTTAATTATATCAAATGAATTATACTTTTTCTTTCTCTCTCTTAACTTTCACATATACAAGAAACTATTTGTTTTAAACAGAACTTTTGATTCATTTTGCTATTTCCTTGGGTTCCTAATTACATGAAAATTCTTTTTTTTTTTTATAAGTAGAATATTTCTAATGAAACTAATTTGAATGATATTATTTCTATTTCCTCCCTCCTTTTTTTTGATATTAGTTTTTGAGATTTATAAGAGTATTTTTGTTTTTTCTTAACATGCACATGAAGTTGCTTCTTCCTTTCGTGCAAATGTATCTGTTAGATCTACTTTTGTTACTAATAGATATATATATATACGGTAAGTGATTTGTCTATTTTATTTGAACTGATAATCCTTACATTGATCTCGTTGACCATCCTCTGATTGACCATCCATACCAGGCAGCGCATGTCCTATTTTTCTAAATAGTGCTTTAACCTAATATATATATATAGTTAATAATCAATTCTGTACATCTATAACAAATCATATATACATTATAACCTGCTTTAGCACTTGTTTCTATAAACATAACATTGTATTCTTTTGCCTTTTTTTCCCCTTCTTCTACGGTAACTTGTCTATATACAATGAGTAAGTAAATAAATGAATCAAGACCTACCCTGCGTTGTATAAATACCTTTTATCATTTAAATCCGTCTTATTTCCTACTAATACAATAATCACATCGTGCCCTCTTTCTGCTCTAACATCATCAATCCATTTGGATGTATTCAAAAAAGAATTTTTATCTATTATTCAATAAGAATTATAAACATGTAGAGTTGTCCTTTTTTTTTCTCTCTCTTATTTACTTGTAATATCATATACCACAACACAAACAGAAGAGTCTCGGATATAACTTGGAATCAAGGAACGAAATCTTTCCTATAAGTAAGTAATGCCACAAAAAAAAAAAAAAATTAAATATCTATATGATATGCTTATGTAATATGCTTACTTGTCCAGCAGTATCCCCTATAGATAAAGAAAAAAGAAAAGAAAAAAAAATATATATACATGTATATTATTCAGTCATTCATTCATATATCAAACATGGGGTCAGTTACATAATTGAAGTCGAATCGTTCGATCATCAAGATACATTGTTTTTGATAAAAAATCGATACCAATTGTTGCCTTTTTTTTTTATCAAGAATACAGTTATATAATCATTGTTATTTTTATTTTATTTTTTCTATTTGTACCTGATAAGTATTGTCAAATGTATCATACATAAATCGAGTAATAAGTGACGTTTTCCCAACTATAGTTTTAATTACTTATCTTGACCCGCATCATCATCAACCCTTTTTTTTTTTCACTTTTAAGCTTAGCTTACCACTTTGTTCTCCAAGAAATACAAGCTTAAATTTTTTTAAAGGATTGCCAAAGTCATTCGTATTATTTGCCATTTTTTTTTTTATAATAAAAAGTAAAACAAAACAAAAAAAAAAGAGCAATTAAACTTTTTTGTTTTTATATAAAAAAATTAATAATTTCATGTGTAACAAAATAATATTCCTCTCCTTTGTACTCTTAAAATAATAATAATAACCACTCCTTAAATAAAAGGGAAAATATTCTTTCGTCTTTTTTTTGATTTTTATTTCTCTACATCTATATTATTTAAGCATCCCATGAAGAGGTAGCGGGAGCTTCAGTTTCTTCAGCCCAGTCAGTGGGTTGAGCAGACCATTCAGCGGCAGCGGCAATACCAGTAACACCTTCAGCATCACCTTCAACAGCCCATTCACCAGCAGCAGCTTCAGCAGTGGCAGCAAAGTCACCACCTTCAGCGAGTTCAGCTTCGGCATTTTCCTTCTCAATTTCCTCAGGATCACGGTAGAAGAACATATCAACCATGACATCCCAAGGAGTGTTGTAGTCAAGAGTACCACGGAGACGGAGGACAGCACGAGCCAAGAGCCAGTAAATCAAACCAATAGCGTGCTTAGCCTTGTTGTTGGTAGGGATAGCAACATCAACAAACTTAAGAGAGGCATCAGTATCAGCAAGAGAGATGACAGGGATGTTAACATAAGAAGCTTCCAAGATAGCTTGGAAATCAGAACGAGGATCGGTACAGATAACCAAACGAGGTTCACGGAAAGAACGGGTGATGTAGTTAGTGAAGGTACCGGGAGTGAAACGACCGACGATAGCTTCAGCACCAATGTACTTGGCAAACTTAAGGGCAGCACGGTGACCATAAGGACGAGCAGAAACAACAACAATGTCTTGAGGCTATTTATATATACATATTAAAAAAAAAAGAATAGAATTAGGACTAGATCATTTTAGATCAGTTGTTTATATATTTACGTTCTCAATAGCAGCGATGACACGGGCAGCAAAGATGAGCTTCTCCCAAGTCTTACCAATGTTGATCAAATTGATACCTTTTTTTTTTACACACATAATAATTAGTTTCAACTCAAATTTCAATTACCATTTTATTTTACCATCAGCACGACGCTTGAAGATGTAAGGAGTCATACGAATGTTGGCATTCTTGGTACCAATGTGACATTGAGCACTCAAAAGAAGTTGAATATCTTCCTCGGTGGCGTTGAGAACGGCAGGGACACGAGACATATCTAAAGAACAATAAAGGATGTTAATGATACTTGTACAAATGGATGGATGGATGTATGGATTTGATGGTTTATCGCCTTACTTTGATGTGCAGGAAAAGAGAAGGCTTCATTTTGATGCAGCTTGATTTGACATTTTTACTTGATAATTTCATTCTCTCCGCTAGTAAACTCCTCCTATGCCCGCTTTATATTATCCCGGTCCGCAAACAAAAACAACAAAAAAAAAAGAAAAAAAAAATGCATACAAAATAATAGTGTCAAATCTTTACAACAATAAACATGGAAACAATTTACAATAGTTTTATGTAACATTCAAGTAATGAATACTTTATTTTATTTCATCATAATTTATAAAGAAGTAACTTAGAATCTAAGCTTGCTGAAGAACCACTTGTTCTTGCCAGTTTGATAACGTTCTTCAAAGAGCTTCTTAATAACCTTCTTAGCATCTTCACGTTGAGAAGGTTCCTTGAAAGTATCGGCAGAGATAGTACCCTTGATTTGTTCTAATTCCAAACCATAACTACATAAAGAATAGTTTAATACTTGTGTCATTATTCTATAAATGGCAACTCTTACCGAGTGGGCATCATGTGGTTGTAGTTAATGATCTTGACGAAAGGCTTAACCTTGGAACGCTTAGCAACTTTCTTCTTACCCATGGCCTTAGTGACCTTGAGAGGAGTACGTTCAATACCGGCAACAACAGCATAACCGTAGGGTCTATCTTTAGTACCCTCATCGTGATCTTTTAATTTTTTTTAAACAAATAAAAAAAAGAATATAAGTTAGGCTATATAAATTATGAAAAAAAAAAAAATAATCGAGACGAATGAATTGATTCTTTAATAATATGCTTCCACATTACACTTTTTCTTATCTCTATATAGTAACTTCTAAATACAACATACACCTGAGATTCGTTGTGCAATTTTTATATATTCGTTCGTTTTTGAATAAATAATTAATATTATTAATCTTGACAACTATAATGAAATCCTCAATAATTTTTTTTTTCATTAAATAGATATCTGTAATTTGGTTGTGTTAATAGATAACAATTATAATTCCATGTCGCTAATTTTATATGTCTTATTTCTCTTTTAGTTGATTAAATATCGTAAGATTGTTATTATAAACAATAATGTGTAACTGAAAGCATACTAATTTCAAATCATTGTCTCGATTATAAATTATTACATGTAATACATACTACGGACGACAACGGCCTTCTTGCCGGCATAACGACCTTGCAAAATAACGACAACCTATTTATAAAATCAAGTTAATATAATCCATCCATCCATCAAAAAACTGATATTATAATATGCTTATTTACGTACTTTACCAGCCTTGATGAACTTGACCATGTTTGCTGAAGATCAAAAGGGGGAGGAGAGAATAGTAGGGAGTTTTTTGTTTTCCTTTTTTTGCTTACAGGCTTTACTTTCCGGGAAAAATCCAGATTATAGAAGATATTTTAATTTAAACACCGTCTTTTTTTTATTATTATTATTATTATTATTATTATTATTATTTCTAAACATATACAAACACAAATACATACAAATATATGCAAATACATTTTCAATGCTATGTCAAAGGATTCATATAGCTCTAATAATTTTTCGCTAAAAAGATTATTAGATGAACAAACAAATAGTACTAATAAAAGGAAAAAGGCATCTATTTCACTTTCTAAATCTCGACCCATTAGCCCTTCATCTGTCATTACTGTAAAACAAGAAATAAAAATCAAAACTGAAAAAGTAAAAGCAGACACAATTGATGACTATATTATAAAGAAAGAAGAAGAAATCAAGTTGGAATCAAAAGACGATTTGTTGAATGATATTAAACTAGAAACAGTTAAAGATGAAACTGACATTTTTGATCAGATAAAATTGGAAGAAGAATTAGATACTTTTATAGAAAAAGAAAACAAGTATGCCTGTCCTATTTGCGATAAAGACTTGACTCTTGTCAAATCAAGTTACTTTCGACAGCAACATATTGATGAATGTATATCAAATACTCAAAATGTAAAGGAGAAATTAGAATTTGATATTTGCATCTTTTGTGGTAAAGATCTAACTCATCTTGACTCATTAACTCGAAGACAAGTGCACCTGAATCGTTGCCTGGATGAATCAATGGTTCCCGAACAGGAGCAGCAACAGCAGCAGCAACAGACTGAAATTTTTGCAGGTCAAGACATGCCTCTTCTGGTTACCTTGGAGATATGTCCTATTTGCTATGAATCTTTTATGCAACGTGGACTTCGACAAAAGATCGTGCATTTAAAACAATGTGCTAAACAAAACCAAATCACTGTTCCTGAATTATTAAAAAGGATACAATATCCAAATGAGGGGAATGTATCAAAAACGAATGAAATGACTGCACCGACTCCTCAAAGAACACAATATCAATTAGTAGCTACTGGTTATGATTTAGATGATGATTTTGATGATGATAATGATGATTTTAGTCGAAAAGTGATTATCCATAAGCAGAGTGTGAGTCCGATGAGTCAAAAGAAACAAGATAAAGAAGATGAAGCCTTTCAAACTGCCTTAGCCCTTTCTCGATCTTTACATGAAGAACGACGACAAAAGCAACGACTTTTAAAACGTAGACAAAAAATGACAGATGAGAGGGATTGGAATGCAGCAAATATTTGGTCAGCAGAGGAAAGTTATTTAAAGGCAATGGATAAACTAGATAAGATCTTATTTCCTTCCAACATGGATCATTATAAACAAGTACAACGTGAAAGATCAATAGGACTTTTAGGACCGTCTCGAATTAATCACTCAAATAATAATTTCTTTTGGCATATAGCTAGCAATAAGGAGTCAAATTGGGATGATCCCCTAGTATTCATGTCTCTATTCACGCGTAAATTTAAGGAGTTTTAAAAGCGTTATTATAAAGTTACATTATGTAAATTTGCTCCAATTTTTTTTTTTCTTTTTCTTTTATTTTTGTATATTAAAAATGAGCCATCACAGCTATAATAAAAATGTAAGAAATGGTGTCTAAATAATAATGATGATAATAATAATAACAATAATAATAACAATAATAAAGCATTAAGGAATAGTAATTTTTTTCTTTAATTAGAGAAATAAAATGCGATCTAATGCAGACGATTCAAATAATTGGAGGATACGGAATACTAATGTTAATTTATCTCCCAGTTGTTCAAGTAATAACCAGCGATCATCAACTGATAATGATAGTTTAACTAATGATTGGCAGCAACAACAAGAAGATAATACAAAACAGAATAATAATTGGAAACACAAAAGTTTTAATCAAAGGAATAACAATTGGCAAAAAAATAATTCAAGTAGTAGACGTAGACGATCGATACAAATTATTTCAATTGACGATCTTGCTCCACCTATAAGTCATTTAAATAAGAGGAAGAATAATAATGAAGCACAAAAGCAGTTAAAAGTAGAATCCGTCGATCCGTTATCTCAACTCCCTATGGAATCAGCAAAAGATAGCATTCATGCCTTTGAAAGACCAGCTATATCACCTCAAATAAGCCCAGATACAAATGTGTTGAATGATGAGCCCAATAGATGGGTACAATTTGCTAAAAGTCATGAGGACATATCAATTCAAGGGTCTGATTCATCTAATATCAATAAACAACAGAATGAAACTGTTGACGCAAATGAAAATTGGCGTGCGCGTAAATTACAATTAAATAAACATGTACATGTGTAATTTTAGGAACATAGTTTACTAACGTATTTATAAATAGACGCTTTAAAAGTAACGTCTCAAGAACCATCCAAATATATACATCCAGAAGATAAAAATAACTTGGGCAGAAAAGAATTGTTCAAACCCTATTGGAATCCTCTGGAGGTTGAAAAGGGGCTTCAAAACAAGACGCTTTATCAGGGTATTGTTCGATTTTCTAAAAATAGAACAGATGCTTATGTTGTTTGCGATGCGCTTGACCATGATATTTACATTGGTGGACTTGCAAATCGTAATCGCGCTTTACCTGGTGACTTGGTGGCAGTTGAGTTATTAGATGTTGAAACAGCTTGGGAGGAACGAAAAGTACGCGAACAGAAGAAAGCAGATGATCGTAATGCTAGATTAGATCAGCCCGTTGTAGAAGAAAAAGCGATAATGAATGAAGAGGTTAAGTTAGTAGGAGAAGAAGAGGAGGAAGAAAACGAAGAAGAACAGAAACCAAAGTATTGTGGTCATATTGTTAGCATTATTTCAAGGCCTCCTAACACCACCTATGTTGGGTAATTCTTATAAGACTCATATGTAGGTCTATATTACTTACTCTTTTCTTTTTTTTTTCTTTCTATACAGTGTTATCACTCTTGAACGATTTTCGTTTCAAAAGAATAATAATAATAATAATAGTGAACCATTTGATGAACAGCAAGATAATAGTGCATATACTAGTACAAAAGAACAACCACGATTAGCTTGGTTTAAGCCAAATGATAAGCGCATACCTTTCATTGCCCTCAGAGGTCGTGATATTCCTCGATTTTTAGTGAATAATGAAGAATATTTTAAGACACATTTGTTTTCGGCAGAGATTCGACGTTGGCTTATTAGTGATGTCAGCCCTTCAGGAAGAATTATAAAAGAATTAGGTCCTTTAGGAGATTTAATGACTGAACGAGATGCTATCTTAGCAGATAACAGTATTATTCAGACTCCATTTAGTCCAGTAGCTCTTCAATGTTTACCTGAAACACCATGGGCTATACCAGAAATTGAATATAAAAAAAGACGTGATTTACGTTCTGAACGTATATTTTCGATTGATCCACAGACAGCTAAAGATCTTGATGATGCACTTCATGTGAAAGAATTATCAGATGGTTATTTTGAAGTGGGTGTCCATATTGCTGATGTATCTTACTTTTTGAAACGACATACGCCATTAGATTCCGAAGCTTGTATGAGGGGCACAAGTACTTATTTAGTAGATAGTGTTATACCTATGTTACCACCATTATTATGTGAAGAACTATGCAGTTTAAACCCTGGTGTTGAAAGGTATATTACCAAAAAAAAAAAGTCATATGCAGTAAGCTTAATTTTTTTTAATGAATAGATTGGCATTTTCTGTTATTTGGAAAATGGATAAATACGGTAAGCCAGTTGATACTTGGTATGGAAAAACGATTATCAAGTAAGTCATAATACTTTAAATATATACAGTTACATATGTATTTAATAATATATCAGATCTTGTGCAAAACTTGCATACGAGGACGCTCAAAAGGTGATTGAGGGCTTTGAAATGGGGCCTCAAGTAATTATTCATGGTGGTCATCAAATACATTCAATTTGCAATGATATCTTTATTCTTCACCGACTTGCAACAGAGATGCGCAAAAGACGATATAAAAATGGTGCACTTTCATTAAATTCTGTCAAACTTCAATTTGAACTCAATGAAGTAGGAGAGCCGATTTCAGTCTCACAATACGAAAGTAAAGAAGCTAACAAGCTTATTGAAGAATTCATGTTATGTGCCAATATTAGTGTAGCGAAAAAAATTTTGAGTGTTTATCCAGATGAATCATTATTAAGAAGACATGAAGACCCACTTGAAAGAAGACTTGTAAGACATGTTTATTAGTAAAGAACCTTTTTCTTTTCTTTTCTTTTTTTTTTTTAGTAGGAAACTCACTTTTATATAAATATATAAATATATCTTTATATAGAATCAATTCATTAAAATAACAGAAGTGTTAGGACTCGATTTTGACGCTTATAGCGCTGGCTCGCTTCAAGAATCTTTTGAAAAGATCAATAATAAGGTTGTTAGAGATGTTTTATTAGTATTGGCTATTCGAACCATGCAACGAGCAAAATACTTTTGTTCAGGCTCTATCGATTTTAGTAAATACTATCATTATGCGCTTAATGAGCCATGTTATACACATTTTACATCACCTATTCGTCGATATGCTGATGTCGTTGTGCATCGTTTATTGGAAGCTGCATTAGAGTTTGAAAAGAAACAAACAAATGGAAAAGGTATAATAGTTATTTTATTTTATTTTATTTTATTTATTTATTTTTTAATAGTATCCAATTGCCCATATAATAAAAAGATGATTCAAAAGATAACGTTTGGATGTAATACAAGAAAGGATGCAGCTAAGAATGCACAAGATAATAGTAGTCTTCTTTATCTTAGTAAATATCTCTCAATGGTAGAAAGACGAGATGGACCGATTTATAAAAAAGCCGATGTTATAGTAGTCTCTAAAGAAACTTTTGATATTTATTTACCCGAATATGGTCTTGAAAAGCGAATTTATCTCAAAGAATTACCAGTAGATGAATTTCATTTTGATAAAAATACTCTAGCTCTAGATATTCATTGGAAGCGTGGAGTACCTGTGACGATGCATAATGAAGAGAAAATTTATGCACAAGAAAGAGAACGACAAGATGAAGAAGAAGAAGATGATGACGAAGAAGAAGATGATGACGAAGAAGAAGACGAAGTGAAAGATAGTCTTCAAGCACTTAGTTTAAAGGAGTCAGATCCTAACAAACATATGAAAGCAGATGATTTGATCCCGCCTGTTATATTAGATGAAGTAACATGTTTACAACGTATTCAAATGTTTTCAAATATTGATGTTAGAATTCAAATTAATGATAAGCGGTCTCCTCCAATTATCAATATATATCCTGTGAATCCATTTTCTGGTGAAGAAGAAACATAACTTGTTTTACATGAAAATATTAAAAACAAAAAAGCTATTATTATTTATATCAACTGAAAAAGGTATACAAGATAAGAAGCCGCAATAAAAGAAATATTTTATCATAATTACAGAGATAATACTTTTTTTTTTTTGTTTTTAAACATAATATCGCCCTTCACTTTCTTTTTCTTTTTTTTTTTTTTTTTTACTTATTTTCTAGTGAGTAAAGAGATTAAAAAGATACAAAAACTCTTGGATAAATTATATTTGTTAATGTTACAGCAAGTTGTAATTTATAATAGTACATCTCTAAATTTTACTTTATTCTATTGAAGGGCAATATATAAATGTGTCATGTTACCAATTTAGACTATGTGGAAAATACAGTAAAGTGACTGTGATATTAAAATATATATTTATTTCTTTTTGATTAAATAAAAGATTACTTGTTTCAACCAGTATAAAAATGGATAATGTAGTGAAATCTACTATTTGTTACTCTGTGTATTCTTTTTACTAAAAAAGAGATCCACGACTTCTTTTCCTGGAACCAATGTGTAATTTTTTTTTAGTCATCTTTTATATAATGAAAAAAAAAAAAAGTTATATAAAATGGAGATATGAAAGACAGAAGAAAGAAGTTTTATTCTTTTCTTTCCTTTTTATAAGATGTATGTTTCATATCTCATTCTAAGTTTATATAAAGATATAATCACCTATTTTTTTTTATATGTGTATATTGTTAAAGTTGTGCCTTTTTTTTTTTTTAATTTTAAGAAACTAAGATGTCATTGGCTAAAAATATTGCTATTCTTTCCCTCCCCCCCACATTTTCATGTGAAATTTATATCACATTAATTATTTAATTCTGCTTATCAAATTCTCACTCACTCACTCTCTCTTCTTCTTCTTTTCTTTTTTCTTTTTCTCTCTTTTCATCATAAGTAAAAAAACTAACAATGACAAATAATATTCGTTATGATGGAAGAGTTGCTATTATTACTGGTGCTGGTGGAGGTTGATTGCATTTCATGTAAATTGTAAAATTCATGTTTACTCATTATTTAATCTATTAGGCATTGGTAAAGCTTATGCTCTTTATTTCGCTGAACGAGGTGCAAGTGTCGTTGTGAATGATTTAGGTGTTTCACATACAGGTGATGGATCCAGTACAAAAGCTGCTGATGTTGTTGTGGAAGAAATTCAAAAGGCAGGTGGTAAAGCAGTTGCAAATTATAATTCAGTAGAAGAAGGACAAAAGATTGTTGATACTGCCATGAAGGCATTTGGTCGTGTGGATATTATCATTAATAATGCTGGTATTCTTCGTGATAAATCATTTGCTAGAATTACAGATGCTGATTGGGATATTATTCAAGCCGTCCATGTTAAAGGTTCTTATGCTGTTACAAAGGCAGCTTGGCCAATTATGAAGAAGCAAAAATATGGTCGTATCGTGATGACAGCTTCTGCCGCTGGTTTATATGGTAACTTTGGTCAAGCAAATTACAGTGCAGGTAAATAAAAATATAAAAGACATATTCATATGAAAATAAAAATAAAAAAAAAAAATAGTTTACTGATGGGAAAAAAAATTATTTTTTATTTTTTTTTTCATTACATAGCTAAACTTGCTCTTGCCAGTTTTAGTAACTCTTTGGCTAAAGAAGGTGCAAAGGATAACATTCATTGCAATACAATCGCTCCTATGGCTGCTTCTAGAATGTAATATATCTACTACTCACTCTTTCTTTTATATATATATAAATACTAATTGTATATATACGTATGTGTATACATATATTTTAGGACGGAAACTGTTATGCCTCCTGAAATCCTTGCATCTCTTAAACCTGAATTTGTTACCCCTGTAGTCGGATATCTCTGCCATGAAAACACAGAAGATAACGGTGGTATCTTTGAAGTGGGTGGTGGCTTTGTTTCTAAATTAAGATGGGAACGTTCTCAAGGTGCAGTCTTCAAAGCGGATGAGAGCTTTACACCCACTGCTATTCGTGCTAAATGGGCAGAGATTACAGATTTTACCAAGACCAATGAATACCCTACTTCAATTACAGATACCGACTTTTTAGCTCTTTTAGAGCGTGCAAAGAACTCAGGTCCTAATCCTACAGGTGAACCTCTTCGATTTGATGGTCAAGTGGTCATTGTTACAGGCGCAGGTGGTGGGCTTGGTAAAGCATATGCGTTGTTATTTGCCAAATTAGGTGCTTCCGTAGTAGTGAATGATTTGGGTGGTTCGCATACAGGTCAAGGCTCTGATAGTCGCGCTGCTGATGTTGTCGTCGAGGAGATTCGCAAAACAGGTGGTAAGGCAGTAGCCAATTATGATTCAGTCGAAAATGGTGATAAAGTAGTTGAGACAGCCCTTAAGGCCTTTGGTCGTATTGATATCTTGGTCAATAATGCTGGTATCCTTCGTGATAAGTCCTTTGCTCGTATGTCCGATGAAGACTGGGATCTCGTTCATCGTGTTCATCTTCGAGGTACCTATAAGGTCATCAAGGCTGCTTGGCCACATTTTGTTAAACAAAAATATGGTCGTATTATTAATACAGCTTCAGCAGTTGGTTTGTACGGTAACTTTGGGCAAACTAACTACAGTGCAGCTAAACTTGGTATTGTGGGTCTTACACGTACATTAGCACTTGAGGGACAACGTAAAAATATCATGTGTAATGTGATTGCACCTAATGCTGGCACACGTATGATCGCTACCATTATGCCTCCAGAGATGGTAGAAGCATTTAAACCTGAATATGTTGCACCTCTTGTTGCCTATTTGGGGCATAGTTGTGTTGAAGAGACAGGTGGTATCTTTGAAGTTGGAAGTGGTTGGGTTGCTCAAGTTCGTTGGCAGCGTACAGGTGGTATTGGATTTCCTGCTAATCGTGAATTAACACCTGAACAAGTTGCTGCTCAATGGTCCAAGATCATTGATTTTGATGATGGTCGTGCTACAAATCCCAACAGTACACAAGATTCATTCCAGGGCTTTATGGAAAACTTTAGTAATGTAGTTGAAGAAGCACCTAAATCTGGTCTTGATGTAGAGGCAGCTAAGAAATTAGAATTCGAGACACTTGAATTCACTTATACAGAACGGGAAGTCATTTTGTATGCCTTAGGGGTAGGATGTAAACGTACAGATACTAGTTTTGTTTATGAAAACGATGTTAATTTTCATGTTCTGCCTACCTTTGGTGTCATCCCTTCCTTTACGACTATGAATACAGTTCCTATTGGTGATTTCTTACCTAATTATAACCCTATGATGTTGTTACATGGTGAACAATTCTTATCTCTTAAGAAACCTATTCCTACTAGTGGTACGCTCAAATCCAAGGCACATCTTGTCGATATTCTTGATAAGGGTAAAGGTGCTTCCGTTATCATTAATGTCACAACAACGGATGAATCAGATGAAGTGGTATTTGAAAACGAATTTACATTGTTTATTCGAGGCAGTGGTGGATTTGGTGGACGTTCAAGAGGAGAAGATCGTGGACCTGCTACAGCAACCAATACTATTCCTAATCGAAAACCAGATGCTATTTGTACAGAAAAGACAAGCGAAGATCAAGCCGCGCTTTATCGATTAAGTGGTGATTATAATCCATTACATATTGACCCTGAAATGTCTGCCATCGGTGGTTTTGATATCCCTATCCTTCATGGTCTTTGTTCATTTGGTATCTCTGGAAAACATGTATTAAAGACATTTGGTAATAATGATCCAGCATCATTTGCAAATATCAAAGCACGTTTTGCTAAACATGTTTTCCCTGGAGAAACATTGGAAACATCAATGTGGAAAGAAGGTAATAAGATTATTTTTCAAACTCGCGTTGTTGAACGTGATGTAATTGCTATTTCAAATGCTGCTGTTGAATTAAACACAATTACCCGTGAAAGCAAATTGTAATATAGTAACAATCATTTTTATTATTATTGCAAAATAAACAAAGATTTGCCGCATTTATTGCGGAAAATTATTTTAGTAACTTGAAAACTATGGGGTTTTTTTTTCCCCGAATATTTCTTTTTTTTCCCCGGATATTTCTTTTTTTTCGGATTTTTTTTTTTTTTTTTTAAAAAAAATATAAAATGTCAAAATTTATTTTCCGTCTTATTATATGAATATATATTTTTTTCTCTCTCTTTTCTTTAAACAAGCATGACACAAACAAAAGCAATTCAAACTTTGGATTCAAAGGCATTCGTTTTTGACCTTGATGGTACATTGATTGATACAACACCTTTAGTTGTAAAATACTGGACGAATTTTGCAAACGAACATGGATTAGATCCAGCACAAGTAAAGCAGTAAAAAAAAAATAACACTACAATACACATAATTAATATATACCCCCCTGGTATTATTTAGATTCTTGCCTCATCTCATGGACGTAGAACGTTTGATACAATTCAACGATGGGTACCAGTACTTGCTAATGATAAATATGTAAATGAATTTGAGAGCAAGTTAGCAAAGGAGACGGAAGGTGTGATTATATTACCGGGAGTCATGGATTTATTAAGTCAAATCTCTGAAGAAGATTGGACAGTGAATACAGCGGGTACACACATGATGGCCACTACAAGGTTAAGTCAATTTAATATTAAAGTTCCAAAAGAAATGGCAACAGGTGATAAGGTAATAATAAAGGGAAGGAGGGGGGAAGAAGAAGAAGAAGAAAAAAAAAGTCATCATCTCATCATGACCACTTGTCTTATTATTATATATTAGTTAACAAAGGGTAAACCGGACCCTGAAGGTTATTTATTGGCCGCCAAATTACTTCATAAGGACCCTAAAGATTGTATTGTCTTTGAAGATGCCGATGCGGGTGTTCGAGCCGCCATCGCCGCAGGAATGAAATGCATAGCTTGTTTAACAACACACACTTATGAACAATTAAAGGAAGCTGGAGCTACTGTCATTGTTGATCGTTTAGATAGTGTTCATATTGAAAAACAGGAAGATGGAAGTTACAAGACAATTATTGAAAATGCATATGAGCTTTAAAATATATACATATACAATAAATACATAAATGAAAAAAAGAGCGGAGAGATGTTCTGTTCTATTATAGTAAGATATGATTTACCTTCTTCTTGATGAAGGCATTATAATAATAGAAGAGCCTTGATATGCGTATTAACACCTATCATTGTGTACACTTTAATGCAAAATAAAACTAAAAATAAATTCATAATATTCTAAAAAGAAACTATGCTTATGTAATTCTGAAACACAAAATTTACTAGCCACAAATTAGTTATTGTACCAAAATTAGAGCTTCCTTACTTTTTAAAGCTTAAAAAAAGAAAGGAAAACAAGAATTCTCAGTACTCTAATAGATAAGTTTGCTTCTTTCTATTTCTTTTTTTTTATGGTAAGACATTCTTAGAAATAAATCAATTTACTTAACGCTAAAGAAATTACAAATATCGTTCCTTAAGTAAATAACAATAAAAAAAAAGGTTATTAAATAAGTTTTTCTTTTTTTTTTTTTGCGAGTTCATTACTGCGGAAAGGAGTAGTTTTGACCTTGGCACAAATACAGAGTTTAAAAAAATAGAGAATAAGATGAAATATATACACATTTAAACTCTCTTTCTTCGACATAAGACTCTAATAGGACTTTTGTATAATTGTTTGCATTCTTCATGACGATGTAGTAAAAACTTTGCACAACATGTGTGTCAAAGGACAGAATAATGAAGCTAAATGAAAAAATAAGGTTCCCCTTGGTTCTTTCACTTTTCTCTTCTTTTCTTTTTCTTTTTTTTTTTTTTTGAACTACAGGCTTTGAAGTTATTAGTATCTTTCTCTTCTTTGTAGCAGCTACTGTAGAGTCATGCATGAAACAATTGATAACACCAAAAGTCGATATAAATTCCTCTAAAACACAGTTACAGATATACCGTAGCCGCCCTCCCCTTTTTTGTGTGTGTGTGTTGACATTTACGAGCACGCCCTTCTTTGTAGACTATCCTTGACTATATGTAGATTGAATCCAACCTCAACAATAAAAATGCAAATTTTTTTACAAGATAATCCAAAGTTTGACTCTTTTGTACTAAAAAAAGTATCTCCTCATGTTTTCCTCTTGTCTAAAGTTGTTTCGTCATTACGCTTGGATATAATATGGATGAATTCTCGTAAGCGTATCCTTTATAAATTTATAAAGAGTTGAATCACTTTCTCCTCCCCCCTCCACCTTTAAAAAATAAAATAAAATAAAAACCTTACAAATTTGTTGTATAAACCTCTCTATTAGAATTATCTTTTGGTGACTAGTAGCCTTTTTTTTTTTCATGAAGGAAAAAAAAAAAAAGTCCTTGATAAATGCAGTATTCTCTTTAGTTTAAATTGAAGTTTTCAACCACCTTTCTTTTTGGTAAAAGACACCATTCGCTTCTCATATGTGTAATCACCCATTTTTGCGTGTGTGTGTGTGTGTTGTTCCTGGGTGAATTCCCATAATTCAAGCAAGTTGAGTAGTATTTTAAATGGCATGTGTATTTGCCTGGTCCCGAAGAAGATTGCATGTCTCTCATCTGTTTATTGTTTGCGAACTTGCTTTATATATATACACACACACATATATATATATATAGGCAGACAGACGTATTAACATTTAACGGATTGAATCTTCCAACAGGTTCACTATAGAAAAATAAATAAGGCACTAACGTCCTTAGATTGCTCAACTTCAATGTCTTTATCTGACTACATTAGTATTTTGTTGGCTATATCTATGAAACAGTTGTCTGAAATTGGGAGACAGGAGGTCAAATTTTCCTAACAGTGGATTGGTTGTTAGAGAACTAATGACGAACTCGCAGTGTTTGATTATTCATCAATCTTCTCAATTTTGTACCACTTTAATCCAAACTTAAAAATTTTTTTATTTTATTTTCAATTTGCTCAGTAAATTATTAAAGTCTTTAAATAGAATATGTATCCCTTCAAATCTGCATTAATTATTGTTTTAGCAACTTGATTTGTAAGAACCAAGAAAACACATATAGATTACGTGACGAAACAAGATGTACTCATACTGCACACATTATATAATATCGAAGCGGCATTTGGATTTATTGTTCTTGAGTGTTATGACTACTATTTTTTTTTTTTCCTAGTGAAAATAATTTAACACACTTGGGATTCAAATTACATTCTATGAAAGATTTGTTTATACTTGTTTAATAATAGCCAATTTATTTGCTTTTATTCTAAATATATAGCATGTGTAAAAATAGCTTGCATATTATGTTTATGTGAATATAAAAGATTGTATTGCTGCATTCAAATATTTTTTTTTAAGGCTTAAATACAAAAATAACGAATCAATAGTTTTACAGTATATAGAATTACCACCTATATCTTGAATAATCTGACTATCGTAATATTATTATTATTATTATTAAAGAAAAAAAAAGGGAGGGGGACACGTAGGATATAGTATATATATTGATCATATATGTGTATACAGATGTGTATATGTATATGATAAAGTGCAATTATGGAGGACATTTAGGTCACATTGCTTAGCAGCTAGACGACGATGTGTTACTTCTAAAAATACCCGCTTACATTTACGGAAAGTATCACATTTATATACAGCTTGTTAAAATATGTATATAAAAAGATCAAGATTTTCTTATGTATTTTTTTTTTATTTATTTATCCAGGATTTTACTAAATATGCAGTATCCATCTACCCCTAATAATATTCAATCTATTCTACTAGTTGATAATATTCAACCATTAGATATGTTGTCTGTGGGTGGAAATGAGATGGATCTCTTTCAAAGTTTATCTACTGGAAATACAGGATTTATTCATCATCAACCATCAAACGGCTTTCTTCCTTTATTTGCTCCTTTGAATAATTTCCCAAGTGATAATGCAGTATGTTGTATGACTGAATTACCTACAAAAAGGAAAGAAGACTTGTCTTTAGACATTCAACCTTGTATCTCTATTACAGAGCCTACACCTGTCTCGTCGTTAGGATTTGTAGATCAATTTATCGTTCAACATTCAACTCAATTAGAACACGCCAACCTTTTAGATGATTTATTATTATTATCATCTCCTACTAATACTACTACTACTACTACTACTACTACTCATCCTTGGACAAATTGGACACCTATAGAAGGATCCTTATCTCCAGTTTCATTTACAGGTGCTTTCTTTGATGACCAATATTCAATATCCTCGACACCTGATAATGATCCTTCCTTATGTTTAATATCTCAAAATGATTTCTCTTTTATGAGTTCATTTACAGGTTCGGAATACTCATCTCCATCTTTATCCTTTAACGGAGAAGAAGAAGAAGAAGAGCAGCGAAACAGTAAGGATACCTTATTAACTGTCGTTCGACAAGTATCAGAATCACTACCACCAAAACAAGATTTTCAATTGTTAGAATTTCAATTACAGCAACAGTGTAATACTAATAATAATAAATCAAAAAGAAGAGTACGTTCAAAGACGATGAATTCATCCTCAACAAATCATGCCTGTCCTCATCCAGGCTGTGGAAAACTTTTCACACGTCCTTATAACTTGACCTCTCATATGCGTACTCATACAGCTGAAAGACCCTTCGCGTGTTCCGAATGTGGAAGACGATTCGCTCGTCAACATGATCGGAATCGACATGAAAAGTTACACTGGGGTATAAAACCTTACGCTTGTTTAAATTGTAAAAAACCATTTGCAAGAATGGACGCTTTAAATAGACATCTTCGTGTCGAAAATGGGTGTCAAAATAATACAATGATTCACAAAACCATGTAGATAAATGTGTATATTTTTTTTTTAGAATCTATACCCTCCCTTTCCTTTTAATAGCATTCCTTTCATTTTTATTCTATGTACATAATAACGACTATTATTAGTAATATTAAAATAAATCTTTTATATTGTATGTATATCCCAGTAGTTACACGGATATCATCTATACTTCCTTCTTCGCCCTTTTTACTCCGGGAATACCAGTTTTAGACTTCTACTTTTATTTTTCTAGAATATCTTGTAATAATCCTCTTATTTCTACTAGCATTTCCATATCATAATGAGCAGATGACACAGGTACCTAGAGACCATCTATAAGTAATTTATCTTATACGCTTTGCATCAACTATACCTTAAGATCGTTTAAGCATTCTAATATCTTTATAATCTCCCGCTTTTCTTCATTTAGCACTAAATTTATGTAGCAGTTAATATATGTTATATACTGAATAAATGCAAAGTCTATTTACTTATTTCATTATGATTTGTTGCCGCAGTCAGTTTACTTTCTATCTGATTTGCTATCTTTTCGATCTGCCATAAAAACTTTAATACATCACTTTCTTTTAAACTATCTATCTCTTGTCTTTGTTTTTCCCTTAAAGCTTCTTCAGCCAAACCTAGCTCTCTCTTTAAAGATATATATAAACATATAAATAAATACATATAAAAGTTATTTATTGTATCTATTTATATTTTACCTCAACTGTTTGCTTTAAGCTTGTAAAATGTTTTTTCAATCTAAAATTCAAAAATTCATATTGAAGATATTTTGCATAAAGATAATCAAGTTGAAGTAATTGTTCGTCATTGTGCAACGAATCAGATAAATTATATACTGAAGAAGCTCTTGATTCTCGTCGCATAGATGGTCGTGGTAATGAAATATTAGTAGAAGGGGTATCATGCTACATGAAAGAAAAAGAGAAAGACAGAAAAAAAAAGAGTTAATTATAATCTTTACATGATGTTTTTTTTTTTTCTAAATTACGGGTTGTATAATGGATGATGAATGTGGTTGTTGTGACGATCTTCTTGGCTTTTTCAAGATGATAGCAGACGGTGAATTAGAACTATTAATACGTTTTTTACTCGATGAATGCGTTGAACGTAAATATCCCGGATGACTTTTATGACGAGAGCTTTCATTTTCTTTTTTTTTAGGAGTCATTTTAGTCTAATCTATTTAACGTCTTTTATATACATTTATAAATATTTTACCTTCTGTAAAACTGTACAAAACATCATAAAAATCAAACACTATTATTCTTATTAAAATAATTTATTTTATTTACCTTTTCTCTAATCGATCAATGGCTTCATGTACACTTAGATTATTTTCTTCGTCCAACATGTTTAATAAGAAAAAAAAAAAAAGTTCGTTATTATGTAATAATTTTAGAATTATTTTTTTTTTTTTTTTTTGGAAGTCCTATTTTAACCCCACCCCTAGCATTTCTGCAACCTAATCTTTCCCCTAGCTTTTCTTGGTGAAGAAATAATTATGAATAGATTTATAACATCAAGCTTGCAAGTTGCATCACGAGCACAAAAAACAAGAGAGTTTATCCTTAGGGACATAAACAAACGTAAGATCTTTCCTCCCTCTCATCAATGACAAAACCTCCCTCCTCCTCCCTCATACATTCCTCTCCAACATATAAACCCATATATGTATACAAATATATACATTATAGATCTGTCTTGATTAACCTCTCTCTCTCTTTTTTTTATATATATAGAATTCATACGAAATAACTCTACTAATGTAATAAAAAATCTCGTCGTGCATAACCATCCAACCTCTCCCATTTCCTCTTATAATCTTCGCCTCAATGTACAACTTCGAAATCGAAGAAATCCAGCAAAGACTCTTAAAAACGTGCTAGAGATTGTTGATGAAATCAAACAACTCAAGATTAAATTTGATCATAATACGTACAATGCCTTGATGGCGGCCTTGAGTATGAATAAAGAATTTCAAAGAGCTGAAAGAGAATTTAAAAAGATGCTAGACGATGGACTTGAACCTAATATTGACAGTTATAATATTTTCTTGGAGGTAAATAAATTACCAAAAAAAAAAAAAAAAGTGTGTATGTATGTCTAAATGTATTAAAATATCTCCTTTTTCTTTTCTTTTTTTTATGGAAGGCTTATGCCAAAACAGGAAGATTAAAGAAACTCTTGGAACTAAAAGAAGAAATTATAGAACATAATATTCAATTAACATATAATTCCTATCACTATATTTTAAAAGGGCTATGTAACGCAAATGAAATTGAAGCAGCTTTAGATCTCTTTGATCAAATGAAAGAGAAAAAGATGGAACCTAATTTGGCCATCTATGCAACACTGATTCAAGGCTGTGCACAAGTCCTGGATAGTAAAGCTACATTCGATTTACTCACGGAGGCAGAGAAACTTGATTTGGCTGTTGAAAGCCAACCCAAGATTTACATAAACGTGCTTCGTCTGGCAACACAATGTGATGATGAAAAACTAGTTAATTACTGTTGGAATAAAGTGATTCAGCATTTCATACGATTAGATGAGGGAAGCCTCTTGGAGGTTCTTCGAGTGGCTTCTAAGAAGGGGGATACACAACTTGCTACAGATGTTATTCGACAATTAAGTACGAATGGTTATACTTATAAGGAACATTATTTTACACCTCTGATGGAGGCCTTCATAGTCAAGAAAGATCTTAAGAGTGCGTTTAATGTATTAGATATCATGCGTGCCTCAGGCATTGCACCTTCCATGCGAGCTACCCTACCCATTCGACAACAGCTTCAAGGTAATGTAAATGATATTGATACAGCTTATTATATCTTGGAAGAAATCCGACGACAAAAGAAGACGGTAGATATAACGGCCTTTAATGTCGTTGTTGCAGCCTGTGCAGATGCAAAGGACATTGAAAGAACAGTAGCGACCTATCGTGAAGCCAAACGATTAGGCGTAACCCCTGATGTAGATACCTATAATGCAGTCCTTGAGGCATGTATCACGACTCATATGAAGTCAATGGGTTTAGTCGTCATTGGTGAAATGAAGAAGGCAGATATCAAACCTAATTTAGAAACCTATTCAAATATGATTCGGTTAGCATGTACAGGACGTGATTATGATGATGCGTTTGAATACCTTGAAGAAATGAAAGGATATGACATTGCTCCACCTGAAAAATGTTATTTGACATTAGCACGTAAATTAGCTTATGAGAATGATCCAAGATTCCACATGTTATTAGAAGAAATGGAAACCTTTGGATATCCTGTTACTACCAAACTTAGAAAATTATGGAAATCATAAATCATGATCATGATAATAATAGAGCAGCATGTTATACATACATGTATAAATATGTATACATGTATGTATATACGAATATATATATTTATATATATATATATATTTTAATTTTTTAAATAAATAAATAAATAAATAAACTAAATACATATATTCATATCTATGATTAATGATAATAGAGTAAAGCATCCGTTGGAGTCATGGTAGGGCTTTGGTCAGAGTAATGATAATATTCATCATCAGAATGCATCATGATGGGACTATGGATGACACTATGAGAGAGTGGAGTCATTAAGAAATGAATAGAAGGAATGATAGGAGAAGTTAAACAGGAAGAATCTGTAGTAGAAGAATAAGGAAGTTGAATCATATTATAAAGAGGAGATGGTTCATGAACCATTGTATTCCATTCAGATGGTACTAATAGTTCATTTACTAAGCTTATATCCGTTGGCTCTTGTTCTTCTATTTTATAAACTAAATCTGATATTCCTCCTCCTTTTTCTTTTTCTTCTTTTTCTTCAAACTTGAGAATAGTAGGAGATAAAAGGATTTGCTTCATTTTGGAAGGATCTTCTTGTTGTCGAGACCTTTTGATATTGGATACTGCTGCTACTGTTGCTGCATCATGTGTAGTACTAACACGCTTTTTCGTATGACGAAGATGATAAAGACGACGCTTTAATAATTTAGTGCTGCGTTGTTGTTGTTTACGACAATTTGATTTTGTGGATGACTTGATATGAGTCTTCTTATGTTGAGCCAAATTATCGGACCGTGAAAACCGTTTACCACACAAGTCACACAAATAAGGTCTCTCCAACGTATGAGTTCTTAAATGACGTTTCATATGTTCTAAGCGTTTAAAGACTTTACGACAAGAAGGGATAGGACATTCAAAAAGCCGATAAGATTCACTCGATTCGGATGCCCCCTTTGAGGTGATACATGATTTTTCTTTTAAAGTGAATGATTTCTTTTTGTTATGAATGATTGTTTGTTGTTGTTGTTGTTGTAAAGTAGTTACACGATGTCTACGTTGTTTATAAGAAGGAGAGCCTTTAAAGAGAGAAGAAGGACCAAAGAGAGTAGATGAAATGATTTTTTGAATATCGTCATGATCTCTTTTCTTTTCCTTTGTATGGACAAGAGATAGGGGATAATCTAATTGAGATAGCATCGCCTTACGGAATTCATCCAACATAGCCTGAGTTGTATCCAAGGAGATGATATCAGCAGGATAAGCAATCGCTATCGAGGTAGGCTCTATACCCAACCTTTCACGCTTTAAATCCCTTTCAAGGGCATCCAAAAATAAGCGATCATGAGGAACCGAATACCAATAAAAGACCTTTTGTTTCTTTTGAGTTCTGATACAATTATGTTTAAATAAGAGATCCAAAAATATCGATTTAGGTTCCTCCAAGATAGCATCTGTACCTGGTTTAAGATTTCTGAGATCACTAAAGATACCTTCTTCAAACTTTTTAATATTCTTGATAGGTCTACCAAAGGCGGTGAATCGAAAGAGAAGACAACGAATGATATCTGTACCTGTAATAAAGAATGTATCATTCCATTTAATACAGCTAATTGATTCTCCAGTAGATGATAAATCAAAGGTTTGAATCGTCTTGTTCTCTTGTTCTTCTGGCGCTGTCACTAAGAATGTTTTAAGCTGATTCATCATTTCAAGTCTTGTATCTATATTTTCTTTATTTGGATTCATTTTCTATTCTATTTTTTTTTTAAAAAAAAAAGAAGAAGAAAAGAGAAAGAAAAAAAAAAGGAAAATAAATATAAATTCATTTCTCTCTCACTCATTCACTCACTCACTCACTCACTCACTTACTCTCTCACTCTCTCCTCCCCCCCCTTTTTTTTCACTAATTGTTATGGGCAATTCCTTCGTAAAAAAGGGTTTTCCGGAATGCAAACTTCAAACACGATTACAAAGTTTAGGTTGTACTGTATCAGATATTTTTATCCAATCAAAAGAGAGATAAATAAATACCGCAATTATTTTGTTGTTGTTATTGTTATTATTATTTTTTTTTTTTTTTTTTTTTTTTTTTTGATTTTCACAAGTATAATATGCTAATAATCAAGTTATTCTTCTTATATTCTTTATTGATTATGACAACTACAAGTCAAACATTCTTATACGAGTCAATGAGTTCTAGTTATCTACAAACAAGTCAACGTCAATCTTTATTTGACAAGTTGGCTCCTGATCCTGCTTTATCTACTTTTATGGATGTCCTTACTCAAGTAGATGATGTCCTTCAATTAATAAATTCAACCCATGATAAAACACTTTATACTATCTTTTGTCCTATCAATAGTGCCTTTCAAGAGTTCAGACTCTTGTATGGACACGATAACCTTGATGAATTCCTAAGAAATCATATTGTTCCTCATGAAAGGCTTTTACCGTCTGAATTACCATCACGCCATGTCCTTCCGACTTTATTAGATCATCAAACGATTCAAGTCAAATATCATTATTTATCTCATAAAGTCGTCTTGAATGGACATGCCCAAGTTGATATGAAGCATGTTGTTGAAGCAACAAATGGTATTGCATATAAAATTAATCATTTATTACGTCCTGCCAAATAATGACGTCTAACATTCACGTGATATAAAACGATATATACATGTGTGTATATGAAATTATTTCAATTTTTTTTTTTTAATAATAATAATGATGATAATAATAATATACGTTAAAGGAGAGAGAAGGAGAGAAAAAAAAAAGGAGAGGGGAGAGGAGAGACAAGGTGTTAGGGAGGTTTTATAAATTTAATAAAAAGTCATCTTCTTTTGGATGAATCATGACTGCTACCGCTGCTGCTGCTGCTGCTGCTTCTTCTGCTTCTTCTTGCTTTATAACAGTAACGTCTTCTTTCTTTGTTAAATGAGCAGATAAATCTTTATTCATGCCAAAGCTATTAATTCGATCCTGATCAAATATTTTTTTAAGCTTTTCATCACAAAGAATAAATCTTCTATCAGAAGGATCCTGAAGATTATTTGATTTAATGTACTTCCACAGTCTTTGAACTAATTCAGGTCTTGAAAGCTATATGAAAGTATACACATTATTATCTTTTTTTTTTTTTTTTTTTTTAGTTGTCCTCTCCTTCTTTAGTTTAGTTATTATCTTTACTTCTCTTTCTCCATCCATAAGCTTGGAAAGAGGAGGACTAAGGATTAAGGGTTTATTCAATCCTGTCTTTCTTTTTGGCTTGGGTGGTGCATTAGGATCGATTATCTTTGCCTGTCTTTTCCTTTTCGTCTTTGTTTGTTTCTTTTTTTGAATACTACTACCTCCTGTCTGTATATGCTCTGTCTTTATCGTCTGTAATAAATGATTGTGGGGTTGTTGTAATTGTTGTAAATGCTGTTGTTGAGAATAATAATGCATCATAGAATTCGATGACGTAGATGGTATATAAACAGGAGTGGATTGAGGCGAATCTGGACTACTTTGATTACTATTATATCTTTGGGGAGAATACATGTAATTGGTGGGTTGATAATATCCATTATTATATAGATTTTGTTGATTTAATAATGCATGACTAGCTTGAGAGGGTTGTTGATAAAGATGACTAAACTCAAGTCCATCTAGAAAGCCTGAATGATCTACTGTTGTCAATTTATTAGTAGGATTATTGTTGTTCGTATTCGTGTTCGTGTTAGTGTTGTTGTTAAATGTATGCAAAGCTGCATAAAATAATATATATTAATATATATATCATACACGCACACATATCCGTATCTCCCTTTTAATCTTATACATGCCTTGTTGCAAAACAGGATTTCTGTCCATTTTTCTTTATGTTTTCTTTTCTTTTTTTTTTGAATAAAATTAGTATTTTTTCTATATCGCAAGTTACTTTTTTAATCACACACACACAAGAATAAACTCTTTTGCTATCAGGGTTTTTTTTTGTTTTTATAAGAAAAGAAGAAGAAAAGAGGAAAAGAGGAAAAGAAAAAACAAGAGTTAATATGAAAATGGGGGTGTGTACGAGGAACACAACAGAGTAGTAAATCAATTAAAAAAACGTGACTCTTTGTATCCGATCAAGGGACTCTTTTTTTTTTTCTTTATTATTATTATTATTATTATTTTATTACTGCAAGATAGTTTCAAGCTAGGTTCTATTTCTTGTTATACACCCATACGTTACTTTGTTGTCCATCTTTCTTTAGGTATCTTTTTTACTTTCTTTAACTTTTGTTATTGTTCACGTATAAAATACAATATTATCAAGTACGTCACAAGCATATGATGGTTTTACTAAAAGAGAGAGAGAAAAAAAAAAGGGGGGGAGTCTTGTTGAAATTTTATCCAAAAAAACATCCCTAAAATAGTAGTTTGGTAATGTTGAAATCGAATGCTTTGTGTCTTGAATACGAAAAGCTATTGTTTATTTGAATATGCGACAAACCATAATGATTGAAGCATTATAGTATCGTCTTTATTTTTATTTTTATTTTTGTTATGAATGATCTATTTTAATAAATATCTAAAGATATCCCATGATTCAAATATCGTCTGTTCCCTTTTTTTTTTCTTTTTTTTTCTATTATACAAATAAAAATTGAATAGTGTTCGAGTTGCTATGTCAAAAAATGCTCTAAACATAGTGCATGTAGTACTCTTTTTTTTTTTCCTTTTTTTTTTTGTTTTAATACTACACGCACCCACGTAAATCCTATTATCATTATATAAATTCTCCGTGTAACCAATAATTTGTTCTTGACACTCATCGATTTTTTTTTTTTTTTTTTTTTTTTTTATAATTATTATTATTATTATTATTATTATTATAATTATTAATAATAATAATAATATATTCATTGATCATGATGTCACAACAACCACCAGGATCACCATTATCACCATTATCACCGCCTTCACCTTCATCTTGTATAGAACAAAAAACAATTTACGATGTCATTTATGCAACTAATAATCCTCCCGAGTTTTATGGTCCACATTCACTCATTCAATCCGGGGCATGTCCTCATCTTGTCCAACTAAAAACTCAAATTCGAGAAGATCCCAATAATGATGTTTTGGAAAATTATCGTATCTTGATTCAATATTCTATTTTATGGCATAAAAGTCGAAAGCAAAGACATCAACCCAATAGTAGTAAAAAGAGAAAACTTGACGAGGTATAGATTCATACATAATAATACGTTATTATTATTATCATTATTCAACTTGAATATAAAAAAAAAATGTAAATAGCTTCCTATGCCTCAGTGTACTACTTGTATGGATCCTTTATCAAGACTTCATGCTTGTTTGCATTGTGTCTTCATGGGTTGTTTGCGTAAAGGCCATTTAAAAGATCATTTAAAAGAAAAGAATCATACCTTTGGTAGTCCTTTTATTTAGGAAAACAAGTATATTAAAATGCCTCTCATTTTAATATTATTTTCATATAGCTATGGATTTTGATAGACATACATTATTTTGTAACGAATGCAATGATTATATATATGATGTTGAGATTGATGAAAAAGTGATCAAAACCAAATTGAGTTCAAGTACATTTACTTTTTTTTTTTGAAATAGACAAAAAAAAATAGTTTTGTTTCAACTAAATAAGCTTTTTTTTTTATATATAGAATCAAAAAGAAAGAAACAATGTATAAAATGGGAGCCTAGCAACGAAGAAATCAAGACACTTGTCAATAATTCATCTATTTCATCTTGTCAGGGTATTCGTGGCTTATGTAATATGGGCAATACTTGCTTTATGAATGTCATCTTACAAAGTCTTGTACATAATCCTTTATTAAAGGCCTATTTTTTAAGTGATCGACATAATCCTAAATATTGTCAGAAACAATTTTGTATGTGTTGTGAAATGGATGATTTATTTGCACAGGTAAATAAATAAATATGGATATACGAGATGGAACAGAGAGCATGTTTGCTGAAAATACAGAAATACAAAAAAAAAAAAAATCTAAATTTTTTGGTGTTTATTTATTTCTAGTTTTATTCGGATGATAAGAAGCCTTATGGACCTTGTCGTTTCCTTCAATCGATGTGGATGAGTTTGAAAGAATTAGCAGGTTATGCACAACAAGATGCTCATGAGTTCTTTATCAGTGCCCTGAATAATATTCATGCAGGTTGTGAAGGCCAAAAGCTGTCGAATTGCAATTGTATCATCCACAAGACCTTTGCTGGCTTATTACAATCGAATGTGACTTGTCTTCGATGTAGAAATGTGACAACCACCTGTGATCCCATGTTAGATATCAGTTTAGGATTAAGGCCAATGGAAACGAATAAAAAGAAAAAAAGTATGAATGGGAAATTATTAGGAGGAAATATAGATGGTAGAAGGTTGAGTGATGAAGAATCATCTCTTTTACGAGGTAAAGGACAAGGAAATACATTATTAGATTGTTTAGATAGGTAAATATATATACTCGGTAGAAAAAAAAAAAAAAAAAAAAAAAAGTCTAAACACTAATATCATGATTTAGATATACACAGCCTGAAAGATTAGGCCCTAATGAATATAGTTGTAGTAAATGTGGTAATACTTTTCAGGTAATATACATATTTATATATATAAATATATATAATGAACTAATGTCATATTTAAATAGGAAGCAACTAAACAATTATCTATTAAACGTATACCTCCTGTACTAAGTATTCAATTCAAGGTAACCCATTCCTCTAACGTCTATTATACATACAGTAAAAATTGATAAATCTATATCCCACATAGCGTTTTGAACATGGTTCATCTTCCTCAAGTAAAATTGAAACAAAGATTAAATTTCCAATAGAATTAGATTTAACTCCTTATACAAGTAGTAAGAAAAAGATAGGTAAAAAAAAAAAAAAAAAAAAAAAAAAAAAACAAATGCACACAGAATAGTATACTTGACTACTAATTATTACCATAGAGATAATATATATACATTATTTTCGGTTATAAATCATCAAGGTAAAATGGATACAGGACATTATACAATGTATGCCAAGCATAGAAATGAGGTTTGTACAAGTATATATTCATATCTATTTCATTTACTCACTCATACAATGGCAGTGGTTTCGATTTGACGATCATAATGTAACACTTGCTTATCAAAAAGATGTTTTAGACAGTAAAGCGTAAGTTATAGAATGTATAGAATTAAACTAAAAAGAAAGCTTATCCTCCTCTTTATATATATATATATATATATAAATATTAAATTAGATATATGTGCTTTTATATTAAAAAATCATTAGAATATGAATCAATAGACCCCTTTCGATTTGAATAAAAATAAATAGAATCGAACCATAAAATAATTCTTCTGCAATAAGACCCGTTTTATTGTTGTACAGAGTGACTGGAATTTTTTCTTATCTTTCCTTCTTTTTTATAATAAAACATTGTAAAATTTCCTTTCTTTCTTTTTCCTTTCCTTTCCTTTTAATTTAATTAGAATGGCTATCATCTCGACCTTGGCTTCTTCACTTCCTCCTTTATCTACGCTTGTTATTTATACTCTTTTAGCCTTCGGGTTATCTATCATTTATAATATTTTAAATCAATTGGTAAAATCAGGGAAAAAGAAAAAGAAATATAGGATTGTGTTTATTTATTTATTGTATTTATTTATTGTATTTATTTATTTTTTTAGTATGGAAAGAAGGATCCGAAAGCACCTCCAGTTGTGTTTTCATGGTTACCATTCATGGGAAATGCTGTTGAATTCGGAGTGTAAGTTTATTTAATATAATTGTGTGGGGTTAAAATGTGTGTGAAATATAAATTAAAACCTGTCTCTCTCTCTCTCTCTCTCTCTCTTTATTATTATAGAAACCCTATTCAATTTTTACAAAACTGTCAAAAGAAATATGGTGACGTATTTACATTTTATATGGTGGGTAGACGTGTTACTGTACTTTTAGGTGCAGATGGAAATCAATTTGTATTTAATTCAAAACAAAATTTATCTTCTGCCGCTGAAGCTTATAATCATATGACAAAGTATGTATTTGGTCCTGAAGTAGTTTATGATGCTCCTCATAGTGTCTTTTTAGAGCAAAAAAGGTAAATATACATTTAAATATAAAACTATAATAGTACATATATCTAATTATAAATATACATTTCTCTCTCTTTTTTTTTAAGGTTTCTCAAGACGGGTTTAAATTCAGAATGTTTCCGTCAGCATGTGCCAATGATTGTTGAAGAGGTCAAAGAGTTTTTCAAGGATTTTAAAAAGCCCTCAGGGGTATTTGATGTCTATGAAACATTTGGTTCATTAATCATCTGTACTGCATCACGTTGCTTGATGGGTAAAGAGATTCGTGCGAATCTAGACGGTAGTGTCGCTAAACTTTACTATGACCTCGACCAGGGCTTTAAACCTATCAATTTCATTTTCCCAAATCTTCCTTTACCTTCTTATCGTAAGCGTGATAGAGCATGTAAGAAGATGGCAGAACTTTATTCAAGCATCATTCAACGTAGGAAACAAGAGAACGATCATGGTAATTCAGATTTACTTCAAGCTTTAATGGATGCAACCTATAAGGATGGACAATCTGTCCCTGATCATCATATCGCTGGTATGATGATCGCTATCCTATTTGGTGGACAACATACCTCAGCTACCACGACGGCTTGGGCCCTCTTGGAACTTGCAGCACGTCCTGATCTCATTCGTGCCTTACGTGAAGAACAGATACAAAAATTGGGTTCACTTCAAGCTGAACTTACATTTGAAAACCTCAAGGAACTAACGTTATTAGAGAATTGTGTTCGAGAGACCTTACGTCTTCACCCCCCTATCTTTCAAATGATGCGTAAGGTCGTTGCAGATAAAGTGACGTTTGAAAAGACAGGTCATGATATCCCTAAAGGTCATTACCTCTGTGCCGTCCCAGGTGTCACTCAAATTGATCCTACCTACTATCATCATCCACTCACTTTTAATCCGATGCGTTGGGTCGATCAAGATGATCCTGTATATACATTAGAGGCTGGCGATGACGCTCATATGGACTATGGCTTTGGCGTCGTCGGTGTCTCGTCTAAAAATCCTTTCTTGCCCTTTGGCGCTGGACGTCATCGTTGCATTGGTGAACAGTTTGGTTATTTACAAATCAAGACCCTTATTGCAACTATGATTCGTTTATTTGATTTTGAATTGGAAGAAGGAAAGGGTGTCCCCAAGTCTGATTACACTTCCATGGTCGTTATTCCTGAAAAGCATAGTTATATTAAATATACTTGGAGAGAGTAATGATAATAGTAATAATAATAAAAAAAAAAATTATTTATTTAATAATAATAATAAAATGGACATATTCTTTTCCTTTTTTTTTTTTTTTTTTTTTTTTTTTTTTTTTTTTTTTTTTTTTTACTCTTCTTTAATTTGAAATAATTTGATATGTGTACCATTCCAGGCACCATGATGATGCATGGATGAAACATAACTCTGTCCCCACATCATACTACGGAACCAAATCACCAATGCCTCCCCCCATTGAAATTTACGAATAAAGATAGACCTGCCTTCTTCCGGTAAATTCTCCAACTGAATAGATTGAATAAAGTGCATCAATTCTTCTAAATCAACATGATGAATACTGCATTTCTCTTCTACTTGAGGTACTAATTGTTCCAACATGGCCATGATGGTAGCTAAAGGTAATTTGGATTTCCAATAGGCCATCCATGCCTCTGAAGGTGTAAACCCATGGTGTGTAGATGAAACAAGAGGATCATGGTTGGATTCTTCATTCAAGGTCACACTTGAATGAGTATTCGTAGAAGGATTTTCATGTTCTATTGTTGTTGTTGTAGTAGATGATAAGGGTTCCTTGTCTTCAGTTGGAGTCCCTTTATCTAACGATAACTGATCTGTTTTAGTCTCTTCAGATTCATGGTCGTTTACAGCAGATGAAAAAGTAGGTTCATCCCCTGTAGAGCTCGACTCTTCTTCTTCTACTCTATTCTCGCTCTCCTCTTCTTGTGTCGAATTATTTTCTTCTAAACTCTTTTTAGCTCTTAATGCTCTTATCCTTTCTACTTCCTTCATAGCATCTTCAAAGGTCAATGCATTTAATTTTTCAAAATAATCATGATGTAAAACAATGGCATAGATAAGGTTGGAATTTTCTGCATACTGATGATTAATTATGTTATTAAAGATTTCCAAAAGATACATTGTAAGTTGATAATTGTTTTCCTCAGTAAATAAGAATGAAGGTGAAGACATGGAATGAAATAAGGTAATCAATTTGTTAGCTGTCGTGACATTTAAATTGGTTAAATAAGATGATATATTTGAAATGGTCAATAAGAGAGCTGGATATAAAGTAGACAGTTGACCATGTGTAGTAGCAATTAGAGTGAAGATAGACTAAAGGATGAAAAAAAAAAGAATTTACACACATTATACACACATTATATGTATATAATTTATATCCTAACTTACGATAATTAAAAAGTCTGCATAAGTACCATTGAATGCATAGACACGAATACTCGCTGGAAGTGATGAATGTGTTGTAAATGGTTTATTTAATTTTGTACAATAGTCTTTGTTGGATGATAACGTTTGAAGCATAAAGATACACATACGTACTAAACCAGCTTGTGCTATCTTGTCTTTGTTATCCATAGCATGGAAAATTAAAGTAATTGTTAAATCTAATGAACGATCAGTTTCGAAAAGATAGCTTGTAAATCTCTACTTAATAAATGATTAGAATATAGACCATCTTTTTTTTTTTGGGAAAATAAAATTACCGAGTTGGTTTCAATTAATTTCCAACATAGCATCATAACATTAACAAAACAATCTGTACGTTTTGTTGAACCAGGTAAATAGGTGTTAATAGCTGTCATAGGATTTACAAGCAATCGATAAATGCCATCCATAAGAAACTCAAAATCTTGAGATCTATGCAGTTTAGAAATATAAAGTCGGAATACATTATCTGAATGATGATGATAATGAGCTTGTTGTTGTTGCTGATCTGTAGGTGTAAATGCTTCTATTTCTACACATGCTTTTGGAATTGCATCTGGATCTCCTAAAGTCCATACTTCAACCGTACTTTGCTGTTGGTCATGTTGGCGCATTAGATCGGCTTGTTGTGGTGAACGATAATCAAGTAGGATTAACAAAGCCGTCAAACACAAAGTCACAAGTTGTTCCTTATTAGGTCCTGTTGAGATGACATGATGATAGGGTACCCAGCCTATAGGGTCATAATTACAGACCGTATTTAAAAAGCTACAAAGCATAACCAAAATTGCTTTACGTTCCAACTGTTTATTAGCAGCGACACATTTAAGCCATAAGTCTTCTTTTGTCAAAAGTTGAGATGGTGAAAGATACATGGATTTAGATAAAAGGACGACTAAAAGTCTTAATACTTCTGTACGATTCGCTTCATTATCTTTAAAACTACCAATAGACATTGTTGAACCCACACCATTTTCCCAAATGACATAGTTAATTTTAGATTCTTTCGTAGCTAATGAAATTGGAATTGTAAACCCAGCTAAAAACAACGCTTGAATAGTAACTATTATAAGGTAAAAGAATAAAAAAAAATAAAAATAAAAATAAATAAAACCATCAATAATAATAATACATCATAATAATAAAAAAAAAAAGAACAAGTAAATTACAAGTTAAAAGTAGTTCACCACGACAAGGTAATGTCTCATACTCTACTTTATCTTCAGGATCCTTTTTATCTTTCTCTACTTGTCTGGGAGTCCAAAAGAAACTCTCTTCCCATTCTGAGCACTCTAGACTTTCAAAAATAAATGGCATAATACGTGTTAAAACACGACAGCAATTCAAAAGATGGTTAATTGAATGTTGTTCGGAAGGAAAGTTTTGAGCTTTTAATATAGCCTGCATCTTATCCATAAGCTAAAAAAAAAAGAAAGAAAGATAGAAAGAAATAAAATAAGAAGAGAGAGAGAGAGGTTATTTTTTCTTTCTTTAATTAAGTTGAAGTCTAGTATGTTTTACTTTATCAATTAACACTTCAAGATTATTTCTAGCTGAATCTCGAGTTTTTCGAATGTCACTTGCGCCAATCAAAGAAAAGATATCATCAGCAGATTCAGGTAAAGTCCAAAACTGAATTCTATAATATTAGTCTCTTCTTGAATTATTACTAAAACATGCATATATACCAATTCCCAATATTCATTTTCACTTGTTGCAATATTCTTGACAAAAGAAAAAAAAAGTATTATTATTGCTCTTTTTGGCAAAACAAATAAAGTAGATATAAAAAATATTTTACTTGTTTAATTTATTTACTTTGTCTTCGAATAATCGAAATACATTTTTTCTAAAAGCAAGTTTACTATCTGTTGCTCCCATTTTTTACTGAGAAAAAAAAAAATAAAAAAAAAAAAGAATAAAAAGTGAAATCAGTTTCAGTAGCAAAGTTTATTATAACTAACAGTATTTTAACTTCAGATTGAGATGAATGAAAAAGTAGTGAGACGAATTAATATGAAAAAAAAAAAAAAAAAAAAAAAAAGCTAGAAAAAAAAGCTAGAAAAAAAAAAGACTACAAGTGGTTAATCAGTTACTGACTATTCAATGCTAGTTTAAAACATAATTCTCATTTCACCTTTCATAATATTTATTTATTTTATTATGAATCAAAGAGTCTCTGTATACAAATTCAAATATCGTTATTTAAGATGCGATTTGTTGAGTTGTATTATGTAAGTAATTAAGGGCTTAGTTTCTGATACACAGCATCTACTGAAAACAATATAAATTGTATTTATCCTTGCCTAATTAAAAAAATGTCCAGGATATATAGCTTGGTTCAGTTAGATACTATTCCGATAATTATTGTTCTTGTATAAATCGATCCAGTATTATACTTGGAAATGATGCGTCTTTGTATTATTTGAGGGAAGCTACTATATACATTTATTAGTACCTTATGTCTGGATAATCTATATTTAGACATGAAGGCTAGAACACATATAAAATGTATTAATAATACACAAAAATGCTAAGTAAAAGTGAATAGACTAAAATATAAATTTATTATAGCTGTTAATCTATCCTCCAATTAGATAGCTACAATTCATGATATAAAGCACTTAATAAATACATATTATAACAGTATTTGTACGTTAAAATAGATATCACTTAATTCTATATGACTTGGAATTAAGGCTAAATACAACGAAACTTGTTTTATAGGCTATTGTTACCTAAAACTCTATTTTGACAGCCCAATTAAGAGGATTTGTTTAGCATATGGTATCTGGCTACATTAGACAAAGTATTTTAAGGGCTAGCCGTCTCTATACTTTTTTTAAGCGATTTGCCACCTCTTTTTTTTTTTTTTTTTTCCTCATGTATTTACCTGCAGAAGTGTATATTTGACTAATAAACACCCATTCATTTAAATATGTATTGAATACATTATTGATTCAACAAATCCTCAAATCCAAAGCCCCAGTTTTACAAAATATTATGTAAATTATGCAAACTACCATCATAGAAGGAAAAAAAATTTTTTTTTTATTTTTTTTTATTTTAGCTTTATTTTTATTAACGTATTGTTATTTTAAATGAGTATAGTATGGAGCACAAAAAGTCATGCCATGAGAAAAAAAAAAAAAAAAAAAAAAAAAAAAAAAAAAAACCTCTTCAGAATGATAATAGATATAAAAGTTTTAACATTAAAAAAGGTAAATAAAATAAGGATCCAAATGGAACAAATATTACTTCAAATATGACTCTATCTTGAATGAATACAGTTAAAAGAAATAGTGAGTCTAATATTGTAAGGACTCCATATTCTCTTAAACAGTTGAAACACAGATCAATAAACAGCAATGAATATATACCATTTAGGATATGCAATGACTATTTCCAGGACATCACTATTAGTTATCATACAATTAACTTATAATGGCTGACCTTTATTTATCAATTTTAAAAGAGTAGAGTTTTCAAGAACCTTTGTTTCTCAACAATAGAACAAAAGTCACTGATATTTAAATAAAAGAGTCTCTCTCTCTGTCTCTCTCTTTTTTTTTTTTTCTTTTTCCTGCTTACACTTTCTTGATAGTGTACAAAATTTGTTTCTCAGAAGATGCCTAGAATTAGCATTGCTAAGAAAAAATTTGTTCAAGTATGAATACTATCTGCTGCCAAGCTATGAAACGTTCTTCCTGATGTATTTAATTCCATTTCATGTTAATAATAATAATACAGGGGAGAGGGGGGGGAATAGCCCTTCAAAACGATATGAAATTAGGCAATATGGATGAAGTTCCTTTCCTTGCCAAGTTATTGTTTCACACAAAGTCTTTTATAAACTTAGCATAAAATTTGATTAGTAGTGTTTTATCATAATTTATCACAAAAAAAAGAACATGTATCAAAATAAATATTTAAATTATGATTTATTTATTATTCTTTTTAGTTCTTTTGTTGTTTTTTTTTCTACTTTAGCACTTTCTATCATGGAACAACAACAAATTTCAATTGATATAAAATCCCTCAGTACAAAAGCAAGAAGAAGGATGCGTACTTCAAAAGAAGAAACAGCTATTCTTGAAAGTTATTACAGACAAAATCCAAACCCTACAAATGAACATAAACAAAGAATAGCTAAAGAAGTAGAAATGGGAGCAAGGAATGTTCATTTCTGGTAAATTATAGACGCGTATATAAAATCAACTTTTTGTTAAAAAATAAAATAAAATATGTATAGGTTTCAAAATAGAAGAGCAAAGGATAATAAAAGAAAAAAGTTATTACAGCAAAAACAAAAAGAATTCGGTACTTGATACAATTTTTTTTTCCTTTTATAAATAATTATTTATACATTGATTCCATAATAGAACGACAACAAAGGGAGAAACAAGAGTTTTCTAGAAGGGAAGAAGAAGAAGCAGAAGAAGAGCAGCAACAAAGAGAAGATGATCCTATTACCGTTATCGTGCCTCAAAAACAAGATTTAAAACAAAAAGGTAAATTAAAGCTTCCTCCTATTTCTTCTATCATGGTTCCAAGTCTTGAGGATCTTTCAATTTCTTTTTATTTTCACCATGCAAAATTTGGTATTGAAGACTGTATGCTACAATGGTCTCAATTTCATAACAACTCGAATGATAATACACCTTATTAAAACTCCGCTAAATATTCAGGGCAAAAGAAAAGAAAAGAAAAAAAAAAAAAAAACCAATCTATCTAATACATTATAATATACCTGTATACTATGCTTACATACATAGTTATATACATGTATAATATGACCTATTTTATTATTATTATTATTATATTTTCATTCTTATTATTGAAATAAAGCCAAATAACTAATACTCACAAGTATAAATCATTCTGTACTAGTCATGCTACAATTAAATAATTTTTTTTTTACTTAATAAAAATATCAGTGAATAAATTTCACATGTATAAATACAATAGTTATAGAGATATATACTTATGAATATTTATATATTTTATTATTATTATTCTATTCAAGAATTCATTGGCTAGTGATGAAACTGTCTCTTATATTATTTCCAAGTGAATGGTTATTATATATTTACTTGATACGTTCTTATGATATATAGTAGTAATCTACTTTGGTCAATCTATATTAGTTTATTTATATATAAAAAAGAGAAAAAAGAAAAACTTTATACTTATCAGCATTTGGAAACTTGGTTTAATGTTGAAATCGATCGATGTGAGTATAGAGTCATTAAGGTTTTTATGTAATATATCAAATCTTTTATACAAATATAAAGTTTGATTAATAACTCAATGTTCTAGCCTTATTCATACCTAAATGAGTTTAATTTAATTAAGCTTTACTTGGATCAAAAAAAAAAAAAAAAAGGTCTAGACGTAATTTAATGAATATAGAGTAGAAAGAAATTCATTTTATATATTATTATTAGCGAGTTGAATATGCTTCAATAGTTGACCTTTCTTTTCTCTTTTTCGTAAAGGACAAAATTATGACTATTTTAATAATCATTTTGACTTGGGTTTTGCATCGCATGTATATAAAGAACGTGTATAAAAAAGAATAACAAGATTCCTTTATGCCCTCTTTCTCTGTATAGATTATGCACTTTCTTTATACGAGACCTTCTCTTCTTTTTTTTTTCATTTTAATATATCATCATATACATCTTTTTTTTTTTTTTTTTTTTTTTTTTTTTTTTTTTATAGATATATATGTTATACTTGGAAATCAAGTCTATTTTCTTTATTTCAAATAGTATAATTCTACCTGTTTATAACCTTTTTTTCATTCTTTCTTTTTAGGAATGAAAACAAATACAAGTACAAATACATATCGTGTAAAGGAAATATTTGCATGATAGCCATTTAGTTACACGCTGACTGGATGGTTATTTAATAGTAAACATGCTCTTTCTAAATTGACAAATATTTCAATAATAAACTTAAAATAAGTCTCCTTATTTCCTGTACACTTTTTAAGTTTTTACCTCAAATCTTATTTAAAATAAACTGTTTCCTTTCCTTCTTCTTCCTTTCTCTCTCTCTTCTACTTCTTTTAACTTTCTCTTCTTTTATTATTATTATTATTATTATTTTTATATTTAAGAATGGAATATCCATATTTCAATACTTCTTTTGATTATCAATTCAATACCATGGATAGCTACCTTTCAGTATATCCTTCACAAATTGAAAATAATATCATGACAGAGCTTCCAGTAGATGACTATTATCTCGAAAATAGTAATACGCCTATGATCGCGGATAATTCAATACTTTACAATCATGAATCAAGTTCTTTGACATCTTCACCCAGTTTTTATACACCTTATTCGACTGAAATGGACTACTTTGATCATTTAATGTCGCCTTCTTCTTTTTCTTCTTCTTCTTCTTCTTCTGCTGCCTCTTTCGTTACACCCTATCAATTGAACGATACAACCATGATTGATTACTTTACAATTAACCCCACCTCTTTACGTAATAACCATATATTGTGTTCTTATCTGAATAATACTACCTCTGAGTTTCAACGTCAAATACTCTATAACCAACAGCAACAGCAATTATCCTCCTCCTCCTCTTTTTTAGCACAAACAATCTCTTTACCACCAGACGAGCATCGATTATTGAAATACGAAGATATCAATTCATCTCCTACCATCTCAACTCCTCCTTCTCCTTCTTCTTCTTCTTTTAAATCATGTCCTACAAATAAAAAGAAAAAAAAGAATAAGACAACGACGATAAATAAAAGATGCTATCATAATCGTTATCATCATCATCGTCTTCATCAAGAAAAAATCTTCCCTTGCAATTATTGTCAAACCATGTTTTCACGTAAATACGATGCTATACGACATAAACGAATTCATACTGGTGATAAACCTTATGTCTGCCCTTGTTGTTCAAAACAATTCTCTCGATCCGATGCTCGTACACGCCATTTTCGAACTGAACGTTTATGCCGTGATGGCCCTGAGGAGTTAAATCGAAATAAAAATAAAAAAAAGTCACATTAACGGTCCAAAAAAAAAAAAAGGAACAAAGAAACTTTCTGTAAAAAAAAATAATGGATTTACTCATGTATATAACGTTTCATTTTTTATTTTTATTTTTAGTGCATAATTATTAATAATAAAACAAAATACATGCATTATCATTCATATAGCCCCCTCTTTTTGTTGTTGTTGTTATTACTCCACTCTAGTCTATCTTTACATGTATATGTGTGTATGTATGTATGTGTATACATGTATATGTATACAAATATATTATACACAGATGTTTTTTTTTCTTTTTTTTTTCTTATTCTTTTTCAATAGATCAAAAAACTTTAATGTCAGGATGTAATAAACTTCTCTCCCTCTCTCTATCTTTATTTATTTATTCTATTGATCTCACCATTTAAAGATAAATTGAGTAAAAAGTGAGCCGAGAATAAGCTGTATAAACCAATGAAAGAGACAGGTCCAGGCGACTTGATATAAATATTTAGGAGAAAATACAGTCCAGATAAATAAATGTTCTCTTAAAACAGTAACGGAGATAGATAAAAAGGTAAGAACAAGACTAAAGAGAGTTGAATGTGTTAAAAGATAAGTTGACCACGATTTAGCTGTCTTCTCCGTCAACACCCATCCTGCTATGGCCCACCAAATACTGCCTGACCAATTGGAAAAGAAGGTAAGAAAACCAATAAGAATCGTATCATACTTCTGTACACCAACATAAGCATTACTTAAATCAAAGGAAGCAATCGAATTATGATGACCTGTTATAAAGAAAGAGGCGTGACTTTGAAATACAGTTATCACACTCATGAACCAAACAGGAATAGGTCCCTTGTCAGCTACGTAGTCTTGCCATATCAATAATAACTGAAATTGCAGATTAAATAGACAATACAAAAATGCATTGTGTGATCCACTCAAGAGCACTAAAAAGGGGGTTACCAAATGTAATAATAATTCTAAAATGATTTTTGTTTTATATTCTATCAAAAAGAAAAGGGGGAGGGGCTTAGAATAAAGCAAAACACACACACACTTATTCTATTTAGATACCTTTTGGCTCTTCTTCTTTTTCAAACTTCATTTTGGCAGCTCTTTTGATGACATAAAATAAACAATATAGAACAAATAATCCAGCACCTCCATAATTAAAGATAAGTCTTCCTAATTCTACTTGATCAAGTGATTGAACAAGTTCCCATTTTAATAAAAATCGATACACATTCGGTATATCTTCATGTCCTCTCATCTTATAAATGAAGACTAAAGCTGAAGTGAAAAGGAGAATGAAAGCCAAAAACGCCTTGATAATGGTCTGGATAATATGTGTTGTTTGATTGACATCGATTGTCAAGTTATCCTTTAATTTAAATAAGAGTCTGATACCAGAGATAGAAGCGACTGCCAATGTAATAGCCATCAAATGCCATTGTAATTTAGAATGTAATAACTTTTCAAAGGTGATACTATCATTCCATGCCATTGCTATACGTGTTAACATCAAATAAACGAATCCGAAGCCAACTAGATACATTTTATCCTTTAACTTTTGGTGTGGTAGACGTAGGCTTCAAGATAATCATGAGTCTATTATTCAACTGTACTATTATCTTATATAAATACCTGTGAGCAATAGATATTAAAATCATTGTCTGTAACAAATAGTACCAAGTGGCATGCTCTTTCTCTACAAAACTACTTGCAAACATACTCATAGAATAGGTAATGAAAGCAATGATAGAAAAGTATTTACGAACGTCCCAAAGATCAGTAGATGTGATTGAATAGGTTTCTTTAACCCATAAAATGCATTGAACTGCACTGATACAAATTAAAGTAACACCTACTAGCATTAATTTTAAACTATAATCACTTGCTGTATTAACCAACTTGGATTGTGCAATATCAATAAACTATATATAGGTGAATTAAACTCCATTTTATTATTATTATTAACTATCTTTTACCTTATAATATGAATAAATCGCCCTTTTCCCGATTTCTTCTTTTCCGTTATTAAAAGCCGTTTGAAGATAAGTTTGATGTAAATCAATTGCTTTTGCATAGTAAAATCCAGGAGAATTAGGGTTGGTTTCATGAGTATAGAGGTGAGGTTCTGTTATATATTTTGAAACTTCTGGCATTAATTTAGTCAATAATTGAGCTAGTTGAAAAGCATTTAACTGAAGTCCTCGAAGAATATGAGATACGTCTTTGATATAATATGTTTGATTATAAATAAGTTTATTATATACACATATATAGTTTTCTTTTTTTTTTTTCTTTTTTTTTTTTTGTTACCTTGTTGATGAGGTTGGTAAAGTTCTAGAATAATCTTTCCAAGATTGTTTTTAGGTATAGGGAAAGAAAATAAGGTAGCCAAGGTAGGAACTAAATCGATTTGATCGACAATAGGAAATCCCAATGTTCTTGATCTTTCTAATTCCCATTGATATTTGAGTGGTTGTGCTTCAAAAGCTGGACTCAAGAAGACAAGCCCCTAAAAAAGAGAATAAATGAATAAATAAATAGACTTTAGGATTTTCGTGTAAAAAGGAAAATAAACTTTACTGCAGACGTTTCACCTATAGAAGAGCCACCATGATTGCCTTTCTAATCATTTTAATTTTAATACACTTTGTACACGCCTTTTGTATCTGATTTGATTTTACCTCATTCATGCCATGATCACCACAAATAACAATTAAGGTGCCTCCCTTTGCATCACCGCCTTTCTTGCTTCTTTCACTATCTTGCTTAGCAATGATATCATATATACGTTCAATAGCTTGATCCATTTCTTTCTGTTTTGGTTTCATCAATGGACTTTTGGGCCCACCTAAATGCCCTATATGGTCTAAACCCAAGTAATGGAATACTATAGCATCCCAATCATTTTGTACCAAATCTATATCAATATGTCGAGTCACATTGAGATCAACTTCAGTTGTATCCTACAAAAGAAAAGAAAAAGTAAATATATCTCTTCTCTTCATATATGTATTTATAAGACTTTACTGATACAAAAAATGAAGTTGTGCCATCCTTTTTATCAAACAAGTCGGGGAAAAGTCTTATCCAAGTATCATCTCCAAAGAAATGGATTGTTTTATTATTATTATTACTATTACGTTTAAATTGATAAATCCAATTATCATGGTTTTGAAGTGATGAACTGGTATCACTTTCTGCAATATTCAAAATAGCGTCCAAGAAATTAGGAACTGTACCAGTTGTAATTGCTTTAATACGAGGAAGAGTAACGGTAGGTGCTGTAGCCTTTGCCGTAAAAGGATAAGCAAAACCTTGTTTTATTTGACTTTTTTTTTCGAAATAAAAAGATGTAAGATGAAACTTTTCATTGATAATCTATTATAAACACTTACTTATTCACAAATTCAAAATTGGAGTTATTTCCAAACAAGAAATCACTAATGGAAATAAATACACATTAAAAATAAAAAGTTAGTATTAAAAGAAAGAAAAGAGAGAACTCTTGATATTTTTTTTTTTTTTTTGCTCAAGTTATCTCTCTTTTAGATGTTTACTTTCTAAGTGCATCAATTAGTATAAACACAAGTCGGTCAAATTCAGGTTTATATTCATTATGCAAATTGCTAAAGAGTAAAGGTTGATCAGCCTTTGTGGAATGGCCTGAAAGATATATTTTATAGGGAAAAAAACCTTTACAAAATGATATTATACCCAATATTTGTATAAAGGCTAAAATGGCCAAACGAATTGTGCCTTTCCCTTTATTCCACATTGCTTTAATAATAATAATAATAAAGGGAAACACAATGTTATGAACACTCTCCTCCTCCTCCTCCTCTTTTCCAAATAATTTACCAATAAACGCGGAGTTGTTTAACAGCAGCAGCAGCAGTAGCAGCAGCAGCAGAGGAGATAAAAAAAAGAAAGGTGGACTGTGACTTTTGTAAAGTGGCTTATGCGTCTTTCAATTACCTAAAAAAAAAAAATAAATAAACTTTACACACACTTTTTTTTATATATTTATTATATATACACATATTGTTAATTAAAATGGCTCAAAAGTTAGATTTAAAACAGGTACAACAACGACAAAAGGAGTAAAAGAAAGAGAGATTACTATTCCTTTTCTTTTTTTTTCTTGAATACATGTATATCTAATCTTTTCTGATTCAATTTTATTTTATTTTTTTCAGGCTAAAAAAGCTATTGACGCTTTATACAAATATAGAGAACAAAATGTTTCCAGTAACAATTTACTTGAAAGTGATGAAGAAAATGGTATTTATGTAGAAATATCAACTCATAAAATTATGAACAAGTCTCAAATAAAAAGAAAGAAGATGTAAGTTTGATGACGTTTTTGTTTATGTATTTTTTTTTTCGTAGATCTAATATGTCTATTATAGTCCTTTGCCTCATTCTCCTTATCCTGAAGATATTGAGATCTGTTACATTACTAAAGATGACGAAAAAAGTATAGAGGAGAAAGTTAAGAGCGGAAATGTTACTTCAATTAAAAAGGTTAGCACATTAGCACAGCATCCAATATACACAAATTGAAAGACTGGGGGTATCTAATATATAATAATAGGTTGTTAATACTAGAACACTTGGTACTGTATATAAAGCATATGAAGCTAAAAGAAAGTTGTTGGCTTCTTATGACTTGTTTATGGTGGATGACAGAATCTCACACATGGTGCTTAATTTAATTGGCAGTAAATTTGTTCAAAGAAACAAGTAAGTGTTTAAATTATCAAGGAATTATAGTAGAGTCTTGTATACTTAATATTCTATCTAGAGTTCCTATCGCTATTAAAGGCAATGGTTCATTAAAACATCAAGTTGAAAAGGCATTACAAGCTACTTATGTCAAGTTACATAATGGTCTTATCACGTATGTATATGTATATATATATGTGTATATAGAAAAAAAAAAGGAGGATGAAGAGGTTATTGATTCATTTTTTTTTGTTTCATAGTCGTGTTTTAATTGGTAATTTTGGAATGTCAAAGGAAGAAGTGTTAAAAAATTATGAAGTAGCTGTACCAGAAATCGTCAAGATTGCTGCACATGAATGGGATCAAGTAGAGATGATCAGTGTTCACGGTCTTAATTCACCATTACTTCCTATTTATACAGCCCTCCCTAAACAAGAAAACGAAGAAAACAAAAAGGAAAAGAAGAATAATAAAAAAATAGAACCAAAGAAGGAAGAGCAGCCTAAGAAGGAAGAAGAAGAGAAGAAGGAAACTAAAAAGAATGAAAAGAAAGACATAAAGGTCGATAAGAAGAAGGTTAAGAAGGCCATTGCTAAATCTAAGAAATTGTAAATTCAATGTGTTTTTTTTTTTTTTTAAAAAAAATAATGAAACTGTGTCTTATATATAAATAAAGAGAAAGCAAAAGAAAAGATGTAATAGAGAATCAACATGACTGTCATTTATTATAACATCGTCGCTTGTGTACATACATATTAAAATTCTTTTTTATCAGATGTTTCGGTCATTTTGGTAGGAAACCATGGAATGAATTTGTTTACAGATTTACGATAAAGAGTATAATCTGGATACTTTTCAGTTGAAATTTTCTATATAAAATATATAATCAATATGAATAATACTTGTTTACTTACTTATTTACTTACCTCAGTAATCCATGTACTACCTTGGAACAGACCTGATAATATGATTGGGCCAAAGAGAGTCCAATTCAGGTACGAACTTGAATCAGTCGAACCTGTTGCCTCCTGTACAGCAGATACAGAAAACAAATAGATAGTCCACCACATGGCTTGTTCAGCAAAGAAATTAGGATGACGACTGAATTGAAACAAGCCTGAATGCCAAAGAAAACCCAACTTATAATCCCCTTCCAACTGTTCTGGCTTCAGATGATGACTTAATAAAGCATGTTTCCCGGTCTGAAATACATATTGTTGTTCATCAGCAATGACTTCAATAGTTAAAAAAAATAAATGCAAGACTACGGTGATCCAATCAAGACACGACAATTGATTTGAAGCACGATTAGGTGAGTAACTACTAGAGAATAGACTATGCGTCATGTAAAGAGGAGTGACGATTAAAAGTAAAAGATAGTTTTGAAAGGGAGCGATGACAAATAAATTAAGTAGACCCATAAAGAGGGGTCCTATTTTCTTTAATATGTATGGATATCGATAATCTTGACCTGACCAATAATAGCCACCTTTCCTAGCAAAATTGTATGTAAGACGACTACCCCAAGTTGTAATTAAGATAGCAGCCGTTAAAAGTCTAGGATGAAAGGAGCCATGTAAGGTATAATCATGAATAGCAAAATGCCATGCATATAAACAAGGTAAAATTGACCAAGCTTTATCTAAATAAACATGATTCATATTTTACAGCCTTTTTTTTTTCTTTACAAATATGTGTATTTATTTACCAACTTGACTATAGTTTTTTGTTATTTCAGAAATAATATAATGAAAAACGATTAATACAGTCGTGAAATATAAAGCAGATTCTAATGGATTTGTACTCTTGTAAAAGGTGATTAATATTTCTGGTTGTTGAATACAAATGGATATAAATGAACTAATTGTTTTAAAGGAACTCGCATTTTTTATAAACTTCTGTATTACACTTTGAGCGTGTTCCCATCTTGCTTCAAAAGGAAGAAATAACATTTTGGTAAAAAAAAAAAAAAAAAAAAAAGAAAGAAAGAAAGAAGGAAAAAGAAAGAAAGAAAAAGAAAAGAAAAAGAAAGAAAGAGATTATTTAATAAAAGTGATGACGAATGATATATAATAAGACGCCGTTGACGTTCTGCAGTCTGGGAAACTAGGTTGGGCCAATAAAAAAATAATTGGGTTATTCAAAAATTAAATTGGGACAATAGCAGGAAAATTGGTACAGAAATACGAAAATGGGGCACCCAAATGAAAATGAGACACAGATGCGAAAGTGGGACAGAGGAGAATAAGTTAAAATGAGACAGAATGTTAGATTTTTTCTGGACGAAAAAAAAATAGATGCAGCATATCTGTAAATATCTAAATCTCTTTAACAAGAGAAACCGTGTACGAGACGGCGATATAAAAAAAACAAGACCTATTGTTCTCTCGTGAACTCCCGTGGACGCCCATGACCACCAATCACTTGTATTGAGATCTTGAATATATTTTTCGACGTGTTAACGTCGCGTTGCCACATTATTCCGCAACTTTGGCAAGTTTGAACACTGCACAACCTAATGTAAGCATCAGTCAAGTATGTTTGAAAACATGCATGACAGGTCTATATTTATAGTATTAATAAATTATTCTTTGACCAGTTTTGGTAAATCTTGTTGTACCTTTAAAGTCTTGAACTCATCTATAGAAGCAAGTAAAAGTTCTCCTAATTTCTGTCTTATTTTGAGTTGTTTGTAAAAAACTCCTGTCACTCCCACCCTGAGACCCTTCAAATGTACACCGTCTTTTCCGAACATGCCATTTCCGAAAACTATAATAGACAATTTACTTTTGTCGTATTTGAAAAGTTGGGGCTTCCAAAGCTTCTTGGTGTTCCTAAAATAATAGTTAATAAATATAGTGTTTGTCTCTCTGCTTTGATGCTAGAATACTCACTTTGTCTACTGAGGAACTTCTTTGTCTTTTTTTTTCGCTTCTTTGTCTCTCCTCTTCTTTCTTTTCTTCCTCTACTTCCTCTTCTTCTTTGTGTTCTTTCTTTTGGCCTTATTGTATTTTTTTCCACCATTAATGAGGACATTGGTCATTTCTTGTCTGGCCCTTTGAACTCCCTGATATAGGTGAAAGTGACTTTCAGCAGTTGAGAAGTTGTTAAATGCTAGTATTCTGTTTAGATGTAAGAAAATATAAGTTACGTATTGCAAATAGTTTGAAAGAACAGCTGTCTTGGTTGTAGGAATGTTGAGAAGTATATCCTCCATATTTTCTCGAGTCATTTTTTTTTGTTTCTCTCTTTACGTGTCTTATAGACCCTGTTAAGGTAAAATACTCTTTAGTAGAGCATCGCCTGATTTGATGGGATTCATCACCCTCCCCATAAGCAGCAGCAAAAACCTGATGTCGGTTGAGATCCAACCCGCAAAGAGAAACATCAGCCAAGTTTTCATTCTTTATAACATCTCCCAATTGGAAAATTTCTACGTCTTCGCTAGATATGCATCTGTATTCAACTGTACTATTTGTTATTTTTTGCAATAGAACCACATCAGCTTCTTTACAGTCGACTGGTAAAATGCGCTAGAGCATGTTGTTGCAAATATTTCTGACAGATCATTTGTTTAATTTGAATCTACACATACTAATAAAGTATCAAATTTTAACAAATTCTACCATTTATGGAAAACGTTCTAAAGTGACAAAGCTGTCGATCTGTCTGAATTATACTTTTAGGGCATTTTTTTCTCGGTTAAAGTAAGACTCAGTCTTTATTTTGAATATTTGCATAACTTACAATTATTTCTGATTCAAAATAATAATATGTCGATGGTGACTTGGTTGGCTCCCCGGTGGCAAGCCGCAACATTGTGTCTTCCACTCAGACTCAAGGCTTACTTGGGACCATGCTATTATCTGCTTCAACATGCATAGCCACTTTCAAATGCCACACACCATCCTCAACCCTCTTTCTTTCGTCCTGAACAGGCTCCCTTCCTGCATTTGGTCCATCCATTAGCCGGTAGTATACCGAATATTCCACAAATTGAACTATATCCTTTACAACAAACCGCCTCCTAAACTCATCATTTCTGGCGTTAAACTGGGGTACTCTAGAAATATACGAAGAAAAATTAATTAGTACAAAGGATATCTTCGAACTGACAAAGGAAAATTCAACAGTGTTCAGTAACAAAACATTACTTGTATTTACTCGTTGGTGTTCAAGCAACAAGTTAAAATTTTTTAAATTCCATAGAAAATAAAAATCACGAGGGTAGAAAAAGAAATCTTTTTGTGATGGATAGAATTTACCGTTATGATATTAGTCGTCTTTATAACTAAGTTAATAGAAATAAACCATCATTTATTACATAATAAAGAGGTTATTCAAATAAAACTAGTGTATCGTACTTTACAGCATAATGTTCATTATATAACATTCAGTTTTAATAGCAGTCATCGAGCATTAAAAATAATTATGTCCATTGTATTATGTAATAATAAGGATCCAATAGGTTTATGACTGTTATATTTAATTACATAATTATTTATACAAGTCATACATACTATATATACACATCTATAATGTTAAATATTGTCATGTAATAACATCTCAGAGGATGATGATAATAATAGTAGCTTGTAAACACTTGGTATTGTTATAGCGGGAATATTCACTGTGAATTAATACTAACGCGTTACTTATCCCAGAAATAATAATTTGTAACAGCGACAACTCGGGGAGAATAAAGATGAAAATATATCCTATCACAAGCAGAACTGTTCGGAGACAACATTTACACTGACAACGTTTACACATAATGCTTTATAATAGCAATATTTGTTTATCCAAATCACATTTCTATCAATGTTGTCACTTACCTTGCAAAAAATATATATACATTTTTATATGTATTTATATATTTGTATAAATAGCCCTCGCCATTTTTCCATATTATTTTTTCTTTTTATACACTATACAGAGTTTTTTACAGACTTGTTTTTTCTGTTTTCTCTTTCCTTAGCTTTTGAATTTAAAATATTTACCATGGTAAAACTACATATAGTGCAAAGTAATGTGAAAATCTAATATATTTCTTTGATAGACAGTCTAATAACATCAATTACTGAATATTTACCCAATTATCAACAATCACTGAAAGCTCTACAAAATAATGGATTTGAAATTGTAGGGTACGTTCGAAAGTCCCCTACTGCAGATACCATAAATAACCGTGTAAAGCTATTGAATCAAATGATAGACAATTTGCGTTCCAGATCTTTTGCAACGCATATTTTTGTGTTTTCAAGCTCAAGAGCTTTAACAGCTTTTGTAGAGCAAGACCTTAAAGTGGATCGAAAAATATACGAACAATTAGATAAAGTAGATGGAACTACTCAAGGTAAAAATTTATTAAATAAGTGTAAACTCTAAAAAAAGATCACTATCAATAAATCCTTTTGATTTATTTTAAATATTTAAATGCATCTAAACATTCAATTTGTCTTGCAGTATTAGATTTTGCTGGACTTTCCAGTAGATCCCATCATGTTCAAGAATTACTGAAGACTTACCCCGCAATCAAAAAAGTTGCTGTAGATACATTTATGATTTCAAATGAACTGTTCACTTATAATACCAGTGATTTGAAGGCTAACGCCTATTTATTAGAAAGATTTAAATAAAACACCAAATATTTATACATATATATATAACAATAATTAGTAGTATTTCAACCCATTTTAGAGGTATTTAGTCTAATATGGCTGGATATAAATGGTAGGAATTAGGCAGTTTACGAATCCTTTCTTTAGTTACAATAACTGGCTGTTTAGGATCTATGTTATAACAGATTTCTACATCACCAAACTTTTTCATTCCTTCCACACATTTTTTAACATTTTCTTCAGTATAATCTACATAATGAAACATGCAAATTGCCAAATCTCTAGATATTTCCATTATTGTGATGATAAAGAAAAATAAAGAAAAATAAAGAAAGAAAGAAAGAAAAAAAAAACTGGCAACTTCTATTTGACTCCATCCTTTTGGAGCGTAGACTTATGGCATCATCCAATGGAATTATAGAGATCAATAGAATGATCAGCTCTCCTGTTGCTTTCTGCTTCCCTTTACGCTTTTTGTTATTCTTAAGTTTTGGTAAAATATTAAGTAAAAGGAAAAAAAAACGATCGACATTCTAATCGTTTTGAAAAGCCCATTCAAGTTGTGTAAAATCATTAATCTCATTCTGCGTGTTTTAGGAAGGGAGAAAATATCCCCCCCCTAGACCCTCCTTCTAGTTCAATTCTCTTTCTTTTACTCCTCAAAGCTAATATGATCTGAATTCTTCTAATTGTTATGTTTTAAAGGCCAAATATTCATCTCATCCTATACCAATCTAGTTTCTTAATTTAGTAATTTTTATGCTATTTTGTTTTTCTTCGCTATTGTTACTCGGTCTAATAGCTAATGAGAAATGCTTGACCAAGTTCAAATATTTTTTTGAGAATAGACGAGAAGCGGGTTTTCAAATAAAAGTGTTTTCAGGTGCAAAAAGATAAACTTTGTATAGTTTATTAAAGAGAAACAATACAAAAAATAATATGAAAAATATGAAGGGTTATTTATAAGTTTTTGTAAGGTAAGTGATGACATTGATAGAAATGCGATTTGGATAAGCAAATATTGCTATAATAAAGCATTAGTCATAAATATTTTCTCCGAATAATTCTGCCTACAATAAGATTTATTTTTATTCTTTTTTCTCCCTGAGTTGTCGCTATTACTAGAAATATATATTAAAGTGTTATTTCTGGGGTAAGCAACGCATCAATATTAATTCATAGTGAATATGTTAGCTATAACAATACCAATTATTCATATGCTACCACTATTACTATCCTATATGAGATGTTATTATGTAATATTATTATTATTAATGCTTGAATATTCTAACAATGACTCTAATTAAAACTGAGTGTAGAATGAATACATCATGCTGTAAAGTACAATATACTAGTTTCATTTGAATAACCTCTTTATTATGTAATAAATGATGGTTTATTTCTCTTAATAAAGAATAAATTAAAGCTAATGCATTTATTAGTTAATCTGGGTTTAAATTTAATCCTATCTTTTTTTATAGATCCATTTTTGGGCATTTTTTCTCTAATCCTATAATGTAAATAACATGATTACTCTTTTCTTTTTACTTCCAACTCGCAAATGTAATTAACACAATTATTTCTTTTTTTTACTCTTAAATAAAGTCATTTAATAAAAGTTTCAATATTCAACTTAATTGCCATCATCATTTCGAAATGCCAGTTTCAATGTTGTGATGGAAATGAAGATTACTTTTATAAATAATTGTTTTTAACTTTTTTTATTTTTATTTTTTTAATTTGAATTGAATTCACATTAAATAAAAGACAAAACTATTTTATTTATTTATTTTTTTATATAAAAAATAATGTTTTCTTTTTTTTTTCAATTAAGCATAAATACACAATAATGTTAAAGTTTTTTTTTGATTAAAATTGAATGTAGAGATTCTTTAATCAATAACGTTAAGTGATGTTATATAGACACATTGGTTAATAATCATTGTCATCACAGTGTTGATCAACTACTTCGGCCCATCCAAAAGAACGTGTAATTGCTTCTTTCCAACCATTATACATCTTATCTCTCCTACGAGCTGAAATTTTTGACCTGAATATAATCGTGTTATTCGAATTCACTTTTACTACGTCTTCCATATTCTTCCATATGCCCATCGCCAAACCGGCAGCAATAGCAGCACCTAATGCGGTTGTCTCTCTCATTTCTGGTCGTTCTACTTCGATATCATCTAATACATCAGCTTGAATTTGCATACATTCATCTGAATTAGAAACACCCCCATCTACTTTAAGTGATCTTAAAGGTTGATCTGCATCTTTATTCATAGCTTCTAAAATAGCTCTTGTTTGATAACAAACAGCTTCTAATGTAGCACGAGCAATATGTTCTCTCTTTGTAAACTGAGTAAGTCCACAGATCGTTCCTCGTGCATCATGTCTCCAATAAGGAGCAAATAATCCACTAAAGGCTGTTACAAAATAAACACCTGCCGTATCTTTTACTTTAGCAGCTAGTTGACCAATTTCTTTTGCATCTTGAATGATTCCTAGATTATCACGTAACCATTGAATAGAGGATCCAGCGACAGCAACTGAGCCTTCTAGAGCATAAACAGGTGATTGACCTTCAAATTGATAGGCCACTGTCGTTAAAAGACCATTATTAGAAAGGACAGGTTGAAGTCCTGTATTGAAAAGCATGAAACAGCCTGTACCATATGTATTCTTCGCATCACCTACATGAAAACATTTTTGCCCTACTAATGCACTCTGCTGATCCCCTAAACAACCACTGATGGGTATATTCTTTAATGAGCCACTTGATAATTTACCAAATACACTTGATGAGGGTACAATTTTAGCTAATTTAATACCTTGAAAGCCAAAAAAGCTAATAAACAATGATGGATGGATGATGTATAAGTATAGTAAAAATAATAAACAAAAAATTCTTGTTACTTTATTGCTTTTTCACTCCATTGAAGTGTATGAATATCCATTAACATAGTTCTACTTGCATTTGTAACGTCTGTAACAAACACACCTCCTTTATCAATTCCGCCAGTTAGATTCTATGTATGTATATATATATAATAGACATGTTAATAGATATGATATGATATGATACATCTTATACTCTTTTTTTATATTACATATATGATCCAACTATCGACTGTACCAAATTGTAATCTATTATTTTCATATGCTACTTTTACTTCAGGCACATGATCCAACATCCATTTAAGTTTCACTGCTGAAAAATAAGTTGTTAATGGTAAACCACATATAGAACGAAGAAAATCGATAGATCCGGTCTTCTTTAATTCTTGTACAGTTTGAGCAGTACGATTATCACTCCAAACGATAGCTGGATAAAGAGGTTGGCCTGTTTCACTATCCCACGCTATAGTTGTTTCACGTTGGTTTGTGATGCCTACACATTGAATAGAAGAAGGATGATGTCCTAATAATGAAAGTTTATGAACAGCATGTTCAATACAAGTATCTATAGACGCCAGAATATCATATGGATCATGTTCAACCCAACTAAGAATAAACAAAGGGAGAAAAAGAAAAAAAAAGGGTTAAATGAAGAAGAAGAACAAGTGTTATGGAGTTACCCTGGACGTGGATAATGTTGCTCAAATTCCATTTGATGATATGTTAATAATTTTCCATTTTTATCAAAAATAACGAATCTTGTAGAAGTCGTTCCTTGATCAATAGCGCCAATAAATTGTCCTTGTGTCATAATAGTGTTAAATAAGAATAATAATAATAATAAAAAGGAAATAATAAAAAAAGGGGCAATAATTCAATTTTATAGTAGTGTCGTGTCTTAAATTTATTACCCATTTTAGATAATCACTAGTTAAAATATAGTATGTACTGATGAAATCATTCTTTTTTTTTTTTATTGCTTACTCTTTTATCTCTCTTCTACCCCACAAATCCTCTCCTTTTATCTATTTATTTACTTGCTTATGTATTACCATAAATATGGCCTTTTTTTTTTCTTTAGCTTCTTTTAACTTATCTGTTGTTTAAAGTCAATATCTATTTCATTACAATAGTAGCAGTAGCAGTAGTAGTAGTTTGTATTATCGTTTTTAACCGCCGAGTAAAAAAAAAAAATATTTCAAGTAGACTTGCATGAACTCTAAAAAAAAAAACAAAAAAGTGGAGGATCTACGTAATATTGCATATTATTCTTAGCGACATGCATAAACTAAATTTACGATAAAAGGTTACAAGTCCTGTTATTCAATTATGCTATACAAATCAAGTATCTTTTTTTTTTTTTTGAAAAGATACTCCTTTTATACATAGATAAATATAATTCATTAAAGACAAATGATAGATTTAGCAAGTTAAATACAGTAGTGAAAATGGCCAATAATCCCAGAAATGATTAGCGGGATTTCTTCTCTTCTTTTTTTTTTCTTTTTTTTTTAGCTAATTACTATCATTTCTTTTCTATTCTTTTCTAGTTACAAGCTGTGTGTGATACTGGCTTGATTAAACTTGCAGCAAATATATTTTACCTTGCTTTAACATCCAGATAGAGAAGATCATCAGCGGGAAGAATGCGGTTCTCAAACATAGTCATATCACTGCTCTAAATTGAAAGCTTGGTTACTTTGGTGGTGATCCTTGTAATATATTGGGTTGGCCTGTTGGCTACAAATCACGGCATTAACAAGCCCACAAAAAAAAAAAAAAAAAAAAAAAAAAAAAAAAAAGAAGAAGAAGAAAGAAACTTGCTGTATAATTTTTATATAATTCATGTTATCAAACAGTGTTATCGATAATTGACCATATAGTGGCATTATATCATACTTCAATCTGCTTGTACCCGTCAAGTATCCCTTCTGTAACATAACTTTTATTTAAACTAAAGCAAAGTTTTTGCTTTTCTTTTCTTTTTTTTTTTGAAGTATAGTTTAAAGATTATTATTATCAATGACAGACAAGATGTAATGTATTGCTCATCAAGTAATATCTATCCCCTTGTCGTCCGACATTGGTACAGACTCTTGTTGTTCCTCTCCTTTGTCTTCCAAATTCTTGATAAGAATTCCAGTTTCATGTCTTCTGTATGATGATAGTTATAAAACCTTCTTCACAGGCTTTTGAGAGAAAAATACTAATACTATTACTCACACTACTCTTTTAAGCTGATCAAATGGTTCAAGTATTATTTGTCTTGTAAACGTTTGTGACTTGCTGAAAAGTCATCTACTTTTGTTAGCATTAAGTATAATAGTTCATTTTTTATTTTTATTTGTTGATAAACCGATTTTACTTAAGGACAGTTATTATTTTTGGTTTAGTGTCATTTAATTTTGGCAAAGTGACAATTCCTACCCATCCTAAACTATGTACAGTATAGTCTTAAAAAAAATCATAGCGGCAGCATAAATTAATGATTGACACTTTTATTCTCCAATTTAAAATAGTATCCTTATTACTAAATGAGCTGTAAAAAAAAAAGGTCTATTTATATCTGTTATAATAGCTTTGAATTATTTGTAAAGAAAAAAAAAAAGAGTCAATGATATATAATCTGGTCTAAGGTTAATTTACGGGATAAAATCTCAATTCATAAGCATAAAAAAAGTTACTTTACAATTACAAAATACAGGTATATATATTATAGCGTTTCTCTTTTGAATAAGGTAATTAGAATCATTTCTCTTTTTGATAGCTATGATTACCCTGCTGCTTAATGATAAGATATATACATATATGTTTTTAATCATTTGTTCATACAGAAAAATGACAAGTTAAGGTCAGAAAGTTGTAAATAAAATAGAGATAATCAACAGCCGTTTGAAAGAGGGAAAAGAAGAAGAAGAAAATTGTGATTATTAATGGTAGCAAAAGGTAAAACTTTATTGGAATTTGAAGCTAACGAAATAGCGTCATTTTAACGAAGTTTTTTTTTTTTTTTAAAAAAAAAAAAAAAAAAAAATGTAGTAAAGTATAATATTACTTTGCTGAGTTACTATGGAAACAATAAAGAGCACAATTCAAAGCCTAGTTCTTGATATACAACATGTGTATAAATTATTTACCTCTTATTAATTAAAAAGTATTTAAATATGGCTTTTTTTATTTTAAATGCTGTCCTTCTGGTAAATTTTGATCCAGAAACATTTTTTTTTTTTGTATTTAGCTAGTGATGATAATTTATTAAAGAAAGTGACTCTATTTGGATACTAATATACATAAACATATGAAAACTAGAGAAGTATGCTGAGATCAGAGCTGTAATAAATAATAATAGTATGCTACTAGATTATTTATTTATTTTTTTAATTCATCCAATCTAAACTGTATTGCAAACTTTTTTTTTCACTTTGTTTAAAATAGCTAATTGTATAACTATAAAAAGCCCTTCGAAGAAAATACATGAAGGATGTGAATATGTAACAGATATTTAGTATATTAAAAGAAAAGAGAGAGAGAGACTAGATTGGCATATGTATATTATGTTTGTCAATAATAAGGCGTTGAAGCGAAAGGCGGCAATATATCTTAATAATAATGATGAACTCAAAAATTGTTTTATTCTTTAATACTAATGCTTTTGACTCAGCATTGCCATAATTAGTAATTGCAATATAGTAAATATATGCTTTCAAAATACTGTATACACATATATCTTTCAGTTTCATCATTTTCGCTCACTAAATACATTGTTTGAAAGAGAAAAAAAAACTAACAAATGCAAAAGAACACAATAATTGAAATCATTGGAGCCGTTTTATGAGCCAGCATAATAACAAAAAAGAAGATATTTGAGTGTAGTGTCTCAGCGTAATGTACACAAAATCAAATTTTACTTTCTTCATTTGCGTTTCATAGAATAAAAACAGTGTTCCCTCCCCCTTTCTGAATACTATTTATATACAATAATCGTACTTCTTTGTATTTTAACTTAACTATAATCAACTGAGAAGGGGTTTTAAGTCACACAGCATGCTTGACTAATATAAGAGCCTCTTATACTAACATCAAAAAAAAAAAATCCTATTCTTCTATATATTACTTTCCGTCTTTTTTTTTCATTATTATTCACGTCTCTTTTCTTTTTTTTTTTTCCTTTTTTCCTTCCTTCCCTTTTAGTTAACAGTATTAGGATTTGGAGAGCATTATATATCTAAATTCAGAAAGAAAAAAAAAAAATGGAACAGATTCTTCGGAGTTTAAATATGCGTCACCACCAACCACCATTCTTATAATGGCTAAATTTTTCAGTCAAACAAACATTTACAAAATTAATATGCTCTATTTTTTGCTTATTTCTTTTCCTTTTAATAGATGCAAAATTCACTTAGCGGACAAATAGTAATCCCTCCACAGTCTCCTTCCATAATCCCAATCGTGAATCCTACTTTGGAAGGAGAACAGACTGAGTCCAAAAAAACTACACCAAAACCTCCTTTGAAAGGTTTATATACATACATACATACCTACAAATACATATATAAAGTCGAAAAAAAAAAGAAAACTTTTTTTTTTTTTTTTTTTTTTTTTTTTTTTTTTTTTAGTTGATGACTTATTCATTTATTATAAGCAGGAAATAGTAGTGGAAAACGGCTTTGTAGAAATGTCATAATTCATGGCTATTGTAAATTCGAAGGAAAAGGTTGCGAGTTTAATCATGATACGGTGTGTATTTTTTTTTTTTTTAAAAAAAAAGAAAAACTTATTTGACTTGAGATCCAGACTATATAATAAAATCTACATTACGAAATGGAGTTATAATTAATTACTTAAAATCTATTATAGAACAAAACTAACTCTGTTCAAGCAAGTCCAGAAAAGTAAGCCAATCTCTCTCTTTATTTTCCTAAGTTTATCTAAATATCAATTTTATTATCAGTAAAAGTAAACCAATAGTGTTATCGTCTGTATCAGCTAGAAGTGTAAATGCACCAGAATTTGTTCCTAGATTTGTTATAGGTAATTTTCATCTATTTGTGCTTTTTTTTTTCCATAAATTCATATTCTTTTTATACATGCATACCTACATATAAAGAAAAAGAATCAAATACAAATAAAGGTAAATAATGATTAAAATTATTATCCATAAAATCTAATAATATAAATATGAATATGTATATATCTATATATTTTAGATCTTACAATAGCGTAAAGTATATGCATATACAACTATATGGATATGGATATTTAACATTACTTTTATTATTTCAGTAAGCAGCAACAATCTAACCCATCTAATATAGCAACTGTAACAACTGGATTTGCTCAATTTGGTATATCAAATGATGTAAGCAAAGTATAATAATAATAAAAATACGAATTTATTCACAAGTAAATAAATAGACAAACACTGCACAGCAGCAGCAGCAATCTTCATCAACACAAACACAATTACCTTCTGAAATGTTAGCTAGACTTGGCATGATCCCTGCAACACAAATAGACCCTTATTATTATATGAATGAACAACCTATGTTTCCTAGACAACCAGTAAAGTGACATTTTCCTTTGTATATGTATTTAGTTATCTATAGCAATAGCTGATTGTTTAAGTTTATTACTATAGTTACAGCATCATTTATATTCGACCCCTTTACCACATATCAGTCATCTATCACCTAATCAAAGAACAATTCATTCATTTTTTTTGCCTGACCATATTCGAGAACAGCTTACACAACGCAATGAAGCACAATTGATGACAGCTTCTGGTAATAAATACGATAATGAAATCAATTAGAATATTAAACTATTATGATGATAGCTCGAGATTTAGGATTACCTACAGACGTTCATGTGTACCATTCATTGTATCCTTTAGAAACAACAGGAGAGAAAGCTAGTTTATTTTATGGGCATACAACATCTGTTTATAAGGCAACATGTAGCGTAGATGGTCGTACATATGTATTAATTCGTATTGAAGGATATAGATTAGTGAATGAATTAGCTATGCAAGTCGTAGAAGCATGGAGACGTATTCGACATTGTAATATTGTATCTATTCGTGAAGCGTTTACAACTAGAGCATTTGGTGATTCGTGTATGTTTTGATTACTTTATAAATAGATGTATGTATGTATGTATGTGTGAAGGATATTAATATATGTTTTTTTTATATATATATATACATGTATATACATATATAAAATAGCGTTAATTTTTGTGTATGATTATCATCCTTGTTCCACTACAATTTATTCAACTTATTTTACACCTCAAGGACAGGCAGCCTTATATAGTAGTAATAATAATAATAGAAGTAATACACCATTAATTCCTGAATCAACACTTTGGAGTTATATTACACAAATTGCCTCTGCATTAAAAACAGCTCATGCTTCTGGATTAGCTGCCCGAAATATTGATCCTAAAAGAATTCTGATCACAGGCAAGAATAGGTATTATAAAGAAGAAGAAAAAGAAAAAAGGAATTATAATTCATGCTATGTAAAATATAGAATAAGGTTAAATGGGGCGAGTATTTTGGATGTTTTACAATTTGACAGTGGTTTAAACGTTGTACGACAGCAGCAAGAAGATTTATTATCATTTGGTAAACTAATAGTTGCATTGGCTTGCAATTCTCTTCAGGCATTTCATGATCCTGCACAATCATTTGAATACATTACTCGGTATTATTCATCCGATTTAAAAAACATTGTTTTGTATTTGCTTAGTAAACCTTTACCTACAAAGAATATTGATGAAGTAGTTATAATGATTGGCCCACATATTCTTTATGAAATTGATTGTAGTCAATCGTAAGTGTGTTTTTTTTTCTTGCAAAAAAAAAAAAAAAAAAAAAAAAAAAAAAAAAAAAAAAAAAAGATACTTAATATAAAACAGATAGCTTATTTACAATTATAGTTATAATGATGAGTTAGAAAATGAACTCTCTAGAGAATTAGAAAATGGTCGACTTGTTCGATTAATGGCCAAAATGGGTTTTATTAATGAAAGACCAGAGTAAGTTTTATTTTATTATTATTATTATTATTATTGAAAACGTCAATGTAAATATTCTGTTTTAAAAAAAAAGAGAAAAAAAACCCCATAGATTTGATATGGATCCTGGATGGTCAGAAACTGGAGATCGCTACTTGATTAAACTATTTCGTGATTATGTATTTCACCAAGTAGATGAGAATGGCCAACCTGTAGTGGATATGGTTCATGTCTTGACCTGTCTCAATAAGGTAAAAGTAATAAATAAATAATGTGTGTATCCTGTTTATTTATTTCATATTCTAGTTGGACGCTGGCGTCGAAGAAAAGATTATGTTGATGTCCAGAGATGAGCAATCATGCCTTATTGTTAGTTTTAGAGAAATCAAAAACTGTATTATTTCAGCTTTTAATGATTTAACTTCTGGAAGAAAATAATATAATACATTTATATAAAAAAAAATTAAAAAAGAAAAGAAAAAAAAATAAATAAAAAAGAAATAAAAATCCCGTTTTGTTAAAAAAAAAAAAAGCATGTGTATGCTATGTGTTTATGTGTATCGCATATAGTTTTTTTTTTTTTTTTTCTGTAAGATTTACTGATTTTTTTAATTTTATTTCACTCAATAATCAAAAGCTGGAATAAATATTGGCAAGATCAAGTTTTGATACAAACAAAAATGTATATATTTTTTTGTAATACATAAAATGGTGGGACGATTAATAATTTACCTTGTTTCTTTGTTCAAAAAAAAAAAAATGTCTACAACAAGATTAACGAATGAAGGGTTTAATAATCAACATGCAAAAGTTTTAATCAAGTTATTACAGGAAACAGAAAATAAACACTGTGCTGACTGTAAGAAAAGAGGTAATATAAAGTTTTTTTTTTTGAAATGTTTATTGAATTACTATTTTAAAGATCCTCGTTGGGCATCTTGGAATCTAGGGATCTTTATCTGTATTCGTTGTTCTGGTGCCCATCGATCTTTAGGAACACATATTAGTAAAGGTATCCAACTAATGTATTAGAATATGTATTATATTATAATATATAAGAATAAAAAAAAAAAAAAAAGGATTAAAATAGATTTGATAAAACTCAGTAAAATCGGTTGACCTTGATACTTGGACACCAGAACAAGTAGAGAATATGATCAAATGGGGAAACAAAAGAGCTAATAAGTAAAGCATGATATTTGTTTTTTTTTATTAGATGCATATACTAAAGAGTTGTATCTAAAAATTATTATATTCCAGGTATTGGGAAGCTAATTTAAATGATAAAGAGCCCACAGATTATAATCTAGAACCATGGATTAGGTTAAAATACGAACAAAAGAAATGGGTTTTTCATAGTTCACTTCCAAGCCTATCCACTATGATAACAGAAGAAATTGAATTAGTAAGTGTTATGTATTCGAACAGGATCAAGTGTATATATAAATATATGTTTATCTATCTGTAGGATTCGAAGAATTCAGGTACAAGTGATTCTTTTATTACTAATACAGGTAATACATCAAAACGAACTTCGAAACAATTTGGACACCACTATCATTCAGCGTATTCTATCGAGAATAGTATGGATAATAAAGAAGGGGAAGCTATAATGGAATGCTCAAACATAAAAGGCAATAAGAAAGATGTCTTCACTACTCGTACTATTAAAAAAGAAACTTTAATTTATCGTCATGACGAAACATGTGAAATCGATATGAAGTTATTTCAAGAGCAACTTTCAACTTTATCCTCAGGACAGCCTTCTTCAGATCTTATTCCTAAAGCACCTCCAGGAAGCAATCTATCTTGGACTCATTTTTTATAATCTTTTTTTTTTTTTTTTTTCCTTAGATAAAATAAACGTTCTCCTATTTTATAACAGTACATTAAAAATTAAAAGACAAGATTAATTCATAAATCTCTTCTGGAACTAAAACCTCAAAATGATGACATGATCTCAGCCTCAACTAAGCTTTTCTTGGCTCTTCCTATCTTTATATCAATTGAATTTATCGTAAATATGTACTTTATTAAGCTACTTATAAAAGTGATTTTAAAAGTACAAATCAAAGTTGAATTCCTGATATATACAGTATCTATCCAACACAATATATATATATCTGTTGCTAATTATTTAAAGAGGTTAAAATAGAGCTTGAACCAGTTGAATACAATTCCAATCATATACATATATATTGATCTAAACAAGAGTGCTAGCTCTTATGTTTCTGTCGGCTTATTGTTCCAAAAAAAAATGTGAAAATAAAAAGAAAATTGGTCTTCTAGAAAGGAGTCGGAAATTTCTTTTCATTAGTAGTAGATAATAGCTTGCCAATGAATAATAAAATAGAAGCAGTTAATAATAGAATAGAAGTCTATAGTCATAAATATGCATTATTTAATCTTCTGTAGATTAGTTGTATATTAAAGTAAATGATACAAGCCTATTAAATACGATAGCGTGAATCCAAGATAAAAGTGATAACAACAACAGCATCAGGAACCTGTTATAGAGCGGCGATGTTGATTAAACTTCTTATTATAGTAATTTCCCGACAATCTGAGTTATCCCTTCCTCCCTCATCCCCCCCTTCCCCCCAAAAAAAAAACGACAACCTATTCCAAAACACAATAACTTCTTCTATAACGTGAACTGTGATAAACGAACAAACCATTTTTCAATAACCGACATTTTTTTTTTTTTTTATTGAACCGGCAAAAATCGATTGTATTTAAAAGACCTTTTGTAAAAGAACGAATTTTATTGGATGAATCGTTTAAACAATTTTACAAGACAATTGCAGCGGCTATTTCTCATAATTAGTAAACGTATAATTAAATTATAAATGGATAAAAGAAAGATGCATTAAACTAAAACAAAATACAATACAATACATAATATAGCAGTAATAAACAAATAGATGAAGAACCAAAAAAAAAAACAAAAAAACAGAAGAAACTCTTCTTCCTTCTCTCTTTCTATTAACTAATTAGATTTCTTGGCCATCTTTGCCTCAGCCTTTGCCTTCATGACTTGACTATATTCTGTATGTAAAAATGTATCCCAGAAAGTAAAGAAAGGTTGAGCGAAGTTAGTTTTAATACCATAAGCTTGATGATGGATATTATGACTAATAAATAATAAAAAGTTTGAATAAGCCTTTTATATATACATCTATCTGTATTTTTATGAATAAATAACTTACTAGTTGACATTATTTCCAAAGCAAACAGTGAGTGGATCCCAGGGGAAAGAATATCCACAATGATCATTAACTATAATAATAGAATAACAACAACAAAAAAAAAATTAATTTATCCATACATACTTTACTTACTTACTATATACATTCTAATATACTACTACTTACTTGTCTTGAGAGTTGAGAAAATAAAGAACCACATAGAAAGTCGAGGTGACATGCCAGTCAATTCATAAGCGAGAGCAGCACCACATGAATCCAATAAAAATCCTTCTAACGGGTGATTATAAAGAGCACCAAAGGCATAAGGAACATAAAGACGATGATGATGTGAGTGCATGTATTTATATAAAAGTGTGTAAGTGTGAGCTAAACGATGAAGAAGATATTGATGTGTGTCAACAATAACCCTAAAAAAAAATAGATAGATAGAATAGCTATGATGTTAATATTATTTATATGTAAATATCACTTTAGATTTTACATTACATTCCAATAAAGAATTGTAAAGCAGGTCTAAGATAATCTTGAATAAAGATAGCGATACGATTGGCGATAATTGTAATGTCTTGTAGTTGGCCAAAATGAGACAAGACATTCAAAAAAATTGTACTATAACGATTCACAGCTTGATCATGCTTTAATTGTTCAACAGCAGGGTCAATACCCTTAATAACAGCAAGACCCAAAACAAATTGAACAATATGTTGAAGAGCTACCATGATAAGAACCTTACTAAATGAAGCCTTATTGCGACTATTTCTTTCCTCGGGGGTATGAATACGATATTTTTCAAAAAAGGGAATTTCAAGTCTCATAAGGATTTCGAAAATAGAACATTGAACCCAATAGACAACAATAGGAACCCATACAGCCATGACTTCATCTGACCATGGATCATATATTGATTTATTTAATGACAAACTAGGCGTTTGTTTAATTGCAGTTGTATTCATTATTATTGTTTATACAAAAATCTAGAAAGAAAGAAGAAAAGAGGAGAGGGGAATGAAAAAAACTTATTATTAAAAAAAAAAAAAAAAAAATTGTATGAACTGAGATTAAAATGGATATGGTATTGTTTGTGTTTCTGATGGAAGTTTTAATAACTTCTTTGAATAAAAATGAAAAAATGAGGATTTAATTCCCTGATAAACATTTATCCTGCATTGACAAAGTATTCACGATGGAAAATTTCTATTTAACAATAAAATTAAAAAAATATGCATATTAATCTATCTTATCTGACCCAAGCAAATAGATGTGAATATTTACCAGTTATTAATGCTAATTAAAGAAAGCCTATATTAATTGTAATCATAGTGAGGAGTATCAATTAAGACGTAAATGGGAAAATAAAATAAAATAGGAGTAGGTGAACTGATAGATCCATTGTACACTAGAAAGAAAGGGCAATACATCTACACTGTCTTTTAATCATAAACAGGTGGTAACAAGATTTGATTAAAAGACTAAACCCAGGTGTAGGAGGGTAGAAGAACAGAATAGTTCTAATAAGTTACTCGACTCAAACAGTTGTCTTACTTTACAATGAATAACGTGAAATACATTTAAAAAAAGAACAGATTCGTATGTTTAATAACTTTTTTTCTGCTTTGTTTATCAATTTATTGAGATATATTATATGCAGAAGAAGAAAAGTATAATACTTGTGTGCAGTATTTAATTAAAATGACTGGAGATGCAAATCCTGCCTCTATTTTAACTTCAGACAGAATTCGTGTATTACATACCTTTTTATTCTTCCTTATCTTCTTCTTCTAGAATGGATGAAGATTCAATTGAATATTATTTTAATTCGATTAAAGACTTTTATGCAGGTAAAACAACAATGATATATCCTATCAGTTTTAAATAATAAAAGAATAACAAAAAAAGAACTTGCTTTCTATTTGCTTCACTGCCAAAAAAAAAAGAGTTAGATTATCTATTGTTAAATAATTATTATAAATCAGATAATAAAGAACTACTTATTGAAACCAATATTACAAAATACATTCGCTTCTTAAAAAGATATTCAAGTAAAAAAAAACAAAAAAATTGAATTGTTTATCCTACTTTTTGTTACCATGTAGTAACATGTTTGCACGTTATAGATGAATATGTATCCAATAACCAGGAATTAAGTCAAGCAGCTTATAGATTAATTGACTCTACACTATTTTTAGAAAATAGTACTTTAATCTTGAGTCATCTAATCAATCTTGCTTTATCAACTACTCTTGATGACACACATTTATGGATTGTATATGGACTGTTATATTATATTGGAAAAGAAGATCCAAGATGGATGAATTTTATTGTTATTAAAGCATCCTCCTCTTCTTCTTCTCATTGTTACATGCATAACCCATTATTATCAAAACTATTATCAGAAATGCAATCCTTTAAGGGAGGTTATCAGTGTATGTCTTTAACACTACAATTCTTGTATGAAATGTATAAAGTAACAAAAGCAAGTCAAATTGATCTTGGTAATAACTAGGATGCATTTATAATTTGATGATACATGGTTAACCTCATGATATAGAATCCACATTGTCTTTCCAATCTATTAACTTTCTCTTTCAATTGGTGGAATCAACAACTGAAGATTCGCAAGAAGCATTTAATTACCAATTTATAAACGTTTTATTAGTCTTGAATGAGCAATATATGATGAATACTGATGTGGAGAATAAAGTGTTGAACGTTTTATCTACGAGATTAAGAACATCACCTATTTTTGCACAAAATTTAATTTTCATGTTAAATCGTTCATCAGGTATTTGTTGTATACATGTACAAAAAAAAAAAGAGAGAAACATTCATATATATTTGAATCATGTATAGAAGATGAATGTACTCAAGTTTTAATCTTAAAGTTATTATATGGCATATTTACAAGATCTGATTTATTTGATTTCTTTTATATCAATGATCTTCATGTTTTAATTGATATTATATTACGTGAACTGGACTCTTTAGATGATAATAAAACTAGGGTAACTATGATTATGCAGATAAGCTAAATTTAAAACAAAAAAATATATATATACATTTATAAAGCTTTGTAATAGTTATTTAAGAGTATTGGAGCCATTATTAACAAATACACCATTAAAACAACAAAAGTCCTTTTATAAAAAACATGAAATTCATCAAGTCTTGTGTTCACTTATTACACCTTATTTACATCGAACTGTAAAGACGTCTACAAGAAAACTTGTCAAGGAAATATTAGAAAAATGGTGGGAGACGATATGTAATAAACCTGTAGCTCCTCTTTTAGGTATTCATGTTAAACATGCTATTATCGAAAGTGGTATAAATCAGCAACAGCGTAATCATAATAATGCAGTTATCATGTCTGAACCACCTTCAGATTCTGAAGATCTTAAAATGGGATAAGAATAGAACAGAATAAATAGAGATCATATACGTTATATTATATTATATTCTATACATATACATTTTATATATGTGTTTTATTATTATACAAGTCCAAAACCTTTGGTATTCTCAATTGCAGTAATTAATCTATCTCGAAGCTTTTGTCGAGTTGAATATTCTGGTAATAAAAGTCTACTAAAACATGTAAGGGCAGTAGGTAATCTATGTATAAATAAATGTATGTATAGATTATTTAGTTTTGTTTCTCTCTTTATCTCTCTTTTTTTTTTCTCTTCTTCTTTCTCCTTTTTTTTTTCTTTCTTACCTATCACTATCAGGTCCATTTCTTTGAATGTAAAATGATAATTCTTTTAATCCACCTACAGGTATACGGTCACTTGCTGTAACAAATAATAAAAGTTGTTTCTTTTGCTCGTTTGTTAAATCATGATGTACTACAGACCAAAATTGTCTATTCAATATTTTTTAAAAAAAAAAAAAAACGAGTCAATTATATAACATAATAGATAAGATAAGGCTTATATATATATATATTTACCGAATAGTAGGATGATCTACATTATAACCATCATCATATTCTGCAATACTTTCTAATTCGGCCATATTGAGCTCTATCGCATCTGGCCCTTCACGAAGACCACAGGCAACCATCTCTAATTCCTCTGCAGTACAAAGATGAAGTGCTCGACTGCCAATCACACTCCACATACCACGACGTAAGGCCAAGATAGGTTCACGCTGTGCAGTATACATGAAATAGCGACAATAATCTTGTACATAAGCCTCTCGGTTCTTGTTCGTCACCGACACAACCTCTCCTTCCTTCTTCATTAATGAGGTCGTGACCACGCCTTGGCCAAAGACATCCATTGAAATTTCATAATCTCGACAAAATACATCTTCAACGTCACCCTCAAATTCTAATAGCTGTCGTAAACCATGTCCTAATGCAGGCCATCCCTCCTCAAGGTCCTCTAGAGTAAAGATCTGACCACGTTCTGCCATGATATCAATCAGAGCTTCATTCGGCATCACAACGGCCTTCCATAAGACCTTTGGGAATTGCAAGTTCATGATAACACCATTATAGATCGAGAGACCCATCATGATACCTACCATCTCATACATACGAATATCATATTCAGCAACGGGCCGGATCCAACAGAGTCGTGTGGTTTCATCTTGTTGAAAGAGCCCCCATTCATCTGACACAAGTTTCTCAAATAAAACACCAAAGAATTCCTTTTGAACACCTCCTTGGTCTACACCTTCTTCACCCCCATCTACAAATTTCACTTTCAGGGGCTTCTTAAGATCACTCCATTTACGTGAGACCTCTGTCCAGGTATCGGAAATGAAATGATCGCGTCGAATCTCCAGATAGAGATAAGGACAAGTAGCGCTTTGTAAATTTGTTTCTAAAGTTTTCAACATGCGGGGAGCTTCGGATAAAAGCTTTTGAGCATGGACAACAAGGGTATGATTTACACAAGCATCTTCATATTCAAGTGACATCTGTGACATGGCATCCATTAAAACAATTTTACGTTTGATAGAGGGTGGTAATAGGAAAGGGTAGCTAAACCATGAGAATTGATATTCATTTTCAAAGGGATAAGGTGAATTGGATGTGGATGTGGTGGCGGCGGTGGTAGTGGTGGTGGTGGTGATGAAGAAGAGTCTAGACTTACGTTGTTGTTCTGTTTCTCGATATCTACTTTGTATATGTCCTTGACCTTCTCCATAGGTTAATACACGTTTCCAAATACGATATTCATTTTTGATGTTGAGTCTTTTACATATATCATCACTATAGAAAATAGAAGGTGACACGATAGGTGAAGAAGGGGTCATCATATTTCCTTGATACATTAGTTCAAGACACTTTAAAGCCATAATGACTGTATCTTCTAGTCCATGCTTATAAGGCCCTGTATGGAAATGATCTAAAAGATATTGTTGTAATTCTTGAACAATATATTTCATACGTGTAGGGTCCAACCTACATTACATATATAAAAGAAATGAATTCAGAAAAAAAAAATCAACTTTTACAACTATATATACACACACATATATATATAGTGTATTAATAATTATCACGTTACCTTACTATCATGCTTTGTAGAATTTTTCGAATTATAGAATCTTTTTTATGTGCAATTTTGCAAAGAACTAAAATTAATTTTTGCATCAAGATGGTATGACTTGTTGAAGAGATTGATGTGACGACTCTCATTTGGTAAGTTGATACATCATCCAAGTTAGCCACTAAAGCAGCTAGTCCATCTTGTTCTTTTCGTTGTATCTTTTCTTTACAACAAAGGATCCATTCAATGACGGCCATCAAGGAACGACACCATTCATACATCATATGAACAGTAGTATCGTTTTCTTCTGTAACTACATGATCTATTTCCGTTAGTGATTCTACATTTAATATCATACGATCCAGTAGAGTTTCAAAACTATCAGAGATTGCTTCCATCATATCAATTTGGCGTAAGCTCTTCTTCTGTTTATCCACTCTTAACCGTTTATCACTCTCTACAGATGATTCCTCCTGTGGAATCACTAATTGATAAAATCGAGATAAATGTTGAAGATTAATAAAATGAATAGGCTGTTTCATCCATGCAGAATTTAATAATTGAGGATGAAGAAAACTATTGCCAATGCCTTCCCAGTTTTGAAAGATGGATCGACACCATAGGGAGGACTCTTCCTTCGAAATTGATTTTGTTACGACTATTTGGTGTAAATGCTCAATAGCAGTATCCAAATTGATCGTAATGGGTAGAAGAGCTAGAAGTGTTCCTTCAGAAAATAAGGCCTCCTCCTCTTCATGATGATAACAGCTATTTGTGTCATGATCAAGTTGATAATAACCCTCATCTTCTGGTTGCTGTTGGTGTTGGTGTTTTTCTAGCTCTCTGTTTGTATATAGATCATATTCTTCTTCATCAGAATCAGACAGGTTTTCATCACTTTTATTATTAGTACTACTAAAATAATTAAATAGTTTCCAGAAATCTGTAGTCCAGTGATAGGTATCCTGTTTAATGGTACATTTCTTTTTTGAATTTGATTGAACAGAGATATAGTTACTGCTATTATCTTTTTCTTCTTCTTGAAATTGATGCTGATGCAATAATTTAGAAAAAGGTGAAGATGAAAATAAAGTTTGTAGAAATGGTTTCGGTCCCTGCTGATGTTTATTTACTTTATTCATGCTCTGATCCTGTATTTTATCAGAATGATGATCGACAGTTAGTATTTCTTTTTTAATATAATGTTTATCTAAACAAAGTCGAGAAGATCCTGGCATAGATGCTAACTGAATTGCCATAACCAAGGCTGCTTGAGGTTGTAAACTCATTATACCCCCTTTTATAAAGAAATAAGATTAAGATTTTCATTTATTTATTTATTTATTTATTTATTTTTACCAGAAGCACAAAACTTGTTTCTACAATCTTTCCTTTGACAGCCAATAGTTAATTGTTGAAAATACTCTTCAATACGTTCCTCATATTCATTTGTTGCATGTTTTAATTTTTCTCGTCGATGAAGCTTATTGTTTTTATTTATTTGTTTTTCATAACGAATTGTGCTTGACTTGGGTATAGCTGTTCATCATGGTGAGCATAATAATCATGTTAGATAATAATAATAATAAAAAAAATAAATATACATGTATACAGAACTAGTAGTTGATTACCATTTGTATTACTTGCTATTTTTGATGCTGTTTTTAAATGAAAGGGATGGTCTCTTTTTAACAAATGCTCTTTATTATTATTATTGTTGTTGTTGTTGTTATTGTTATTATTACTATTAGCATTTAAATCCGTAGGAGAAAGTCTAATCGATTTTAAGTTTAAGCCATTTGTCGAAGCTGTTGTCGTACTAGCATTAGTCGTACTTGATGAAGCATTTGCACTTGGCGATGTAGGAAAGGATGAATGCCGTTTATTATTATCATCTGTTGTATTCGATGACTTTGGTATACTCAAGTAATCAACAACAACATTATTAGTAAAATATATATCACTGGGTTTTTCGTCTATTAATGATTCTTCTGTTTGTTGTTGCTGAGAAGTAGAAACATTTCGAGTTATAAATGAAGTTGATGAAGTTGTCCGAGAATCTATATGATTAGGCATAAAAAATAAAAATGAATTATATGAAAATAATAAGTTTAGTTTTAGTAATAATAATAATTATAATAGAATTTAAAAAAAAAAAAAAATACATAGAATCATCATTAGATACGTAGTTTTAAATTTAATATTAAATTATGATTGGATAATATAAAATATCCAATCAAAAAAAAAAAACTGTTTTGTTCAAAAAATAGAAAAGTACTAAAAAGGATTTATTTGCATTGCATAGTCCATTAAACAAAAAAAAAATGGATATTATTACATCAACATTCATTATATAATAAAACATAAGGTTATCTGTTTGTTTGTATATAAAGTTATATCTATTATAAAAATGCTGATTTTATTTATAGTAATGATAATACTTATTATTGTAAATAGAATTGAAAATTAGACTAACAAAGTAAATACGAATGAAAGGAGTCTATTGAATACAACGATCTCTATTTTTTCTTAAATAAAGATCATTGATTATCTATTAAGTTAGCAGTCAATCATAATAATAGATAGCTTGAAGGTGATGAAAATAGCCTCTAGCCTCGCCTATGCTATATATAAATTTAACTACTATAATACATGTTACGTTTCTTTCTTTTTTTGCAAGTCAATAGCAATTATATAATAAACGTGACTGCTGTTATCATTATAAATTAGAATGGATCAATAAAAATTTCTACATTATAAAGACGTAATTTGAATCATTTGTTTGAATACATATAATACGTATAATCCATCATACTTGATAAGTTCCATAAATGATAGCCTATAGTATATATATAAATAAATGTATATATATATGTATTTATGTATATATTTATATGAATATATTCAAAATTAATACATGAATTTTGATTGGTTTACTGATATATAAATTACTCTTCCTTGTGATTGGATGATTTAAGGCGCATGGGTTCATGCCGACTATTTTTGGTGGTTATAATGTACACCTTTTGCCAAAATAATATTGTAAGAAAAAAAAAGAAAATAAAGTGTTGCACTTTTAAAAGAAACAGTATAGTATGTTTTCACTGTATACATACATATAAATACATATGTGTGTATGTGTCATAGATATACAGTAAGAGCAACGCCAAAGGGCAATTTTTTTTTAATAAAAAGGTGGGGAAGAAAAAAAGCTCAAAGGGTCGGCCAACAGCATCTCGGATAAGTAGCGATCTTGTGATTTACGATTCCGTATACACAGACCTGGCTCTTAAGAGAAAAAAAACAATTTGATTCAAAGTTAGATTCACAGTTACATTGTTATTTAGGGCAATACAGTATGAAGAATAGCAACGATAATAATAAATAAGTACTTGACATTTCAAGGATTGATTTTTATATACATATTGAGAGGCTTATTGCACTAAAAAGAAAAGATAAGATAAGCCCTTTGGCGTTGCTCTTACTGTATATCTATGACACATACATACATATGTATTTATTTGTATGTATAGATTTGTATACATATTGAAAACATACAACACTATTTTTTTTTTCTTAGATGCATACGATGCTGTTTTTTTTTAAAGTGCGGCACTTTAATTATTTTTTCTTGCGACATCATTTTGACAAAAAGTGGATTATAAAATAAATACATAAAACGTTATCAAATCATCATTCCTTTTATTTATTTTTTTAAATATTTGTTTTATTTTATTTTTTTAGTCTTTCTTCTTTTATTATGTCTCAACCAACACAACAACTACCACAAGATATGTCTAATGTAAAGAAAGAAAGAAAGAAAGAATTGGCATATTTATTTATCTTATTTACTTTAGTTGATGCATCGAATGAAAGCACGATTAGCATTGGCCAATTTCAAACGTGAACATGGCTTTGAAAATATAGATCTTCGAACGTTAGAATCTAGTTTATATGAAGATAAATTAAAACCCCTTCAACAAGTTGCAAAAGTAACTACTATTTCATCACCTTTACTTGATAAGAAACGTAAAAAACTTATGTCACATCATCGATTTTATCCTACATCACCACCAATGCAACACAATGATATGGATAGGTTAATAAAGAAAAACGCGTCAAGATCACCTGCAAATATTCCTTTATCAGAAACAAGACTTCAACATCCTTATAAACGACATTATTATTCTACTACTCCTAATGCAGTGAACACGACTACATCACGTAAACTATCAGCTACACTCTCTTCAGATGATGAAGATGCTGCGCACCTATTAGTTTTGATGCATCAAAGCCCAACCATGAGTTCCTAATTTATTTTATTTTATTTTTATTTATTTATTTATTTATTTTTTATATATCATTAGAATTAATTCTTCACTGTAAATATATACTTGTTTTATTTTATTTATTTTATTTATATGCACACATACATCACCTTTTATTTTGTACTCTTTATTATTTGATGCATGCATGCTACTCCATCCTTATGTCTTCTTCATCGGGATTTTAATAAAAAAACACTCTTTTTTTGGATTTTTTTTTTAACTATTATTCTATTTGTCAATTCTTTTGTTCTATTTCTTCTTTCTTCACATTTTATTATTAACTTATGGGCGTTTACTTGGCATCAGTTACTGGTTCAAATATATTAGGATTCTCAAATCCTGCTTATATTCCAGCTACTTCACTATTTTCATTTCATCCAATAATATTTACTTATTTCATCTTGGCTACTTTCCTTGTTCCTTATCCTATGTATCGTTTTATTGCTAAGAGATATAAATGGGAAACAAATCATAAAACTGTAGCTCGGCATTGGAGTGATACGATGTTAGCCTTTAGTTATGGGGTCATTTTATTTGTATTTGGAAATTATACCCGAACTTTTAGGTAATTTAGATTCAAGATATACATAAATGTGGCATTCTGTACACTGACTGACTCTTTCTTTCTTTCTCTTTTGGGAGGAAATATAGTTGGATTACCATCATTACTTTTTACCCTTCTTTATTTGCCTATGGTCTCATTGCTGAACTACCATTTGCAAAGACGTCTTTACCTGATATAAAAAATTGGCCAAAATCAATGTGGATACTCTTTTTAGTAGCATTAAGGTAATAAATAACAGATACGATATAGGATAAATGTATATATTAAATAAAAAATAAAATTTTTCTTTTTTCCTCTTTACTATTTTATATGTAATAAAAGTGTGATATTAGCATTTGCAGGCATACATATTTATATAGCATCACAACTTGAATTACCTTTTGTGATTTATTATGTCTGCAGCTTGTTGATCCCTGGCTTCTTTTTAACTGTTGCTATTCTCTTGATCAAAGAAACGAATACACCTATTTTATCTCATAAATGGAGGCAACATCAAGAAGACCAAAGTACAAGTCATCGAAAAGTGAGTTTACACATTCATCATTGGCAAATATTTTATACTTTAGCATTTTATACAAGGTAAAGAAGATAAATAGATACATGTATATACATATATACATTTCTTCACTTTTTACTTTAACTTGCATAGTGGTGGTTAGGTTTATGCATCCTATTTCTCAAGTTGCATCTGGTATTGTTCTCGCTTGTTATATGCAAGGCATTTATGCATGTAAATAGAATAGTCTATCTGTATTATATATGAATATTTATTTCGGTTTCTTTTTTTTTTATTAGATGGTTATGATCCTTTAGTGAATGATGACTAGTTTTCATGTATGAGTTGGAGACTATATAATATATACCCTCAGCTTCTCCTTACACCCTACCCTAAAAACCCTCTTCCTTTATACACAAATACATATACATATATATATATATAATAACTAGCTACTATCCATAAATACATGACTTGATATCGCCTATCTATTTTTAAATTATTAAACTTTTATTTGAAATAGTGTATACATGTGTTCCTTTTTTTTTTTCCTTCTACATTGAATCTGTATTTGTTGTACGATTAAATTCTGAGTTTTATTATTATTATTATTATTATTTTTTTTTTTTTTTTAAATTTTTTGGCAATGAGCATGTAGCGACGAAATAAATGCGCAATATTGCCCGAGCCAGTTATAGAGGGGAAATAAGAATAAAAACCTTCCTAAAGGACAAGAAGGGAAAAAGGAAAACGAGAAGGAAAAAGAAAAGAGCAGTATTTTGGAATTAAGAGAAAATATAAGGGGGAAAAAGCGAAAAAGTGAGAAGAAACAATTTAAAAAATCAAATAAGACCAAAGTGACCAGGAAGACACACACTATTACTTGGATAACCAATTCAACAGCTTGAGACCAGGGTCGATAGGATCAGGAGGAAATTCATCATGGAAGTAGTAATCAAGTTCATGTAGAATTGTACAAAGAATAGGCCATAAAGTATACCAGCTCGTACAATCAGAAGGACGACGAGGTTTATGTAGTGGAAGCAAGTTGAGGAGGAACGAGATGGGATCTTCGACTGAAGTAGGCATGTAGAGACGATGATGTACATGTAAGCACTCAATAGCATGTTGCCGGCTCCAATTATGAGACGGATGAAAGATACATTCTTTAGGTTTACCACCCGGTAGCCAGCCAAGTCGCCAACGAAGCACTCGGCTACGTTCTGAGGTAGTCATTGGTAAGTAAAGGATGGGATCCAATTCAAGAGTGGGGCGTGAGGAAGACAATAGGAGTGAATTAGTATCTTGACGAAGATTTTGAAATTGATCATCTAGAAACTTAGCACGAAGAGTGTAGAATTGTTTTCGGTCGAGCGTTGAGATATTTGGTGAGCATAGGTGTGTCCACATTGTAGTTTGAGTCAATTTATACCAGTGGGAATGACTATTTGAGAGCTGAACATGAGGCAAAAGATGGGCAAGAAGAGTATCTGCTGGTAATTGGGAAGTTCGAAAGAGGTATTGCGCTTGGAGGACTGCAATACGGGTCTTCATGGATGGTAGGTTGACAAGGTGAAGCATGACTTTCGCCGAAGACCGTGAGTGACCACCAAAGATACGTCGAATACATGAATTTTGAAAGGTATCCAGTGCTTTGGTAAGTTTAGCAGAGAGAGGACTAATTGCAAGACCATAATCTAACTGAGAGCGAACCATTTGACTATAAAAACGACATGCAAGCAGAGGTGGAAGACCTTTGGAGTTGAGACCAATAGCAGCAAGTTGATTCATAGTGAGAGAGGCTTTATTGATATTATGTTGGATTAGAGCAGCATAATCAATTAGACCACCAGGTTTTAGAGGAACACCAAGATAAGAAAAGGAGGATTCTTTGGAAATAGCAGTACCATATAATTGATATGGTTGAGGATCATTGGTAGGAGCGACTATGACACATTTTAATGGGTTCCACCGATAACCTAAGGAGTAACTATGAACTTCGCATTGGTGTAGTAAAGAAGCGAGTTTCTCAGGGGAGGCAATAAGGACGACATCATCAGCATAGAGTAGACAATTAAGGGACGGTACAAATGTAGTAACTACATCAGTAGTGGAGGAGTCATTGAGTTGGTGTGGTAACCTCAAACGAGCTGGAAGTTGGTTGATATAGATTGAATATAGGAACGG